CTTGTCCTCCCCTTTTTGGCTGTGATTCGGAGCGTAACTTAGGGGGGTAAGCCGGGGGCTGATTCACACTGCTCCTCAATCACATCAGGAGATGGTTTCAAAAGTAAATGTGTCTCTCTCTCTCTCTCTTTCACTTTCCACCGCACATTTCCTTCCCACCCTTCACCCCTCCTGATCCCAACCTTCAGCTCAGGTCCAAATCCCTGACTGTCCAGCGCCTTGGGACATCCTCCCGCAGTGAAAGGTGCAGTGTAAATGTAATTTGTTATTATTGTTACCGCAATGATGGTGGATTGGGATGGGTGTGTGGTTGTGCCCACGTCCACTCAGTCCTTGAAAGGTCTTGCGGACAGAGCAGGTGGGAGAGAGTTAAATAATAATCATTTTAATTTTTTTTAATAACATTAATACATGAATATCGAAAGCCCACATGCAAATTAATCTCTGGTATGTGTGTGTGTGTGTGTGAGAGTGAAAGTGAGTGTGAGAGTACAAGGAATGATTGCACATAGTGAGCGAGCATGAGTGACTCTGATTGTGCGTGAGGGCGAGTGAGTGTGTGAGAGTGAGAATGAATGGGTAAGTGTGTGCGAGAGTGAATGTGAGAGAGTGAGTATAAATGAGTGAGTGTGAGAATGGGTGTGAGTGAGTGAATGAGTGTGAGTGTACGTAAAGAGATGTTGAGGTTAGTTGAGTCCTGAATCACTGATAGTCTCGGAATTCTTGGCCAAGCCCGGCCACTTGTAATTAATTCAGTTCCCAGTGGCCTCAGTAAAGGTAAGCGCTGTGCAATTTTGAAAACAAAACCAGGGGGATAGAGAAGGATGAGAGTGAGAAATGAACAGCTCAGTAAAGGAAATCCTGCCAATTAAATCCTGTTAAACACATGAGCGCACAGCCTGGCAATAACCTACTTGGATCACGATTTGTTCGGTGCAAATTTGCCAGTTTGCAAAATCTTTGTTCCCACCCCATCCCCACACCAGCCCACCCCACCCAGCGCGCTCCATCAGTCAACCCACCTCAAAAAAAAAATCCAATGTGAATAGATTTCTCACCGAGGTTATTAGGTTGGCAATATGCTCATCGCCCCTTAGGTTGGATTTCTGCAGCTCAACTGTATTCAGTGCATTGGGCGTTGAGGCTGGATAATTGGGCAACATTTTGTGCTGTAGTAAGGAACCCTGTACAAAAGCATATTTATGGTTTGTCTGGCGCAGAAAACATGCACTCAATTGACCCATTTATAACCCCTTGCCGAATTATCTGCTGTGTTTACAGTTCTGTTTTTTTGTTGTCTTTTTATCGAAAATGTTCGCACCCGAGACTGCAACTTCCTCGCAGATCACGACGCAGAATTTAAGATTGTGAGTAAAATGAGGGCTTTTTTTTTAATGTGATCCACTGTGTGTGATCCCAGCTTTCCACCCCCGCCCCACCACCCCCCTCTCAATTTCTTTCCCCTCCCTCTTGTGGACAACATCAGAAGATCGGTTTAGATGAATGAGACCCTTTGGCCCATCCGATCTCATCCCCCCAGAACACCCAGCTTACCATCCAATACCGAACACGGCATCGAGCTGCCTTTTTAAATGAGTCCAGTGTCCTGACCTCAACCATCCTTCCTGTTCTGGTGATTAATTGCCACCTGAGTAAAGAGATTACCCTAACTTCGACAGCAAGCTTCTCCCCACCCCCTGGCTGCGCTATTCCCTCCCTGTATTTGTGCTTTGATTGGGAGGAAGGTTAAAAGATGAAATCAATACCAACCACAACCCACTCTTCGCTATGTTCATTTTCAGGGATGGACGTCACTGTGGTTTCCGATTGCTAGGATCTCATAGATCAACTGCAGACACTTATCAATATTTGATGGCTAACCTCTCCAATGCCGAGAAATTGGAGCGTTGTGTTCTTCCTGCAGGAAAGCTCCGATGCCTGGCGATGTTTGTTTTCTGTTTCAGTAACAAAGATGAGACTGTGTTTTAATTGACCTTTCTAAAGCTGCTTCAATGAAAGTTCTTGAGTGAAGCAGCTCAACTTCCCAATGTCAGGCAGGCAATGACTGATTGGCAGGTGGAGATAAGCAAACGCATTAGTTTTGATAATAATAATAATAATTATCCCTACATTTGATACATAACTTTTATCATCACAAGGATGTCTAAAAGTGCTTTGCAGGATATACTGTCAAGTGTAGTGACTGCATCTCTGTACTTACTGCTCCAATGCAGGTAGAATCCTTGCATTTATAATAAATAATAATAATAATCCTTGCATTTGATTTAGTGCCTTTCAAGCAGTTGAGATGTCTCGAAGCACTTCGCACGATACACTGTAAAGTGGAGTGACTGTGTATTTTGTGGGTGAAACGCGGCAGCCAGTTGCGCACAGCAGCGTCCTACGAACAGCCATGGAATGAGTGACCAATTTTATTTGAGGGATTGTTGGCCGGGAACCGGGGAGAGAGAAACTCCCTTCTCTTTTCGAATCGTGCCACGGGATTAACATCCACTTGAATAGGTAGATGGGACTGAGGTTTAACTTCCCGTCCAAAGTGCCAGTGGCAGTAACATTACACCTGCATTAATACCTGCGTTCTGTATCACTAGACGTCGAACCAGTTCCAAGAATCCAAGCCAAGCCTCAACTATGCCAGGACTAAGCCACCCACCTAGCTGGCTTTGAGTGGCGGTGGCGGCAGGTGAACCAGGAGTTTGAGAGGAATTTACAGCCACAGCAGGAAGTGGATATGTACGGTGCTCGAATGGAATTGCTCTACACCTGGGCAAGCACAGGGCTCTTCCCTTTTTATTCCCTTGAATCTATTCGCTGCGCAAAGCCAGGTTACTCAACCCATTCTTCACGTCAGCCCAATAGAGCACAGAGCAGTCACAGCTCCTGCAGACCAACGGTCTCAGGTTTCCCTGCTCCACCCACCGTCACTGCAGGGTGATCCCCTCAGTTAGGACCTCAGTACTCCACAAATACACTTAGAACATGGGATTCCTGTGGACCTGCCTGGATGCTACCATATTTAGAACTGGTTTGGGGGTGAAAGTATTTCCAAGCAAAGTTTAACGCCGTTATTCATAATAATCCTTGCATTTGATACAGCGCCTTATCACGTCACCTGAGAGGTCTCAGGAGTTCGCCGTGAAGTGTAGTGACTGAGTGTGTATTGTTCCTTCAATAAAGAACAGAATTTTGTGTGGGAAAACACCTCGTCGGGTAAATCACTGGGCGTTTTTTTTAATATAAATAATTTCCTTTTAATTGAGAGTTATTAGCACCAATTGTGAGCTGGTTTGTGCTGTGAAGTCAATGCCATTGGGAATTTGCTCAAGATTCCTGGCACACTGACTTCTCTTTGACCGAGAGCATTATTCCATCTGTCTGGGTTGGACCTTTGCCCAGACCCCAGCGGCAGAAAGGACTGCCAACACATCCTTGTCTCTCACATTCCATGATACTGTAAGTGAGCGAAAGAGCGAGCGTGCTGGAGTCAGACAAGTTTGCGGTGTAAGACGCACTGGTTTAACTCGGTAAAAAGTGTGCGTGGGGGGCTTTTTTTTTGACTTGCCTGGGTGCGCCCCCTCCCCAACCACCTTTGCAGCACCGAGGTTTTGCTCTGTGGAGATTTGAAAATCGTTTTGTAATTCAGCGCTGCCCGAAGCATTGTATTACGTGAACCGGTAAGTCTGTGAGTCAGTGCTATGAATATTAAGTACATTCCCCGTGATACCCCATGATTCGCTCTTTCTCTCTCGCGCTCTCTATTCTCTGAATTTCAATCAATTTTGATTCCTAACCCAGAGAGCTGGTTTGTGCTTTGCCAAAGGGCTCTGGGTTACTTTGTGCTGTTCACACTTTTAATTCTTGATTAATACAAACACACAAAGTGCTGACCTTCATATTCCACTCCTACGTGATGTGAAATTGCCTCGGTTTTAAGATGGATGGGGGAGGGTTGAGGAACAGAGGGGTGCGGAGGATGATACTAATAAGATTTCCACAAGTCATTTCCTTCACAAGCCTCAGATGATACACCTCCACCTGAAGTCCTAAAGTTCCACCTGGTCTTAGCCCACGAGACCATTTGAGCTGAACATGTTAGAATGCACAGAATTGGTTGGTGAAATCCAATCTTAGTTTGGAGGCCTAGAACAAGATTTCCAGCGGAGAATAGAAATAATAATAGTAATAATGAATAATAATCCTTGCATTTGGTCCAGTGGCTTTCACGGGAGGACATCTCAAAGTGCTTCACATGTGGTGTGTGGTGACTGTGTATTTGTGGGTGAGCTCCGCATCCTGTTTGCACACAGTGTCTGATAAACATCTGCAAAGCGAATGATCAATTTGATTTGGGGGGGGATTGTTGGCCAGGACAAAAATGTATGTCTAGCGCCGTAGGGGGCACTGTCGTGAGGTTGATGGCACCAGGGTAGAGCAGCACAGAGACAGCTCAACTCTGCCTGACTGACTCACCTAGTTCCTCGATATCTAAAAAAAATCTGAAAAATAAGTCCATTGATCACGATTCAGGTCCACAAGGAAAAATGTTGAAGGTTAACAGAAATGAAAATTTCAGCAACTCTTAATGAAATGGACCCAAGGCTTGTGAGAGATATGAAACGATTTTACGGATCTAACGCCGTATTTTATCACTGTAAATGTAAGTGCCCGAGACGCGCAATGAAATTTCAAATTCAATCAGAGATTTGCTCTGAGCTCGGCTGTTTTTTTAAAAAAAAGAAAAGAAGCAAAACTTGTTTTATGTTGATCTCCGCAGGTGAAAGTCTCATTACCTGCCTCTCGCTGGCTCTGAAATATTTATCACCAGGAGGATATCTGGTAACTCAGTCAATGCTGTTCGAGAGAGGAGAGAGAGGAAGGCAACTGAGCGATAGATGCATCATCGAGGAGATGGGCATTTCTTTGGAGAGCTCCCTTTTTATCTCCGGAGGATTCACTTCTCTCTCTTTTCTTTGTTGCAGGTTAAGAATGTCAAATGTGGCTCTTCATTTCGGGCTCCTGTATCTGGCCTGGGCGTCCAGTGAGGCTCTGGCGGAGACAGGTAGATGTCCTCATCCAGCACATCAAGTCTTTTCATAGAATCACGGAATCTTACAGAATAGAAGGGAAGCCATTCGGCCCATCGTGCCTGTGGTGGCTCTTTGAAAGAGCTGTCCAATTAGTCCTACTTCCCCACTCTTTCCCTAGAGCCCTGCAATTTTTTCCTTTTCAAGTAACTATTCAAATCCCTTTTGAAAGCTACTATCAAATCTGCTTCCATTACCCTTTAAGGCAGTGCATTCCAGATCGTAACAACTCTGTGGGTAAAAAAAATTCTCCTTGTTTAGCCTCTGGTTGACCAACAGTGCAGATGAAAAGCTAGGTCTTAATGTAAAGGTGTGTGTCTGTGGCGGGAGGGTGGGGGGGAGAGGGTGGAGGAACTTCAGGTTGGAGGCAGGTTGGCAGAAAGCTCTCCCACTGATTGTGGTGTCGGTTGGGCACAGGACTTGAAACAGGCTAGTGTTCACGAACCAAATAATAATAATAATCCTTGCATTTGATATCTCACCTTATCATGTGTTTGAGATGTCTCAAAGCGTTTCAATGCTTCAAAGTGCTTCAAATGGCACCACTGAGGGGCAGTAGGGTTGGAGGAGGTCTCAGAGATAGGGTGGGGCGAGGGCATGGAAGGAATTGAAATTTCGTATCAGAGAAAGTAGAGTATTTCCTAATAAAGGACGTCTGGGCAACTGGTCTGAGACTTTGATGACCTCTTTGACTCTCCAGGTGCCAGCCATGGGAAGATAGTGAACATCAAAAAGGTCCAACATCAGAAGGTCCTCGGTGGGCTGGCAGAGACCACCCTCCTGCCCTGCGTGTTCTCTGTGCTGCCCACCTCAGCCATCGACCCCTCCGGCCTCCCAGACCCTCCCCGCATCAAGTGGACCAAGGTCATGCTGGAGGGCGGGAAGAGGAAGGAGATCCCGGTGCTGGTGGCAAAGAACAACACGGTGAAGCTGAACCCGGTTTACCAGGGCCGAGCCATCTTACCGGGCTACGCGGCCAACCACTACAACGCAAGTCTGCAACTCGCAGCTCTCCAGACAAGCGACTCTGGGATCTACCGCTGTGAAGTGGTGGTGGGCATCAACGATGAACGTGATACGGTTCCTCTGGAGGTCACCGGTGAGTACGTGATGTAAAATTTCAGGAGGAAGATGACCAAAATGGTGGTGCATAATTCGTGAGTCTATTGAATATGTAATGACAATAGTCAGCAAGTCAGCTTCATAATTCCTTCAAGCAGAGGCAATAGATACAGTAACATCGATATTGCCCTATTCCCACTGGGAAAAAGCGTGGACCCTAAATGGCAATGTTTTTATCCGAAGGGATGAGTCCAAAGCTGCTTCCTCACTGGTTTCCAATCTCACTGGCCGAAAATAGGCATTGAAATCAGTGTTTGTTTGAGTTGTCAGCCTGGCTCAGTGGGAAGGTAGCACTCTCGCCTCTGAGTCAGAAAGCTTGAGGGGACAAGCTCCCACATCGGGGCTCTGAACTGATAATCTAGTCTGAGATTCCAGTGTGGTGCTGGAGGGGGAAGAGCACTACATTGTCGGAGGCTCTGTCCTTCGGATGAGACGTTAAACCGAAGTCCTGTTGCCTTCAGAAGAGGGGGAGGACATTACTCTCAATTCAAACTCTTACTGGCTCCAGCTCTGAGGCTAAACCACGCTCAGACCCTTGGCTTTCTGACTATTTACTCAAAGGTTGTGGCCAACAGCCACAGAGAGACTTTACCATTGAGCTTAGCGGTAGCTGTGGCAACCAGCAACACTGAAACCCACTCAGCATCACAGAAGCCCACATTTATATAAATTGTGTGTGTTCGATCTGAGCAAGTGACAACCCACCCCTCAGAGCCAGAGTACTTAATAACCATCACCTGAGCCTTGGAATTGCAATACAGCTTCCAATTGCTCCCTGGTGCCTGTTGTTATTTACAATATATATTGTAATGCTGGGGCAGGGGGGGATTGAGCAGGCTCTGTACTGGCCAATAGCTGCATATTGTCAATGCAGTCTGCGTCCTTGGTAGACAAAGTCAAGAAAGAAAGCAGGAAGGAACTTGCCTTTATATAACTCTCCTTTATCTCGTGCTGAAATGTTTCAAAGCGCTTCAAAAATAATTACTGTCAAGCCCGGTGGCTGTTTTTTTTGTTCAGGAAAGACGACTGCTGTTTGCGTCAGCAGTGAGGTGATGATCGCCGATCAATTCATCTCATTTTTAAGGCGTTTAAGGGGAACTTTTTTTTACGCAGGTTGGGGTGAGGATGTGGAACTAACTGTCCCAAATTGTGCTGGAAGCAAAAAGCATCAATGTGCTTAGGGGGAAGCTTGATGCCTACAGAAGGGGGAAGGGAATAGAGGGGTATTGGGGGATGGGGCTCTCGTGTGGCATATAAACACAGTCATGGAACTCTTTAAGTCTGGTTTGATTACCCTTGAGCTCAGCGATGGGTTTCCACGTGCTTCAGACACCCAAATCTGAGGAAGAGAGCAATTTTCTTTCCTCCCCTGAAGGTGTTTGATCCCTGTCCTCCTTTACTTAAAAAAATTCCTTTTTAAAACAAAATAATAATTTGGTCACTCAATCCACAACTGTTTGTGGGACGCTGCTGTGCGCGTGTTCCGCCCACAAAATACACAGCCAACTCACTTTACAGTATATTCTGTGAAGCGCTTTAAGATGTCTCGAAGACGTGATAAGGCGCTGTATCAAATGCAAGGCTTATACGTTATAACTTTTCACTGAAGGACATCTCCATCGTTGTCCATCAGTACCTCACCCCAGTGATACATTGTGAGAGCCTTGGCAGTGCGTTCTCAGCAGAGTGACGGACAAACAGATCAGTTGCCTTTAGCACGTTTCAGCATTGCAGAGCCAGGGTTAATTCGGACACAAAGCATTTTTCGAACAAAGCTGACTTACTGACTTTCTCTCTCTCTCTCTCTCTCTCGCTAGGTGCCATCTTCCATTACCGCAATGGGAGCAGCAGGTACTCGCTGAGCTTCCAGGCAGCCCAGCGAGCTTGCGCCCTGAACTCAGCCAGAATGGCCTCCCCCGCACAACTGCTTGCTGCCTTCCACGACGGCTTTGACAACTGCGATGCCGGCTGGCTTTCTGACGGAACCGTGAGGTGAGCGTTGAGCCCTATACAAGAACGTTCACGCACAGATAGACACACACACAAAATGATAATAATAATCCGTGCGTTTGATATAGCGCCGTTGAGACGTCTGAAAGCGCTTTATAGGATATATTGTGAAATGGATTGACCGTATTTTGTGGACGAAACACGGCAGCCAATTGCGCACAGTCGTAGTTTGAATGACACACACACACATAGACACGTTCCGTATACAGTGACACGTGAGTGCACTCACACACACCCACACACACATGCAACAGTCAGGCACAGCCGGGCAGAACACACATGTTCACACACGTACGCATGCGCATGTTCACCCACAGACAGGCGGTCACAAGCACATGTTCACATACACACATCACGCTCCATTTGAATCCCTTCCAAACCACACAACTTGACATTAAAATCTACCACATTCCCCCAAGCACTGAAGTTATTATAGTCCCTGTAAACCAGCCACCCGCATTGCACTAATGTAGATGCCAAGTTTGTATTAAGTGGCAAATTTAACAAGGCGAAGCACACACACACACTCCAGGTCAATGACTGGAGGCCACGCGTTCACTATGTTCCTGGTGATGTGAGGCTGATGTGAGGCTCCGAGCAGGTCATTGTCTGGCCTGAAGCCTCTTCTTCTCTGGCCAGAGCAATGACTCACCAGCTCGTCTAACTTGCGGTATTTTCCTAGTGGCATTCCTCGATAAGAAGCGGGGTGCCCTTGTGTAACAGGGAGTGCGTCACGGAACCCCACCCGCAAGCAATGGGATTCCTGCACGGAACTCCCCCCCCACCCCGGCTCAGCAGCGAGGAATCCTGTAAATTACACCTCATTGTTTCTACCTCTTCGGGAAAGAAAAAAAATGATTTGGTCACTCAATCCACCACTGTTTGTGGGACGCTGCTGTACGCAATTGGCTGCCGCGTTTCGCCCACAAAATGCACAGTCAATGCACTTCACAGTATATTCTGTGAAGCGCCTTGAGACGTCTCAACGACGTGATCAAATGCAAGGATTATTATAATAATTATTATTAAGATGAATGGCAGAGGTTCCACTACAATTAAAAGTGAACATTTTACTGACTATTTTATTTAATCAAACACAGAACAAGTGAGTCCCCGGGATTCTTCACCCGGTAATAAACGGCTATTTTCAGTCTGGGTTTGAATTGGTTCATCATGTGTCACGATCTTGCAGGGGATGTTTTTTGTTTTCCGCTCAGAATCAGCCCATCTCTGTTTCTGTCTCGGTCTCTCTCTCCTCTCTTGTTTCTCTCTCCCTCTTTTTCTCTTGTCCGTTTTCATTCCCTTCTATTTCACCCACAAAATATAAAGTCGATCCACGTTACAGTATATTCTGCGAAGGGCTTTGAGAGGTCTCAACGACGTGATAAGGCGCTATGTCAAATACAAGGATTATTATTATTTCATTTTCTCACTCGTTGCTTTTCTAGTCTTTCTTTTTTGCTCCCTCGCTCTGCATTTCAGTTCTCTTTCTCTCTCTGTTCTCGCCGTATCCCTTTCTCTGCTGATGAACGTTGCTCTCCCCACACAGATTTTCCCCAGATGGAGCAGGTTGCTCGGGGAGGCAGTTGGGGCGGAGAGTGTGGGCAATTTCAGGAAGGAGGGATTGCTAGTGACAGGCTGTGAGGGTTTGTCCTGATCTTGCACATTCCTAAGGACCGGTTACCACTGTCCCTGATCACACGGTGGCTTTCAAATGTGCTAGCTCAGTCTCGTCATTCTTGTCTCTTCGCCACAGCCCCTTCTGTTCCCACTTTCTGAGAGCAAGTCGTGCCAGCCAGCCAATTAATTTTCGCTCTGTGTGTTCTGTGGAAGAGAAGCTTCCAGCTTCCTCAGGCCCGCGCCAAATCGGATGCTGTAGCATTGCCAGCGATCTATTCAGGCATCACCGCTGTGTTGGCAGCTTAGGCTCTGCGTTGTCGGAGGGGCTGAGCTCAGTGAGAGGAGACTCACAATGCCATTCTGCTTCATTTCCAGGGCAACAGAAATCATATAGGAAATGTGAGACACAGAGAGAGAGAGAGAGAGAGAGAAAGACGGACACACAAAGGAGTCAGATGCAGAATGGTAGACGGAGCGAGAGGAAGACAGAGAGAGAGAGAGAGACGTACACACAAAAGATATAGATGGGGGAGAGAGAGGTAGACAGTGATAGAGAGATGAAGGGAGATAGAAGGAGAGAAAGGGAGCAGTTGAGACAGAGAGAGAGACACACACACATATGCACGACTGAGTTGGACAGAGAGACGGAGAAAAAGAGAAAGATTGTATGTTGAAAGCAGCCGTGACAAAAGGACCTCCTTCGCGGGGGAATGAGCTTTATAAGAAATGATTTTAATTAACTCGGGCTGTGTCTGGAGAGCTAAGCCTCCGGTCCTTGTCCTGAGAAGTCAATTCCCAGCTCCACATATGGCAATCCATTTCCCATTTTCCTCCCAGCCGCCGCAACGAATGTTTTATTAATTATTCCTAAACGACTGTGAAAATGGGAAATTCAGAAACGTTTGACCCAACAACCCGTGGCCCCCACTGTAATCCACGTTCAAAAGGTCTCCACGCTCTTTGCCTGATGAGTTTCGGGTTAGCTCCGCGAAGCTAGCCCGTGTGAAGGACGCTGTGTAAATGCAAGTTGTTGTTGTTGTTTCTTTGACGTGTAGTGACTGTTGTGGAGGTAAAATGCTGCATAAGTGAAATCCCCCTAACAGTCCAAAGAGGTCCCATGCTAATGCCTCACCTGAAGGATGGCACCTCTGACAACACAATGCTTCCCCCATCACTGACCTCGGACATCGGTTGGGATTTTAGCCCAAGATTTAGTTGGGACTTTAGCCCAAGACTTAGTGGGGATTTCAACCCACAAGCTTCCGACCAGGATGAGAGAGTGTCAGCAACTGAGCCAGGCTGACACGCATTCAAAACTAATACGCCGACTATTTAATTAATGTAACAAAATCACTAAACGTGGAAAAATCACTGACTCCGCGATTGTGTCTCTCTTAGAGTAATGGGGTGGAGAGTGGAGTTATCAAAGATCTGAGAACCTGGCATCAATCTCACTGAGAAAAAGATACAGACTTTTCCAAAAAAAAAGTGCTAAAGTGTCTCTAAAATTAATACAAGGTTATATACTTTTCCAGGAATGGGATCCATTGCCAATTTCACAGATAAAAGCACTTTGGAATGCAATTGAGACACATTTTCAAAAGATGCATCACAGTTATTGCCTTTAAATAACACCTGAATCTCTTTAATTAAAGACTAAACAGCTTTGCCAGCCGCCCTTCCTCACATTTTCTCAATTAAGGCTAAGTACAGGGCAGCTGATGATATGATATTAATGGTATAAATCTGGAACAGGCTGAGTGCAAATCAAAGTGACTTGCAGATTGAGACAGTTTCAATGGTAAACCCCATTCTAATTCTCTCCCCTTTGCGTAAAGAGCTGTTGTAAATCTAAGGCAAACTACACTGCAAGTTTCTACATTTACATGAATCCAGGAACCAACTTTGTTGGACCTGTAAAAGTAAACTGAAATGTTGCAGTTCCTATAGCTCGGAGCCTCTAGGGAGACAAACAATTTACAGATAATTGTGGTTTTCTTCCAGCATCACCCCTCTTTGTTGGGAGTTGATTTTATTTCCCCCTTAAGTTTGTCACAGACTCAATCACCTCCCAAAATCCTTTCATGCTTAAGAACTTCTCTGCATCACTCTCCTTTGGGAATCTCAGCTGAAACCGCTCGCTCCCCCTCTAACTCCCAAAGACTCTTCCAAACGATGCCTTCAAACCTCTTCCCTCTTGGTCCATTGCTAAGTTCTCTCAGATGTACAGTTTCGTGAATGGTCGCCAACAAAAGTTGCCCTTGTCATTGTACAGATACCCAATCAGATTGCCGAGACCCGGTTGCTATGGTGATAAATCCCAACTTCCTGGCATCAGGAGCTACGGAGAACGAGACCCTGGGGAATTATATGACGTCTACTGCTACATCAAGGACCACAAAGGCAAGTCACGGTTTCTAAGGCGGTTTCTATGGTTCTGCCTTAGAACCATAGAAATTCACGGCACAGAAGAAGTCCATTGTGTCTTCAAGAGCAATTCTTGCCGTCCCGTTTACCTGCCCTTTGTGAAGGCATTTATATAGTTCCCTTTTGAAAGCTAATGTGCGGATTCTTGTGTGCTTGTGTGTTAAGTGAATTGAGTGAAGCATTATGCTTCGTTGCTGGTACCTGGATGTAACAACTGTGCTCCGTGGCTCTGTTTGTCTATGTTCTGGCAGGTAAAGTATTCCACGTGACAGCTCCGGGGAAGCTGAACCTGACGGAGGCCGAGGGCCGGTGTCAAGCCCAGAATGCGGAGTTGGCGACCACTGGGCAGCTCTACTTGGCTTGGAGGAAAGGCTTTGACCAGTGCGACGCCGGCTGGTTGGCAGACGGGAGCGCCCGCTATCCCATCAACGTGCCCAGGAGGAACTGTGGCGGAGACATCCCGGGAGTGAGAACGATCTATCAGATGCCAAACCGGACTGGCTTCCCGGACCCGGCCTCCAAATATGACGCCTACTGCTATGAGGGTAAGAGCTCCACCTGGTCCACATGCCGTCAGCACCTCTAACATTGATACATGATACAGCGCCAATAAGGCTTGCCCACAAAATACAGTCACTACACCTTACAGCATATCTTACGAAGCACTTTAAGATGTCCACCTTGCTACAAGCAAATTAACGGATTATACTAATAGCAATCCTCGCATTTGATCTCATAGAAAGGCAGAACAGGCTCGAGGGGCTGAATGGCATCCTCCTGTTCCTATGTTCCTACGAGAGTGCTATGAACTGAGCCAGGCTGGTATCTAAAGAGTAGCGCAGGAGTTGAAAATAGAGGATAGAGATTGCGATTTGCAAGCAAGCCGGCGTTTGAGTATTTCTGAGCAAACCTTGGAAGCGTTGGACAAGCTTCTAACAAGGAAACTCACCATCAATCTGCCAGTAAAATGTTTAATCAAAGCCAGACTTTCGTAGCCAGAGGCGAGCTCTATTATAAATGATGGCAGTTTTGATGACAAAGACTTTGAAGTGTTTAATTGAAGCACAGCGGCCAAAAAAAACGTTATCCATACGTCATTGTGCATTATAATAAATATGTGGGACAGAAAATATAGCAGTGGGAAAGCCATGTAAACAGCATCCATTAACATAATGCTTCAAAGATTTACTCCTGAGGTTCAAAATTCCTCGCCTCAGGCATTCTTTTTCAGTATATGTTGAAATCAGGAAAATGAAATTACTGCTAATACATATTTAACAGTAATTTTATTTAGTGATTTCAATATGTACTGTTAAATACATACTTAACAGAAGAGTTTCTCCCAGTGTCCCGGCCAACATTCCTCCCCAGAAAAAAATGGGAAATCTCTCATTGACTGTTTGTGCGATGTTACAATGCGTAAGCAAACTGGCTTAAAAAATACTCTGTCGCTACATTTGACGGTATATCCCGTGAAGTGTTTTGAGTCATTGAACCTGATGTGAAAGTTAATCTTACCAGGTGTTAGCGTCTCTCATTGCACCTGGTAATAGGTTTCACAGGTACTTTGTTACCTTGCCTGGCTCCAGGCCCTTCTCCCCCACCACCACCACACCAAATTGAGGACCATCACACCAGCACAGTCAACCATCAATTGGTGATGTTGCTAATATATTCTGACTTGGCAGAATTAAATCCTATTCTTTCCTTCTTTCCAAATGCTAGCTGTCAATGGCGAATGGCCAAGCAAACACGCGATGGATTCCGAAGCCTCAGGGAGATCTGTGCAGGGCCAAGTGGAACATAAGACAAAACAGGAACCGTTAGAACACTCTAAGGGACAAGAAGGTGATGGGGAACCCATCACAGTGGGGAGGTTAACAGTGGCAGAATGGGGCGAGACTCCATCTAATGGTACAAATGGGACACAGGTTGTTGAAATGTATCTACATCTAGGAACCAACATCTCTGATCCGGAACACCAGAATCTAACTCGCCTTGAGACTCCATCTGTTGTCATCGAGGAACACAACTCAACATCCAGCACAAATGTCATCTCCTCAGGCGCTGGTAGCAGTCTGACCCAGAGTGTACTAGACGCAGACCTGACAAAGGAACCCGAAGGGAGTGGTCTCGACGCTTACCGAGATCAGCTTTCTATCTCAACCCCAGGAGCAGTGACCGTTGGCGGAGATGAGAGGCCAAGCAAAATGTCCAAGGAGGAGGAGGGGCGGGGGAAACTCGCGGGTCCTGTCAGCTCCCAGAGCCAAGCAAGCTCTGCTCTTCACGATAACAAAATTGTAGTGGGCGAACTCATTTCGAAAGAAAAGAATGACTGGCGGACAGAAGCAGAAGATCCAGAGTCTCAACGAGTGCAAAACGCAGGAGAAGAGAGCGTCTCTGTGAGCCCCATGGAAGTCTTGGATATCTTAAAGTCCGCTTCCCCCACTAACCGGGACGCTTTGAATCTCTTGCCTATATCCAGGAGTTCCCCAACAAAAGAGGCAAGATTAGGTATCATGGTTATTGACGAGTCCAATGATTTGCCTTTGTTGGACCCCCTAGATGAGAGTAAGGACAAATCCCCAGACAATGACTGGGGGCACTTAGAAAATCAGCTCACCAGACAGATCGTTCCAGAGACCATCACTGAAGTCCCCTTTGGCCAACAGCCCCTGGTCGAGCCTGATGCTAGTCTCAAAGCTCCGACAGATGTTACGCATCAAAATCCAGCCAGAGGAACTCAAGCACCACTGTATACGTCAACGTCCTTCGCTGGGACAGAAAATAAGAGAGTGACTCCTCCAGGTAAGCAATTTTCATGTCAATCATTCTGTTATACAGTGGTTTGATTGCTACGGGACATCATCAACAGCTCAGATTACACCTGGAATTGGTTACCAGGAAGGTCAGGACAATGGGATTCCTTTGTGTTAAAAAAGATGTCACGATGCAGTGATGTGTTTAATAGAGTGGGCAGACGAAAGGGCAAACAGCCTTCTTCACCACACCTCTCTCTCACGAGTTCCTGTGACGTATGGAGCTACATCCATTCCTATTACTTCTCCATTCCCAATCGTCTGACCCTCTCCCTTGCCTCCTTCAAGATCCGTCTCAAGAGATTCCTCTTCGACTGTGCCTTCGGTCACCATTCTACCCTTCCTGCCCTCCACCCTTTCCTGATCCCAACCCCCAGTTCGGGTCCAAATCCTTGACTGTCCAATGCTTTGGGATGTCCTCCCGATGTGAAAGGCGCTGTGTAAATGTAATTTGTTGTTGCTCAGGGAATTGGAAAAGCAGGAAAAATGTTCCAATTTTCCGATCAGTATCCACAGACTGCTTGAGAGTGTAAAGGAGGGAAGGGGGAAGGGAAAATTCATTGAAACAGGGAAATGAAAGTAGTTATGGAATGAAGAGCACTTTATGGTTGGTAATGTCAGATGTCAATGGCTGTTATTTCTTTCTGAACATCTCTTAAATTAAACCCAATCTTACAGATTACTGATTTAAACACCTCGCTCTATGATTTCCAACTCTCACAAAACTCAATCATACAAGTTGAAGCTGCAAAAAAGCCCCAGTAAATCATGTGTAATGGGATCAAAGATCAAACTGCAACTATAACTTTAAAAAAAACACAGGAAGAGAATAGTGATAAATTACGCTGCCAAAAAATAAAAAAGGGGATGTGATACTATCATTAATAAATTTGCCTTTCTCCCTTTCACAGTCTGTATCTTGAACAGGACAACCCCTTTGCTTGTCGCTCCCTCATTCTGCCTTCATGTTTAACAAATTAAGACATTTACTGTTCAAAGAGAAATAGTTTAATCTTCAATTATGAGAATGAAAGCGTACGCTCAATAATTAATTGTCTGTGGGTTTTTTCGCTGAGGAGAAAAAAGATTAAAGAAGCATTATTTTGGGCACTGGAGATCTACAGCAACTGGGATTACATACTGCTGGCTTGTTGTATTTAGGGCTGAAAAAGCACCGGTATCTGAAATTCTATCACGCTCTTCTCCCCTCAAACTGAGGACCTTACACTAAGTAAAAGTTATAAAGTGTTTATTTTTAGCCTCAAGTAAAACAGGCCTAAGGGGCTTCCTCCCCCAGCCTGAGCATTTAATAATAATAATAATTTATAGGGAGATTGGTAATGACTAGACAACAACAGCCTCCCCTTTTCGTGGTGTTTGAGCCTGGGGATTATTCATGTTCTTGGACGTGCTGCACCCGCAAACTAGACAAATCAATTCACTTTACGGTGTATTCTGTGAAGCACTTTGAGACGTCTCGAAGACGTGCTAAGGCGCTATATCAAATTATTATTATGTTCAATAGGGTGTGACTGACCAGAAGCAAGTTGAGGAAGCCCCTTAGGCCTGTTATGGTTGAGGCTAAAAATAAGCACTTTATAACTTTGACTTGGTAGAGGGAATTAATTCCTTACAACCCAGCCTGCTAGTTTCAAGGCACAAAACCTAACCTCCTTGCAATGGGAATATCATGCTTTGACGCCACATAGTGTCCGGGTCCATGACCTGATGTGTTATAAGAAAGGTAACATTGTATTACATAGCATTGTATTACATCCACTGGTTGTCCTCCCATTATTCAGCCTTGACCTCAACTGCCCATCCCAAAAGTACCCTCAAAGTGGCCAAAGCTCCCTCAAACACTGGCCTTTGGTTCTAAACCTCAATGCTGGCCCAATAATGGGTGTTGAAAGATTGGAAATGTCCCCCCATGGAGATGAGCAGAGAGAGAAAACAAATGTTGCAATGCAATTTGGATTTAAGGAACCCACACTACTTTTGGGGGTGGGGGTGGGAGGTGTCAGTCGGAGCTTTGGAAACATTCCCTCAAGTTTTAGTTTACATGAATTACAAGTGGCTACAGTACAGGGAAGCCTTAAGGGAGTTAATTAACTTCAAACATATCGTGTACTTGGGAACATCAAGATCTGTGCCGGCTTCTCCTGAGTATTGTCAGGCTACCCAGTTGAATACTAAGTGTGAATGAACTTAAAGGGAAATGAGACCAATTAACCTAGAAAATAAATTCTGTGTTGATGTGAAGTTAACTTTGGCAGAGGAAGAATTCTCACTCGGATTGGCACCTAGTATGCTTTGCAGTCTGTGACTTATTGTATTGTGGAGTCCTGTAGTTTAGTGGTTAGAGCACTCGCCTCGCAAATAGGAGGACCTGAGCGTGATTCCCAGGCAGGGCAAAACGTTGGGCAAGTTTCCTTACTCCACACGCCTCTGTGAAGCTCTTTGAGATGTCTCGAAGACTTGATAAGGTGCTATATGAAATGCAAGGATTAATATTTTTAATATTGACTGTTTTTGCAAACAATCGTGGTAGTCACTATGCACACAGCGACGTCCTGCAAAGAGCAAAGGCCCATGTTGGAAATGGGACAGTCATGTCGTCTAAACTGACACTCAAATTCAGTGCTGGGGGAACGCTGCATTGAGGGAGGGGAATATGAGCGACGGAGGACAAACCATGGAGTAGTTGGGTCGATGTCTCTGCATTATAACGTTGTATGTTGATGTGAACCAAACTCTAACATGAGTGTGTGTCTTCAGGAGAGGAGCAGAGAGGAACTGGACAGAAGCCTCAAGTGGTAACATTTGATAATATGTGTGTGTCACCTTCCTACAGATCACACTGCAGCTGTGGACAGCGGACACCCACCAACACCCGACCATGTAGGTCAGAAGGAGGCGAGCTCCTCGCTTGGCAGCCTCAAGCTAGAAGGGACAAAAGCCAAGAGGGCAAATGTTGGTCTGTGGGTGGGCTCAGAGGGAGAAGGAACCTCAGCAGAAGCCAGACCGCAAGGCGACAGTGGGAGAGAGGAGACAGGAGCCTCGCTGGGGAGTGGTCGAGAGGGTCCTGGAGTGGAAGGAATGGGACTGGGGGGCAAGGTTGCAGTCAGCACGACAAGTCCGAGGACTGAGCCTTCCACTCAGGTAAAACCCAGCCTCAAGGCTTCAAGGGATATGACTGTGAAAGAGAAGGCAGAGGAGGTTTCTACCTCGACAAAGCCAACTGGAGTCTACAGACGCTTGGGAATAAAGATTCCTGTTTTGCGAAGGTTCGGGCAGAAGGATAATTCCCAGCCAGCGAGCGGCAATGTGTCGGGAGAGCAGCGTGGAGCCTCACCACCATCGCCAGTGAAGGGAACCGATATTCCGTTAGTGGGCAAGAGCGAGGAGTCAAACCAGGAGCAGTCGAGAGCTGAAACCGCTACAAGAGCAAGGGAACAGGTTGGATCTCAGACTGAGATGAAAGTTCAGAGCTCAGGAATCCCAGAGCTGTTGTCTCACCCCCAATACAGCTCCAACTCCCACACAAGCCCAGGTGTCGAGGCAGCGAGCTCCTTCTCTGATGCCACTAACGCAGTCGGCAGTGGTGAGGAAGAAGCCACTTTTCAAGACCTTTTTGCAAGCGGGAACTCTGGGCTGGCTACGCTCTCGGCACCCACGACTGGAGATCACGAGTGGAGCCAGGCTGCAACCACTTCAGTGCCTATTCAGCAACTCAGCGGTGGGCTTCAAGGGACTGCGGGGACTGTTGATGGTTATTTGGAAGGTTATACGGCACCCAGCACCCATCCTGACCACGTTCTAGCAACAGAGAGCGTGACAGAACAGCCACAGCGACTCACAACAGCAGGAGTAGAGATGGATCGCCTTGAGGAAGGGAAAGGCAATCCGCCAGCATCAATTGGTACAAACAGTGCAGGCTGGCTTCAATCTTCTACAGGGAACCCAATGGAGACACAGGAGGCTGGTACATTCTCACACACACAGGAACCAACGACCTCAATTGATGGTGGTGTTAGCACCGCACGAGCAACGAAGACGGAATTGGTCAATATGGAGCAGGAGCAGAATTCGTCAGTGACAGAGATGTTCTCGTCAATAGACCAGGAGAATCTGGAGGATCAAAAGGAAACCACAGCCGTGGCTCACGGCGACTATTCAGCCCCGGAGACCCTGTCCTCAGGGAGCACCGTGTCCGCAGGTACCTACATTGAGTTAGGAGCCAGCTCCCCGCAGGTGACTGATCCGAACGACATTAAAATAGCGGTGACAGGGGAGGGAGGAGGAAACAAAAGTGGAAGTGACTTGCACACGGTTGGAGTAGATTCACCACGCGAGGAATCTACTGTAGAGGAACCCCAGCTTGAAACTGGGGAGACCAGAGGACCACAAGCTTCGGCAACACCTTTGGCAGTCACTGGAGAGCCCGAGGCAGCGATCACGGGCAAAGAGGTGGGCGCCGGGCTGGCAACACCAGGGGCAACGGTAGCCGCGGATGTGCTGAGAGAGGAAGTCATTGGAGGACCAGCGAAGATTCGTCCCCGAGGGAAGCTCTTCAAAGCTTCACATCCGTTCCATTCTTCACTCCGTGGGACAAGGGTGGGGGTGTCGATGTCCGAGCCAACCCGACAACAACAGGGACTGGAGACAGCGCAGAGGATGTGATCTCGCCCACACCAGCTGATGAGGCACCCATAGCGTCTGAGATAATGGGGCTGTCACTGATAGAATTCACGGATGCCTCTGGGGCAGCAGAGGACCAAGCGGGTGGAGGCCTGGCCACATCTCCCGCAGACACCAAAGTTGCTGTCTGGACCTTCATGCCAACCTCTGAGGTTCTACCCACCAGCACCCACTCAGAGGAGCAACTCTTCTCAATGCCAGGTGAGCGATCAATCAACCCTTTTATATCAATGATTTATTTAGTGAAGCGCTCCGGGATGCTACCCCATGTGTAGGGCGCTATGTAAATGCAAGTTGTTGTTATTGTAGTGGTTGTTGTTTAGAGAGAGGCGTGTGTGTGTGTATGTGTTCAGGGGAAGGGATAGGGGTCTGGGACACTACCCCGTGTGTAGAGAGCTATATCAATGCAAGTTGTTGTTGTTTGCTGTGTGAAATCGCGTCATTCTTTGGTCACTTAATCCACGACTGTTCGTGGGACGCTGCTGTGCGCAATTGGCTGCCATGTTTTGCCCACAAAATATACAGCCAATTCACTTTACAGTATATTCTGTGAAGTGCTTTGAGACGTGTCGAAGACGTGATAAGGCGCTATGTCAAATGCAAGGATTATTATTATTATTTATCCTAGAGATTTTCTTTATGGTCTGATAAATCCAATAATGGAGAAGGAATTGTTTTAAATCACACTCTTTCTTACAGTCCTCTCTCTCTACATGATACCAATCTTTGGTAACACCATAAAACAATCCATCGTGGCTGAGAGACGTGGACGGTGAAATTCAATCTCTCTCTCAGCATATTTCACTGCCCTCTGGGCAGAGGCAGGTATATTGAACACCGATACAGTGTGTAGGTTTCATGTTGAAGTGTAACACCCAGTGAAGCAATCCAAAGGCACATTTCACTTCTCCCCACTCTATTCTACAATTTACTGTACTTTCCAACGCGTTCCTCTGTCCATCAGTTCTCTGCTCCCACACAGGAGCTTATTTCTTCAAAAGAAAGTACACCACAGTAACTTGTTTGGGATAGATCCAATATTACTCCACCCTTCGCTCTTCCTTTTTTTTACAGCCTACACTGTCTTAAAGTGCTTAACAGGTGATTGCCTTCAAGTTCAGTAGAGATTGTAGGCCAGAGCCGCAACCGTCTAACACAGCATCGACTAAATCCCACTTACAGTGACTGATTTATCACTGGCTCTGACACTGGGAAACCTGACTGGCCTGGATTATTTAACATTGTATTGTATTGTGTATCCACGCGGAGAAGCAGACAGGACCTCAGATTGTTTCCGAAGGAGGTCACCACCTCAGTTCTAGCGAAAGGTCATAGACCTGAACCGTTAACTAATTTTCCTCTCTCCATGGATGCTGCCTGACCTGCTGCGTGTTCCGCTCCCCAGCCCCCCCCCCCCACCACCACCACCTACACAAGTTATGCATTGGGTGTGTTAGCCCAGAACTTAAGTCCTGACATGTTGCTTGAAATCAATCCTGACCCAGAGACAGTGAGAGTGGTGGCAAAGTTGTGATTAAATCACAGTTAGTATGAATGACATGGGAGATGGACATATAATCTACACAGAACACCTTCCACATCAGATCAGCAGTACTTCACGTTACCCGTATTGCTTGTATTAATCAAAAGAGCGAACACATGTGTTTATAAAATCTTGTAATTACCAGCTGCTCGTGTCATTAAGCTGCTGAACTTGCAAAATCCAAAAAGGACAGCTTCTGAGAGCCTTGTGAATCGAATACCAAAGCCCAATTAATGCGAATCAGTGTTAAGAATCCCTTTATAATGGCTACTGGGTCTTGTAAAACATAGCTCGAGCCCTAGCAACCTCTTTGGACAGGCCTGGGGGAGATTGATTAAGCAGTTTGGCATCATAATATTGCAAATGGTCCCGCAATCCCGTACACATGTTAATCACTGTGAAATCCGCCAGACAGATTGTTAGAGCTGGAAAGCTCCTTCGAGGACTGGTTCAGCATTTCGTTACCAAAAATAATACGGAAAGGCTCGGGAGAGAGATGAGAATTTATTTTGCTGACTTCTAAATTTCTCTTTTGTCGCAATCCATATCTGTAACGTGAGCCAATCCTTCAGGGAACCGAGGCAAGCACAATTCGAAACCTGCTCTCTACTCAGTCTCCCCTTGTCCTGAGCATGTAAAAGATCAGCAATAAGCCAATGGTCTACACTCTTTATTCATGTCTTGCAAAACAGGCGCCTTTAAACTTTGCTGCAACAACCATTTTATGTAGCCAGGTCCCAGTTCTTGGTTGTGCTAGGAGTCTGTCTCTCTCTCTCTCTCTCTCTCTCGCTTGTATATATTGATCATTTAGAAAACTATTCTCTCTTTATTCTTCTGTGCAAAATACAATCAATCGTTCGCTTCATGGCTGCTTGTGGAATGCTGCTATGCGCAAATTATCTGCCACGTTCACCTACAAATACACAGTCACTGCACTTTACGGTATATTCTGTGAAGCGCTTTGAGACATCCTCCTGATGTGAGAGGAGCTATATCAAATCTATTGGATTATTTATTGTCATTAATAATAAAAAAAAGAGACCATCTCAATTCTCTCTCGCGTTTTCGAAGAGCGTGTGAGAAACCAGTTGTAATTCACTCCTCTGCGAGTTCTAAGGGAGTTGTGATATTAAATATCTATCCGATCAAAAGAAAATTTTACACTGGGCAAAGAAGAAAATCAAAACGCACGGTTTATTCAACAAAGAATATTGCCGCAGAGCCCGAAAGCTGCTTGTTTTGCAGTCCTTCACTGGATCCACAATGGTGCGCATTTGAACTGTTGTACATAAAGATCAAATAACATCACACGCTGGGAATCTGCAGCTTGAAAGGCCATCGTGCCATGGGTGGGTGGTGGCAGCTCGGAGAATAATTCTTTGCCCGGGCTTGGATCTCTCGGAGCAAGGAGTCAGAGCCGTCATCATCTCGACGATTACTTCACTTGGTCGTGATTCGGAATGTTTCAAAGGAGATGCCAGAGAGAGTTTGAAACTTCAACGTGTCAGGTTTAGCCTGAGCTCCTGCATCAACCCCAGCCTCTGCTTTCGTACTTTCAGTCAACCTCCCACCCCCAATCCCACCTCCCTACACATAGCAACCTTCACATACCTTCACTATAAGGCTCGGAACATAGGAACTTGCTTAGCGAAGGAAGACCGAGGTCCATCCAGTTCACCTTCCACCAACCATCCTGTCAGTCGCTTGACATGTCGCATCTAATACTACATACTGCATCCCCAGATACTATTTCCTAACAGAAATCTGTCTAATTGACCATTATCGCGTGAATACAACACAATGTTACGCAGCTCTTTTAGTTTCCCCGTTATTATCAGCCCCCCCAGAGGTCACCAAGGAGGAGGGTGGCAGATGGGCCCATAACAGATCCATTCCCAGTTAATAAGATGTGACTAATTGTCTGAAAATTAAACACAGATGGCTCCGCATGAGACATCTCCGTAGGTTTCATTAATTATAAATTACTCCTGTGTGTTTTTTTGGGGGGAGGAAAGAAAAGGCCAGCAAATCACTTTGTAAATTTTATTTAAGAAAAAAAGAGGATTGTTTGGTCATTCCTGTTGGAGAGGGTCTGAGAGACAGTGATCTGAGGTGGGGCTGAGAAGAAACTCGAACAGTGACTCCTATTTGGCAAATAGAAAGACAGGAGTGAAACATATCAACTGTGAATTCTGCAAAGGGCAGAATGAACCCATTTCCGAAGGTCACCTCCAGCCCTCTCCTGCCTTATTTGCCCTATTGCCTTCTGTGGAGCTCCGAGCACAAAAGCATAGAGCCAGGGAATATTTCCAGCACATTGCGTCACTGTGTTTGCGCTAGTGTTAGCTCCCCCGCTGGGGCTCTCAACTCTAGTCCCATTCCTTTGCATTTTCCCACCCCGTGTGTGTCTGTGCTCGTGCTACTTTCCAGAACTAGTGGTGATCTGCTGTCTTCTTCCACTGTCAGCATTACCCCATCTTAAATCCATCCTTTTATCTTCACGTGGAACCTTCAGATGAAAAGCCGAGCTCAGATTCTTCTATATGCTATATTCTTCCCCCCCACCCCCACCCACCCCACAGTGTGCACAATCTCTTGGCAGCCCTCTTCACGGTCTTCGGGTGATGTGACAGACATTCTCCTTATTTTAAGTTGTTTCATTCCTTTCCCCTGTCCTGTCTTTCCCATCGATCATTCCATACACCTCTAGGAACACTCTCTCCTCTCTGGGTGGAAAAGAGAGATAAGAACTGGATAAAAAATAGCTGGTGTCTTTTCTCTAGTTGCAATGGAGGGAGTGGGGGGGTGGGGGCAGAGCCCGGGAAGGTTTGGGGGAACACACTTGTGCCACTTATAACTTGTTATGTTGGATAGACCATTTCACATGGAGAGCAGTGTTCTATGGAGCTTCGAGTCTGAAGACATAGAACCAGGGAAGCTTTGCAACACTCCCTCCCTCCCTCCCTCCAGTTAAAATTGGTCATTCACCTCATAGCTGTTCTTTGCAGCCTTACACCGGTGTCCTGATTGCACGCAGAAACAGTCACCGACCGCACTTGACAGTAATTGTTGCAAAGCGCAGTGATAAGGCGTTAGTTAGAAAAATGCAAGTTCTTGCTGCCTGCCTGCTCAGGGAATGTTTCAAAGGCGGCTGTGAAGGGAAGAAAATCAATTAAAATGAGATGAACGAAATGCACGTTCTACTTTTATACAGGTTGAAGTGAAATAAGAATCAATTACACTCGACGCGCTCTGAGGCTAATGGGACTCCTTGCTTAAGGCAGAATCTATTCCCCCCCTCGGCCATCGATTCCTCTCCTGGTGCAGGTCTCTAATAATTACGTGAATGCATTCGGCTCAATGATTTAATCATATTAGCCTCTCCTAATTAATGGGCTTCAACTGCATTAATTCAGAACTCGTGAAAATGATCGCTCCAATGCTTGTTTTTGGCGTGCGACTGTGTGACTTAAACCGACCGCAACATTAACAGCCCGTACATTACACGCTGAGAGATGGATAGGAGATGGCGTGGCTGCAATCTCAGTCCCCAAGATCTATCAATGACTTGAATACTCTTATAGCTACTTTTGTGTAGGATTCAAAGCTCCAGGCTCTTCACAACGACCATGGGAATTATTGAGCAGAGGAGGAGAGGACAAGCTTAATTTCAGCCTGACATGCTAAGACAGCAGAACAGTAAGCCACAGGTTCAGGATTGCTAGGGGCAATTTGAAGGCAGACATCAGGAGGTATTTCATTCTGAAGTGCTCCGAGATGTTACTCCATGTGAAGGTTGCTATGTAAATGAAAATCATTGTTATAATGATCCTTGCCTTTGATACAGCACCTTATCATGTCTTTGAGATGTCTCAAAGCGCTTCACAGAATCTACTGGCAAGTGCAATGACTGTGTATTTTGTGGGAGAAAACGTGGCAGCCAATTGCGCACAGCAGCGTCCCACAAACCGTCGTGGATTGAGTGACCACACTTTTTTTGGGGGGGCGGCGGAGGGATTATTACCACTGGAAAGCGATCCACCAATCGGCTAACAACCGGGTTCCAACCTACTGCAAGGTGAACAGAGTGGTTGGATTGCTGGGTATGTGCAGGGGAGGGGGGAGCAATTTATTCTCTTGATACCTGTGAATGGAATCATTTTGTCTCCTCTTTTCTGACCCAGATACGGATCCCTGTCAGACGAACCCTTGCCTCCACCAGGGATCGTGCATGTCTAACAGCACCATGTACACCTGCGTCTGTGTGTCCGGCTTCACTGGAGAAAACTGCGAGATAGGTAAGCGAGGGAGCAAAGTCTGAGAGCCACCAGTCTGTCACTTCCCCCCCTGCCCTCCAAATAATAATTAATAATTCCAACCCCCATCCCTTCACGCCTCCCCCCCCCCAAAAAAAAATATTGGTCATTCAATCCATGACTGTTTGTGGGACATCTCTCCCCCACCCACTCCCACACACATCCCCACCAGCTCAAGGTGCAAACTCTCGATTGTCCAGTGCCTCCTGATGTGAAAGGCTCTAAATACAAATGCAATTATTTTGTCGTCGTTGTTCTATTTGTTTCGCAGATGAAATGTACGGAACGCTATATTTCATTTATTGAAAGAAGCTGGTTTGATTCTCTATTTGTATCCCCACTCCTGTCCCTAATCTGTCTCTATTCAAGGCACGAAAACGTTCCCTTATTATTTCTGGTTATTAAACCCAATTTTTTTTTAAATCGTTTCATGCGAGCAGCTTACAGAAAATGGGCTCCTTTTGTTCCTGGGACAGTTGTGGCTGCCAGGAAGTCAAAATGTTCACATTGGTTCAGATCAAAGGGAGAGCAGCAACCTGGTGCAGATCAAAGGAAAATTAATTAATGTAATATTAATAGTAATTTCAGAAATTCCGTGCCTGTTTTCTGGAACTCCATCACGAAATTACCTCGCCCTCTCCCTGCCTTCAGAGCTCACCTTCAGATTTCTCCTTTCACCTGTGCGTTCAGTCAACTTCCCCACCCCACCCCCTACCCCCACCACCCACCCACAAACTCAGGTTCCCGGTCACTTGTGTGAAGCACTTTCAGAATTCCTCCCGACGTGAAAGACGTTGTATCAAATGCAAGGATTATTATTATTTTTATGATTACGAATCGTCTGTAATTCAGGGGTCATTGAATTCAATGACATGGAGACCAACTGAGTTATTTTCGATGGTTTGCTTTACTTCCCAGACATTGACGAGTGCCAGGCCAATCCCTGCCAGAATGGAGCCACGTGTGTTGACGGAATCAACTCCTTCACGTGCCTGTGTCTGCCCAGTTACACAGGGAGTCTGTGCGAGGAAGGTGAGCCGAGAGTGTGTGAGGGTGAGAGAGATGTCAGGGTGGGAGCTAACGACTGCCCTGTCACTGAGCGATTCTTAACTGTAGAGCAAACCAAGCAGGGGGAAGGAAACTGCTGACCGCCTTATAATGGTGTGTTAGCTTGGCTCAGTGGTAGCACTCTTGCCTCTGAGTCAGAGGATTGTGGGTTCAAGCCCACACGTCAAGGCTTGGAATCATCCACAAAATACACAGTCACTCCACTTTACAGTGTAATCCTGTGAAGCGTTTTTAGACTTCTGAACGGCGCAATAAGGCGCAATATGAAATACAAGGATTATTAATGTAACACACTTCAGTCCTTTTCTAATAATAATGATAATAATCCTTGCATTTGATATGGCGCCTTATCACCTCTTCAAGACATCTCATAGCCCAGGTGCATCTTGAAAGTGCGGTGTACTTCATAGAACCATCATAGAATTATACAGCGCAGAAGGAGGCCATTCAGCCCACCCTGTCTATGTCGGCTCTTTGAAAAGAGCTACCCAAATCAATCCCACTCCTCCGCGCTCTCCCCATAGCCAAACTTATCCTCCCCAAATAATTTTCTTCCTGCGCTGACTGGCTGACTTTCTGCTAGGTGGGGGTGTGTGTATGTGTGGGGGGGGGTGGGGAGGAGGGGTGGTGGTGCGGGGTGGGGGGGATCAGGCCTGTTTGCTCGCTGGTGGGTTACACAATGTGGGCTGGAGCACCGCCCTGCACCACAGCTGCAGCCTGTAATGAAGCGCCAGAGATCAATGACTGGCCCCGGCTCCTGCAGGCAGCAGCTACAAATGAGAAGGTTTGTAATCATGCCGCGCGCGGAGAGTGCAGAGTGCTGGAGCGTATAGGCATGACTGGCTGGCTCCCACTGTGCAATGAGTGAACGCAGGCAGCCCTGCTCCCCTCCGTCACCTCCTATTAGGCTTCTGGCAGCCGTAACCGTTAGCAAAAAGGGCAGAGGAGAGAGCGAGAAAGAGAGGGAATCTGGGCAACATGACACTATCAGACCTAAACAGTAAGTCACTGGCTGACTGATCCTTACTGTTGTCAGACTGTGACCATGCGACAGATATTTCAGCTCCCTGTCTATCTTTGTCTATCTCACACACTTTCTTTCTTTCTTTCTTTTCTTTCTTTCTTCTTTTTTTCTTTCTCACGCACAGTTTCTCTCTCTTTCTCTCGCAGACGTTTCTTTCTGTCTATCTCATGTGCTCTAATCAATGCATCTGTCTCCCACTGTCTTTCAATCTGTCTCCCGCACTCCTTTACTCCAACTCTCACCCTATCTGTCCATCTGTCTATCACTCTCTACCTCGGTCTCTCTCTCTTTTTGCATCCAAAGCGGTGAGAGTGACTGGGTTTGCTCCTTTGACTCACTCATTACATATACATACAGACATATTGACATGCATACACATGTACAAACACGTAACACAGAAATACACACCCATATATAAATATAATATAATATATATATATATGTGTGGTGGATATCTCTCAGTAGAGAGTTTACTGTGTGAGGGAGGCTGGGAAGAGAAGGCAAGGTCCTGGAAATTATTAAATAACACCTAGAAATAAAACTTTGATCAAGGAATGTAAACCTTGACTGAGCAGCTTTGAATGGCTGAGGCGAGGCTAGCTGCAGGGACGAGGAGTCTGATTGCATAGAAGGAGGCGTGTGGAGTGAGGAGAGTTGTGCATATTAAACACTGCGCAACGTAGAGCTCCAGCAATGCCTCGCAACAAAGCAAAGATCTCTTTTCAATGGGGGAGAAGATGCAGTCCTGTAGTGTAGTGGTTAGCGCGCTCGCCGCGCAGGCGAGAGGACCCGGGTTCGATTCCCGGGCAGGCGGGGCGAAACCTTGGGCAAGTTTCTTTACTCCACACTTGGCAGATCGCTTTTCCGGGGCTAATAACCCCTCCAAAAAAAAGAAACCAACAAATCGATAAACAAATAATTTGGTCATTCATCCACGACCGTTTGTGGGACACACGCAGTCAATTTACTTTACAGTATATTCTGTGAAATGCTTTGAGACGTCTCGACGACGTGATAAGGCGCTGTATCAAATGTAAGGATTATTATTATAAGGTGTTACGTATGGATACAAACATCTCCAACCTGCCGCTCTGTGTGACTAAGGAAACCGAGAACAAGCAGTATAGTACACCGACTTGCTTGGAGGCTGTTACTCAGGAGAGTTGTGCAGATTGGCCAGGATTGCTGTCTAACCTCTAAACTGCTGCGCTGTAAAGGTGCCTCCAGGGGTTGCAATGCTAACAGGATTTCAGGAAACATGGAAAAAAACTCTCCTCGTCTCAGAACCCATTACTGCAAGTGTTCTTTGAAAGGTCAATGCTTCCTGTCACCTGAATGCACAGACATACACACACATTACACATACAGACAAAATATACATGCGTATACACGCAGACATACACACACTTACATATACAGACATATGTAGACATCCTGTCCCACATACACACGCACACAGATATACAAACACACACAAATACACATACGTATATGGTATATTATATATACACACAGTAAAACTCACATAAGTTTTAGAAGAACATAAGAAATGCCAGCCAAAAAACAAAAGACCAAGGTCCATCTAATTCTCCTTCACCTTCCTGGCGGTCACATGCAGGGATGTCCCGAACTCCCTATGTGCTATATCCCATAATGTTATTTCCTAAAAGAAAACTATCTAATCTGTGTTTGAAGGAACATTTCCTGCTTCAACCGTCTCCCTAGGGAGCCTGTTCCACAGGTTCACTGTTCGCGCACTGAAATAGTGTTTCGGTGGATTTATTCTGAATTTACCAATTCAGTCGGAGCCTCATGTGTACCTTGTGCCTTTACCTTACAGACACAGAGGGATGTGACCACAACTGGGACAAGTTCCAGGGTCACTGTTACCGGTACTTCTCACACAGGCGCCTGTGGGAAAACGCAGAGAAGGATTGCCGAGGACATGGAGCACATCTGGTCAGCATCCACTCGTCCCAGGAGATGGAGTTCCTAAACAGTGAGTCCCAACTCGTATTTTCACTGTCATTATTATTGTTATTATTGTCTATTATCACAATTATTATTTATTATTCCAATAAATTATTAGCACAAACAAATGTGCGTTAACGTCCATCACCAATGATCTCCCTCTTCCTCCCCCCCCACCACCCCCGCCCTCTCTCTCTCTTTCTCTGTATCTCTCTTCCAGGCATGGGACGAGAGTACACTTGGATTGGTTTGAATGACCGGACAATTGAGGAAGATTTCCAATGGACAGATTCCACTCCCTTGGTGAGTGTAAGGAACTATATACTGTAATACAGCATACAATTATTTGCTGGTTGTATGTGCTGTTTATCCCTGTGGCTCCTGTAACAGGAATGGGGGTGGGGTGGGGGAAGGAAATGCTACAACCTGACAGCAATTTTCAAATAAATCTCACGTCCTTTCTTTTTCTTTATGAAACAAAATGCTTTTTTTTGTTTGCCCAGCAATATGAGAACTGGCGGGAAAACCAGCCGGACAGTTTCTTTGCTGGCGGGGAGGACTGTGTGGTTACCATTAAACACGAGAACGGCAAGTGGAACGATGTCCCTTGTAACTACAACCTGCCCTACATCTGTAAGAAAGGCACAGGTAAGGAAACGGTGGCGAACGAGGAACATCTTGACTCTAGAAGCCGTTGGCTGGGAGAGGCGAAAGTGGAATGGAATGCAATTGTCTCAGAGGCGAGTAATACAGAGTGTCCACAAAGTCCTGTTACCATGTTTTTTTGGGGGGTCAGCCGGGTGTCTGACACATGCGGAAACCCATCACCACACTTAAGAGTCTCCAAACCGCAGTGCACTGACCAACAACTGGAACATGTGGAAGAATGATGCTAATTGCATATAGAAGTACGTCATTGTATTCAGTACAAGTGTATTTTAGACGTCCAGAAGATCAGTGTGTGAGTGTGTGTGTGTGTGTGTGTGTGAGCGCCATAATTTTCATGGCTGATAGTGTTCTGTCGCCATGTTGGGTGCGACATTTTACGTAACATGGATGGAGTAAGGAGGCGAAATGCATCTCTGTCAGACAGCTTGTTTCAGCTACTACGATTGCTGTTTCGCCCACAAAATATACAGTCAATTCACTTTACAGTATATTCTGTGAAGCGCTTTGTCGACTTGAAGACGTGATTGGGCGCTATATCGAATGCAAGGATTATAGTCATTTATTATTACTGTGATAGGGGGTAAGAGGACTTTGTGGACACCCTGTAGTTCCATGTATATCATTGACCGCTCACACATAAGATGGAGCCATGTATTAAGAGAACAAGTGAATCTCTCTCAGCCCTGCTCAGAAACTTGCTTTCTCCTCGAGGTCCCTCACTAGCCCCAGCGCTCAAACCCATAGCGAAGTGTCCAAAAATAAGTGTCCTAGTTATGTCCGTGGACATCTCGAATGAGATCCCAGCAGTATTGGAAAAACACGACGGAATATCAAAATGTAAAAAAAAAATGTTCAGTTATAGGCGAAGAATTGGTGTCAGGTTAATGTGATTCACAACACATTCCTCATCTCAGAATCAACACCATTCAGTGTTAACTTGGTGTTAATTTGGTCACTCAATCCACGACTGTTTGTGGGACGCTGCTGTGCGCAATTGGCTGCAGAGTTTCGTCCACAAAGTATACAGTCAATCACTTTACAGTATATTCTCTGAAGCGCTTTGAGACGTGATAAGGTGCTATATCAAATGCAAGGATTATTATTATTATTAACGAAACAGTGTCAATTTCATTCCCCATTAAGAACAACAACTTGCATTTATATAGAGCTCTTCATGCGGGGTAGCGTCCTGGAGCGAATCACTTAACTCAGTCCCCTCTAACTCTACTGCTCTCTTTCTCTCACTCTCTCAAGTTCTCTGTGGGCTTCCCCCCAATGTGGAACATGCCGTGATAATCGGCAGGAAGAAAGCTCGCTACGAGATCCACTCGCTGGTCCGCTATCAGTGTGAGGACAGCTTCATCCAGCGGCACATCCCTACCATCAAGTGCCGTTCCAATGGCAAATGGGACAAGCCCAAAATCCTCTGCTTAAACCGTGAGTCCTGCCTCTCCCCTAGTAGGTTGCGTCATACGTGTTCTTGAGCGCTTTGAGACGTCTCAATGAAGTCATAGGAAGAGGAGTAGGCCATTCGGCCATTCCATTAGATCATCGCTGATCTGTACCTCAACTCCGTTTACCCTCCTTCGCTCTGTATCCCTTGCTACCCCGACCTAACAAAAATCTGTCGACCACAGCGTTGAAAATTTTAATTGCTCCAACATCTACAGACGTTTGGGGGAGAGATTTCCATTAGGCCTTGTGTAAGGGGAAGGGGAATCCGAATGTGATTCAATGTAGTGATAAGGCGCTATATCAAACACAGATTATTATTATTATACTTAGTTCTGGTCTGCTCTAGCTGTGTGTGTGTGTGTCTCTCTCTCTCTCTGTCTCTTTCTCTCTAGCCTCCAGTGGTGGTCGCAGGTCCCGACGACACCCACACAAATCCAGCAGGAAAGAAAAGCGGAAACACAGGAAGAACCAGGCTCAGCATCTGATGGATGTGAGGCATTACTACTGAGCGCAGGAGGTCCTGCCCTGTCACAGGAGACACCGCGGGCAAATCCGGAGACATTCGATCTGGAAAAAAAAAACACCGTCAAGGACCTCGAGTCTTGTTTTTTTTTAATTATTATTATTATATTTTAGTTGCTGCGAATTGCATCGAAATATTTCCTCTTTGAAGAAAAAAAAACACACACAAAGAAATTAGCGGGTTTGGAACTAATTTCAACCGCCCTGTGCGGTCAGGTCATCGATGAAAGCGATCATCCCGAGAATCGAATCATCGACGCTTTTTTTTTAACCATTAAAAAAGCAAAGGTCCAAGTTCATCACCGATTATGGTTAGAGGGGGGGGGGGAGCAGAGGTGCCTGTGTTGTCTGTGAGCCTTTAACATGATATTCCGTGGGTTAAGCTAAGTGCAATTTTCTATTCAGCCGTGTAACAAATTTCCCCTTTTGCGCTTATTAATAACTCCAGTACAACTTTTAACAGTGTGATAAATCTACGTTGAGTAGCTTAGTGCCTGACGCACAATTTGGGAATGGCTATGTGTGGTTTCCAGACCCAACAATAGTTGGGTGCATTTGTTCAGCGACTGACTGACCGAATACGAAGTTAGAATTGGATCTCTTGAGGTCAAAGTGAGATGTTGCACTCCAATACCTTTTTCGACCTCCGAAACCATTCTGACTTTTGTTCCAACCTCAGTCAGCTGACTAAAAGTTCCTCATTTTAAATGGGATGAAACTCCACAAAAACCCATATTCGAATAGCGGCCATTCATTCGGGGCTGGATGCCAGCGTATCTCTTCCACTTTAATGGGGTCTGTCTGCTTTCACAGCCTAATTCAGCTCATAGAGGGGGAACAAAGAGTGAGAGAGGGAGGGGGGCATTTTACTAAAATGCACAGCAAATCCTCTCTGCGGTCGTTGGAAAGATGCCATCATTGGTGGCCTTGACGTTCACATCCCCCTGAAACTCAGAGGTTTTGGCAGCTTTAGACAGTTTGGCACTGAGACATCAGGCACTGAGGAGCATCTGTGCCCCACAGCTGCTGCTGTAGACTTTGTGGGATGTTGTTGTAATAATACCTTCGCTTGTGATGTGTGTGTGTGGGCTGGGAGGGCATTGGGCATATCGGTTGGGGGGTGCGATGGTTTGGAAGTTCTCCCAGATCTTTTCCAGCCAAGTCACTCCACAACCCGTCGCCCTTTACAATTTGACTGCCTGGAGCCCTTTTCTGGGTGACATTAATAGCATGGACCTTCCCCGTTAAAGAGGGAAAACTGGGACCCTAACGAAAGAATTATTACCCTTTTAAAAATGAAAGTGCATAAAACTATTTTTCTCGTTTGTAATGGATGTAACAGCAGGAGGGAGCTGGAGTGACAACAGTAGAGAAACACGTGGGGCTTTCTGGTAGGATTTATAGCGCCTGACTGCGCAAGGCAACTGGGGTAACATCTGTAGACATAGAATCATTCACACGAGGCACCGGCTTCATTAAAACCGACAATGTACATGAGCAGTGTCAGTCAGTTCATGGAAGCGAGAGGACCCGGGTTCGATTCCAGGGCAGGACGAAACCTTAGGCAAGTTTCCTTACTCCACGCACCTCTGTTTACCGGTTCGTTTTCCGGGGGTATTAATCCTCCCCCTCCCATTGGTTTTTAATAATTTGGTCACTCAATCTGCGACTGTTTGTGGGACACTGCTGTGTTCAATTGGCTGCCGTGTTTCGCCCACTTTACAGTATATTCTGGGAAGTGCTTTGAAATGTCTCGACAACATGATAAACGGCTCTATCAAACGCAAGGATTATCATTATGTCAAGGCAAGTGACACAAGGCATTGAGCAGTATTGCCGCTCACTGTTACAATTACATACGTTGAAAAAATGAAGAGAGAGAAGAAAATAATAGCTCATGATAAATCCTCAGTGGCTCTTTATTCTGAATCAGGAGTCTGCCTCGCTAATCTGTATTGTGTTTAATACATTACATGAACCACCCACCATGGAACTGAGGGCTGACAGTTATATGTAATGGAGTAAGAATAAACACTCTCCAATCTATATAATTTAATTGAGATTCCATTTCACTCGGGTTTTTAATTTTTAATATTTCCCTTGGAATGAAATGACACTGTTAAATTACAACGAAGCCAAGTCCACTGAATATTAATATTTAGAGATTTTTTTAAAAAAAAATAAGTTTGCCCCCACCCGCAAATAATTGGGAAGATTAAAGGAACAGTTGAATTGAAGGTGAATTCGGGGTGTCAGCCTGGCTCAGTCGGTAGCAGTCTTGCCTCCGAGTCAGAAGTCAGTGGGTTCAAGCCCCGTGTGATATAATCCAGGCTGACTCTCCAGTGCAGTTTGGGGGTTGGGGGGGTGAGCACTGCGTTGTTGGAGGTGAACGCTAAATCGAGGACCCTGTTCGGATGGATGCTAAAGATCTCACGGTGCTAATCGAAAAAAGAAGGGAGTTTCCTCGGTGTCCTGGCCAACCGTCCCCCAGGTAAAATAACGTATTCGTTTCATGGCTGTTTGTGTCTGTAAACTGACCGCAGTATTGGCCTAAGAGTAAAACCACGTTATAATGAAGTCTGTAATTCTGACCTGATGCTGTGTTGCTTTCAATTGTCCTTCAGCACAGGTCAAAGTCACCTTGTGCTTGTCAGCAGTCGGGTGCATTCAGCCAACGCAGATTAGCCCAGTCGCAAGCCCAGATATTGATCAACTCCCAGGCATCGCTTGCGTTACAGTTTCTCTTATCAGCAAGACTAATGGAAGATTAATAGATATTAGAAGAAAAAGGCAGCTACACTCCCCCACCCCACTCCCCTTCCCAGCCCCCCCCCCCTCACCCCACCCACTCCCTCCCTTCCCCCTGCCCCCTCCATCCTTTGAATCCTGCGGTGTCATATCTCCCCAGGTACAATAATAACTCGCGCAAGGTTTATCTGGCAAAATGAGTAGTTTCACTTTTTATTGATGGGGATATTCAACGACACCTTTGGGGGAGGGTTAGGGGTTGGGGGGTTGCAATTCTCATCACCTCCAATACAGGAATTACATTTGTTATGTGAACAGGCTTCCTGTAGGCTGTAACTCTATATGAACCAGATTCCCTGTATAGCTTGTATGTGGTTTGGCTCAAGCTTCCGATCATCCGTTTGGGATGTCAGAGGAAGGAAGGGCCAGTTAAAGGATTGTGCCTAGCTGGGACGAGTCTGTGTGTGGACTGATTTCTGTTCTTTCTGTAGTGCTATTGGGTGCAGTGTTAATGCTTCCAGGTGTTTCTGTGCTTGTCGATGTGCTGTGAATAATTTGCATTCTTGAAATCCTTTTTTTCCCTCTCTCTCTCTCTCTCTCTCTCTCGTGTTTTTACGTACCGAATTTCAGTCAAAATAAAATAATTTTTTAAAGGTGACTCCTTGCTATTCGCTTCTGTTCCAATTAAGATTCCCTGGGATTAATAAGGATGCCAGTTCCTTCTCCTCCCCCCTCCCCCCCCCCCCAGGCAACTCCCCCCCCCAAAAAAAAAATCTGTGAGATTGTACTCTGAGTTCTAACTGTCGAGAGCTCCAGAGATTGGGTTCAGCAAGTTTTACAAACACTTGTGACGTGAAATCTGGGTGATTGTTGACTGGGGTCATTGGGAAAGAGAAACTACTTCTCTTTTCAAATAGTGCCACAGGATCTTCAACATCCATCTAAAACAGGCAGATATTTTGATGTCTCATCCGAAGGGCAGTACCTCCGACAATACAGAGCTGCCCCCCACCACCACCCACAGCCGAGACTATGTGAGGGCAAGTTCCTGAGGTGAGGTTTAGATCTGTAATCTATCTTAGAGGCGAGAGTGCTACCAACTGAGCCAGGTGGATACCTTGAGAGAAGAGAAGTGGCATGAAAAGACCGTCAATGACCTCCTCATTTCTGAATGCTCCCAGTTTGCTCCCTGCATGAATCTGACCACATTTTTTCCTCTTTAATAATGATGATATGTGGACGCAGCACCCAATCTTGTGGAGGTCTGCAAATGTATGCACATAGATTAGAATACATTAACCGAATCCATTGAAGAATACCTTTTCAGCTAATCAAGTGTTGGCATTCAAACTGTAATTGAAAACATAAATCCGTTTAAAAAAAATTCAGGAATTCTGGAATGGGATGTTGCTCTCACTATCAAGCGGAGCCGGTCGTTTTTCTTCGGAAGCTTCTAGATCTTAGTATTCCTCCTTCGTTCCAGTCGCTGATGTGATTCATTGGTTACATTCTGAATAATGTATAACAGATTTTTCAAATTATGGGCTGGATTGAAACATATCAAAGTGATTTGCCTTCTCTACCATTGTTGCCCTTATCAATTCTGTGCGTTCAGCAGCCAGGCCCCTACTCCAACTGAATACGTCTGCAGTTTATATTCCTAGTCATCTGTGAGACAGTTCATTACTCTTGTTCTCCTCCTCCTCCCTCTCTCATTTTCCGCCCCCGCCACCCCACTCTTTGCTCCACTGTAGTGCATCTTGGAATCTGTACTAGGTCCATATAAATCTCCTCTAATAACTTGCCCAAGTGGTCGTTCTCCAGGAGTGAGTTTAGAACCTGCCCATTAATGGATTATTCCACTGTCTTTACACACACACACACACACACACACACTGCCCACTCTCCTTCCCTCATCCTGGCCTCTGCCACAGCAAAGGAACCATTGTGGTCTATGGAGCATTTGATTCCTCAAAACTCTGATTTAACCATTACTGGATAGAGTCAGAAGGCTGCTGATTCCAGCCCCAGGTAAGGACTTGACTCACAGTCTACACTGACACTGTGGCTCAGTTCAAGGGGAGCATTCCACTGGCATAGATGCCAATCAAACATTAAACTGAGGTCCAACTATCCTCAGGTGGACATTAAAGATCCCATGGCATTGTTAAAAAGGAGGAAAAGGGAATTTCTCCCAGTGTCCTGGCCAACAACTTCCTCCCCTCCTTCTCTCCCATAATTAATTTAATGGCCTTTTGCAGTACCTTGCTGTGTGTGTACCAAATTACTGGCATGCTTGCCAACAAAATACACCGTCAATCCACTGGACAGCAATTAAAAGCATGAAGTGCTTTCGAGTCATTTTGAAATGATAAGGTTCTCAGTCAAATGGAAGTTCTATAAAAAATTGTCTTCTCGTCAACGTGGGGACAGGTGTGTAAATATCCCACTGTTGCCACAAGGGGGGGCGCTCTTTTGAGGCTGGAATTCGTCGGGAGGGATAATAATTAATAATAATAATGCTTGCATTTGATACAGCCTTATCACATCGTTGAACGTCCCAAAGTACTTCACAGGATTTACTGTGTATTTTGTGAGCGAAACTGATGTTGGGGGATGTGGTTGAGAAGCTTTGCAATGGGTTGGAAGTGGCACCAATGGCTCTCTTCACGTTGATGAGAACAATATTCCTTTCAGGACAGAGGGCAGATGGCGCCTGGGAAATTGACATCCCCTGATTTTACCAGACAGTTCTGGCAACAGAGCATCGTGCAAACCAAGAGTGTGCTGACAGAACAACAGTAATATTTCACCTGCCGAGGGTTTTAATTAAGCAGCGGGGGAATTCTGTCATGTCTGAATTCTCTCTCTTTCCCTCTCTCTCGCTCTCTCTTGCCTGAATCTTCAGCGTTTTATGCGAGAGAGAAAGAGAAAATTTGACAGATACATAGATCACCCACTGCGTGAGATTTAAAAAACAGAGACTTAAAAACAAATTTAATTCCCATCTCGGTAGAAATCCAAAGCCGAAATCCAAAGCTGGCTCGGGCAATGTTCTGGGGTCACGTCAATTCCTTTTATGATTTGTTTTTGTAGCCAGGCTGAAAAGGGGAATTAATGAACATCCTTTGGTGAAAAGTTACTTTATCCCTTAATTCATATTTTACTACCATAGTTGTCCGAGTACTGGCTGCGGTTGGGGTGATCTCCCATCAACAACAACAACAAATCACATTTGTACAGCACTTTTCACATCGTGAGGATGTCCCAAGGCGCTGGACAGTCAGGGATTTGGATCTGAGCTGGGGATTGGGATCAAGATGGGTGGCAGGAAGGTAAGGGTAAGACCGAAAATGCTGACGAAGAGGAGGGTCTTGAGACGGTTCTCTCCACCTCCTCCTTACCTGATTCTGGAACATTTTAGGCACAGGTTGGCAAGAGCCAAGGCTTGGGAACCCCAGAGTGTACGTTGGGGGTAACTGCTGGAGTTCCCACCAGCTACAGATCCACAGATAAGGAAATCAAATGCAGTAAAGGGTGAGCCTCACTGCCCTGCATTCTTCACTGCACAAACCACAGCAGTTACTGTGGCGACAGTGATGCTTTGAGACTGCAGATCTTTCTGGCAAAGTTTTCTGATAAATCAGAATGTGTTTTCGGGAAGAGAGAGGTGGTGGTGGATGGGGTGGGGGGTGGAGGGTGAGAGAGAGGGAGTGAACACGTTGTTGTCAATGTGTCTAAGATTTCCGCAACCCATTTTCAGCTTGCTCGGTCTTCAGTGATTCAGTGACTGTTGGCTGTTGACGTCTCTTATTGCTTCAGTAGTGGCAAATATTTTTTACGGAATTAAAAAGTGAACGCAGTCAATGAGCTGATTGGGGGGAACGGGATGTCGGGAGACAATGAGTGACATCGCAAGCGCCACTTTGACGGCGCGGGAGAATACTGCGGGAAATTAGGAAAACTACTGCAAAAGAAATGACAAGACGGGTTTCTTGACGAGAAGTTTCACACTGTATTGCATAACATACTGCAGCTTGTAATAACGTCAATAAAATTAACCTCAGTCTTTCTGCAGACAGAAATAAAGCCTTTTTTTTTAATTCCCCTCTGTCTGGGTTTGTTACAAAATGCACTAACAGGCCTGTCTGTGTTGGAATTCACATCACCCTGGAACTGGCCAGTGCATTGCACCACCCTTCCTTCCCCACTTTAACATTCACGCTATTTGCATCTTCCACTAGTCTTTACATTACCCTTAAAAAGCAGACGTTGTTTCACAGGATATGCAAGTTAATTGGGATTTTTGCGTACAATTTTCTGACCAGGAACTGGAATGTTACAGCTCTTCAAAAACTCCCACAGCAACTACAACAACAACTTGCATTTATACAGCGCCCCCTCACGCAGGGTAGTGTCCCAGAGCGGCGGAGCACGACGCTGAGCCGGGGGGAGGTTTTTGTTTGTTGTAGGCACGGTCGAAGAGGAAGGTCTTCAGGCGCGCTCTGAAGATGTGGAAGGAGGGGGCAAAGCGGAGGCACTCCAGAGTTTCGGGGCATAATGGCTGAAAGTGCGGCCACCGATGGTGGAAGGGAGGACACAAGGGACATGCAGGAGGCTGGTGCCAGTTGAGCCATGGGTCGGGGGTTAAGCAGGTCAGAGCGCTAGGGAGGTGCCAGGGCATGAAAGGGATTTGAAAACGAGCGTGAGGATCTTGACAATAAGCACGGTTGGAGATGCCTCCCTGGATTACTTAAGGTTCTGCTGCTCATCATTGCTGCTACTGCTTATAACAGTACGCCCCATACAAGGCGCGTTTCTTGTCGGGGAATCCATAGCTGCGGACCCCGGGATCTGGACCCCCGCACTTGGCTCTGGGGTTGACGATGGGGTAACGGACGCTGCCGTCCTCCAACCAACCCGCGTCACAGCGATCCAGTAAATTGATCTTCCAGGCTGCGTACAGCTGGCCCACCTTGGCGATCGCTCCCCCGCTCCGCTCACACGCGCGCATGGCTTCCGCGTAGTTCAGCTTCCTGTACATCTTCCGGAAGTAAACGTTTCCTTTGTTTCAAAACAAGAAGGAACAACTCAAGATTATTATTCCCTCTCCGCCCGCTCGCCCCACAATGCCAGGGACAAGTAAACAAACAAACAAACAACTATGTCCTCGAGCCGTCTCAAAGGGCTTAACATTGGGCAACTGACCAACTTGGACAAAGCAACGTCCCACAAACACCCATGAAGTGAATGATTGATTTTACCTGGGGCATTGTTGGCCAGATACAGGGAGATGCAATTCATTGCTCCGCCATTGGAGTATCTGCAAAGACTGTGAGCTCAACTCATAGGAACAGGAGCAGGCCATTCAGCCCTCCGAGCCTGTTCCACCACTCTATTAAATCATGGCTGATCTGTACCTTAACTCCAATTTACAACCTTCCAACCCCCAGAGGTGAAAGTTCTACCAACTGAGCCAGGCTGAGACACAAGTAACAACACTTTCAGATATACACCAAGGCATTCGGACAAGAAGGGTCAGAGTCGGGTGCAAACGGCAAGTTTAGGACCTGGGATAATTTACAGCTATAAGGGGGTCAGGTGGTTTGAGGCTGGGATTCAAGAAATAGCTCGATTCTGTAATGGGAGGATGGTGGAGTGGGTTTTCTGTGAGGATGAGCACAAATGGACTTCTTCATTTGAACGCCTCTTGTGATCTTTGATATGCAGATCTGTAAATAGCCCCTACCAGCTATAAATGGTGTACACAATTGTTGAAGTAATAAGGAAAGAAACACCCATTAGGTGGAAGCCGGTAATTGTGCCGAGTCCGTGGGGAGTCTCTTTTACGCCCACGAGAATGTTCTGTTCCTCTGCATTTATATTAAAGTCAAAATATTCTGTAACGAGGAGATAAAGAGCCCCAGCCCACATGCATCACATTAGGGGATCTGTAACGAACGACCAAACAGACAGACGCAACCAGAGTTTAACGCCTCAAAATCCGAAAGACGTCATCTCTGACAATGCAGCATTCTCCCCCAGCCCCCCACCCCCACTCCATTGCTGCATTACGGCATTAGTCCAGACCAGGGTGGTCCATACACGACCCAGGGGTGCATTTCGTGCACCTCATCCTCTCCCTCCATAACCCCTAATTCTTATGGTCACGTTTCTGGAAGAGTAACACGAAAATATTGCTTATGCAGCCAAAAGCGCCCTAGATGGTGAGCTCAAGTCCTGACCTGGGGGGCTTAACCCCTACGACCTTCTGGCCCAGAGGCGAGAGTGCTACCGACCGAGAAGCGCTAAATAATAACAAACGACGAATCACATTTGCATAGCGCCCTTCGCGTCGGGAGGACGTCCCGAGGCGCCAAACGGCAGCTCCCTCACCTTGCAGGTTGGAGGTGAAGCAGAAGGCGTCGTATCGCTCGTCTTCCTTGTGCCGGTAGCCGTAGTTGCTGATGCCCACTGTCCGGTCGGAGCCGCTGCACCTCCTGCGGGGGCTGGCGATGGGGTACTGCACGGATCCGTCCTCCAGCCAGCCCGCGTTACACCAGTCCAGCCCGTCCCCCCAGGCTCTGTGCACCTGCTCGTAGGAGGCCAACACCCCATCCTGCTCCCGGCAGGCACGTTCCGCCTCGTAAAAGTTTAACTTGTACCGTCCCAGCCGCGACTGGTAAGGAAACACCACTCCTATTGATGGCAAAAATTACACTGTTGGTAAACTGCAGCCTCCTGGGCATCTCGGCTCTCTTGCGAGCGGCTCTGTGCGGGCGTTGAGGCATTAGGAGCTGTCCGCCATTGAGGTGCTGATCCTAGTCCTGTCCTCACCCGTTCTCCCCACGCTCGCCACTTCACCATCAGTGACAGCAGTCACTGGGTTGGCAACAGGAACAGAAACCCTCCCTCGTTTCCCCACCTCTCTTTCCCTTTCCCAGCCCAGGGACACCGAGGCCATTTGTCATTGTCCCGACTTGAAGCTTAAGCAGAGACCATGGCAACGCCAATGCTGGCGAGTGAAACGTAGAAATTAGTAATAATAATAATACTGATAATCCTGGCATTTGACGTATGGCCCTACCACATCGTTAAGACGTCTCAAAGCGCTTCACAGAATATACAGTAAAGTGAATTGACTGTATGTTTTTTGGACGAAACGCGGCATCCAATTGCACACAGCAGTGTCCCACAAAGAGTCTACAAATTCTACCCAATCTTAGCATGTGAGACCATTTTTATAACTAAGACTGAATTTGAAAAGCTTCCACATCGGGGTTAAGCCTAGGTGAAATTTTGATCCCGGCCAACACCCCCCAACCACCCCCCCCACCACCGCCCCACCCCCAAAAAAGAGTAGGTACCTTCCAGGTTGAGTTTAACTATCCCAGTGTCATCTTCCAGCTCATTGACCACTTCGCATTCATATTTGCCGTAATCCTGGAGTGTCACGTGCTCCAGGACTAGCGAGGCATCCCCCTGTCCATCTCCCTGCAGGAACACACGGTCCTTGTAGACTCCGAAGCTGTGGCGCACTTCGCCCAGGCTGAGGAACACATCCGAGCTCTGCAAGGAATGGTCCACCTTAGTCCACTTGATCCTGATCTGGTCTGGCTCCTGGTGACCTGGCTGCTCGTTGTATCTACAGGGCAACACGATGGATGCTCCTCGATGGGTCAGCACTTCCCCTGGGGCGGTCTGCACCACCACTGCCCCGCTCTCATCTCCTACATTTGGCGAACGCACGACAGACATATAATATAATAATAATAATAATAATCCTTGCATTTGATATAGTGCCTTACCAAGTCATGAGACATCTCAAAGCACTTCGCAGGGTATACTGTAAAGTGTAGTGACCATATAATTTGTGGGTGAAACGAACGTAAGAACTTGCCTTCGATGTGGTGGTTGTAATATCTCATTAGTTCTCTTGCATAATACACAGTCACTACACTTTACAGTACATCCTCTATAGCGCTTTGAGATGATCCCTTTATGTCAAAGGCACTATATCAATGCAAGGATTATTATCATAAAAAGTTTCAAAGTAATTCTGTGAGCAAATGCAGCAATCATTTTGCACATAGCAATGACCTACAAAGAGCCATGAATTGAATGGTCCAATTTAATTGGGGGAGAGTTAGCCAGGACACCAGGGGCTAATTTCTCTTTTCAACTAGTGCCATGGGATCTTTAGCATCCACCTGAACAAACAAGACAGACATTACCTAGGTTTAACATCTCATCCAAAGGATGGCACCTCCGATAATACAGTGCTCCCTTCTGTCTTAGAGGCAAGAGTGCTACCAACTGAGCCAGGCTTATAACCTGAGCTAAGAAATGGCTCAGCTTAAGGTATAAACTAAGCGCCTGAGATATCAAAGGATATGGAGCAAAGGCAGGTAATTAGAGTTGAAGTACAGATCAGCCATGATCCATTATAGAATGGCGGAACAAGCTCTAGGGGCTGAATGGCCTATTCCTATGTTCCTATGAACTTGATCGTTAGGGCATAGTTTGGTGACTTTCTGATCAGAGCGGATATTGCCGCTGGGAATCAATTCAGCTTGTTTAACGCCTTTCATGTCGGGAGGATGTCCCAAGGCGCTAAGCCATCTCTCTTACCTGAAACTTGAACCTTTTGTTTGATCCCGATGACGGTGGCGACGAGGCTGATGAACAGAGGCATGAAAAAGATCAGGAGAGAGTTGTCCTGCGATGGACTCGAAGACCTCCTCAGAACCACCTAAGGAACGAAAAATAACTAGAGGCTTTTCCTTCTCGGTTGCCCTCGGGGGAAAATCCTAGAATCATAGCATCTTACAGCACAGAAGGAGGCCATTCCGCCCATCGTGCGCGCCTGTACCAGCTCTTTGAAAGAGCTATCCAACTAGTCCCACTCCCCCGCTGTAGAATCATAGAATCTTAATGAGCCCATTTTGTCCCGAAATTTAAAATCGTGCGAAATTCTTAAATTCCATCGTCATTTCGAGAGGCTTGTTTTCCGCAGTTCTTGAACAGGAACAAACGGCAGCAAAATTAGGACCGTATTTTTCTGCGCGATCTTAAAATTCATCCTGTCTTTAGACCCACCGGTCCGGCTTGTTCTGCTACATCCCGGAGAAGATTGTGTAACGCTCCATCAAATGTCAACTGCAAATGGAAGTATTTGATGTGTTCCTTTGAGAATAACTGAGTTACTGGCTTGTAACTGAATCAGTCCCCGATGCACATCCTAAACCCCACCACAATTTTACATTAAATTACTGCCTGAATGCGATTTACCAGCTATTTATTATTCTATATAGAAAAATATGTTCTGTGGGAAGGAGGTAAGTGGGGTGGAGTGGCTGACTTTAAGTGTAGTGACTATTCGGTAACCAAATTCAGCCGGCGATGTCTCACACTTTGAGTGACCCATAAATCTATGTTTGGGCTCATGTGACAGAGGGAGAAACTTTGACCACAACATCATTCTTGTTCTAAATAACACCGAGGAACCATTTATCCCTGGAGGAGGTGCCCTCATTCCGATGAGAAGATAAACCGAGGTCCTGTCTGCCCCCTCGGATGGCACACTGGAAAAGAGGAGGGAGTTTTTCCTGTTTTCCTGCTCAAGAATACCCCAGATAAAATAGGTCATTCACTCACTCACTCCATGCATGTTTGTGGGACACTGCTGTGCACAAATTGTATGCCACATTCGCCTACAAAATACAGTCACTACACTTTTACAGCGAGTGCAGATGTGAAATTGGAGTTGAGGTACAGATCAACCATGATCTAATAGAATGGCGGAATAGGCTTGAGGGGCTGAATGGCCTCCTCCTGTTCCTATGTTCCTATCAAAGGCGCTGTATCAATTGATGATATTATTGTAAGCGCTCAGGCAGAACCTCTAACAGTGCCGCACTCCCCCCCCCCCACCCACCCACTACCACACTGGGCTGTCAACCTCCATAATAAGCTGGAGCCCCGATGTTGGGGGGACTTGAACCACTGACCTTACAGCCCAGAGATGAGAGCGATACCCATTGAGCTGAGCCGACAGCTTAATTGGATCATTTTCCAAGAAAACAAGCAAGGCATTAATATTTATCATTTGAAACCAAATTACAGAAGGACACAGGACGCAAAGGGTGTAAAGTGATCTGTGTGTGTGTGCGTGTGTGTGTGCGTGTGTCAGCATGTGTCGGTGTGTGTAGGAGAAGCAAGTTAGCACGGATCAAATGTTAATGGGATCGGTAGCAACCCCGCTAAAGCTGGGTCAGAAATCTGCCAGCTCGAATAGCTCTGCTGTAGCTCTCTCAAGGTTACACATCGCTGCTGCAGACAAGCTGTTACTGAAGCGAGCACCGGCACTGTAAAACGCACTTCAAACTTACCATTTCTGCAGTGAACAGGAATCCCAAACTATACGCAGGAAAAATAAACAGAATAAACTAGGTGGAACTGTGAGCCAGCTGTGTGCTCTGCTGTTGTCCTGCGGATTCTTCTCTCGCTCTCTTTCTCTCTCTCTCTCTCACTTTCTCTCTCTGCGCCGCACGGTGCAGACACTGATGCAAATTAAAGGCCTGATCACGTTTTTTTTAAAACTCAAAAGTCAGCAAAAGTACAAGAGAGTGACGGTGAGAACATCTCATTATACCGCGGGTGTTTGGTGCAGTGTAAGAGGGGGGGGGTGTGTGTGCGCGCGGAGGGGGGGGGGGGGGTTTAGAGGATTAACACAGATGCACATTGAACGCAGCGGGTGTTTTGCCTGCCTTAGCATCCTGAGATGGTTGGCAGTGGGGAGGAGAGGGGGTGTTGTATGGTTCTATTCGTTAATGCTGCAACTGTCAGGGACATGTCTGACACAGGATAGCATGCAGGCTGGAACACTCAATCTCTCGCATGACATGCATAAGGGCTCATTGACTTTCACCATCTCTTTTGTGCTGTCATCAGCTTGCCTGTTAATTCCTCCCTGATGGACAGGTTAATATCACAGGGAAGCTGTGCTCCAGATTGCAGTTTTTATGCACCCGCACAAAGGCTTCCGAGGAAGAGATACTACTAACTAGCGTACTTAAGCCGCCAAATGTGAGATAATGGGGGTGGATGTGTGCCCGATAGACCGGGGTGGGGGTCACTGAGTAATGTGGGCCGTGGAGAAATCCGAGAGAGAAGCAGCAAATTACCTAAAATTAGATGCAGCACGAATGGAGAGTGCGAGAGTGCTCAGAATGGGGGAGAGATGCTAATTTCTCACCCAGCACTCAATTCCACTTTTACTAACGTTGAGGCTGAGGCAAGAGGGGCTCGTTAGTGATTCAGTCCCTGAAAAGACGTCTGACGCCAGGACCCTTTTTATTAATATAATAATAACAATCCTTACATTTGTTATAGCGCCTAATCACATCTTCGAGACATCTTCGAGAGAATATAACACACGGTCACATAAGCCTAGTCCCTCTCTTGCCTCTGAGTCGCTCTGTACAGTAGGTAGGATGGGTCTAACTTTACTTACAGGGCTAAGTGTGTCGTTGTGCAATGAGTTAATTCAAAGAAAGAGCTTGGATTTTTACAGCTGGTCAACACCATTACAACACCCTGAAAGGTAATTACCGTCAAGTGCTTCATTAACAAGCGAGGCAACCATTTTGTGCCAGCGGTGTCCCACAGCTTGTGACTAACCAATTAATCTGGGCCATTATGGGGTAGGAAATCACGAGGAACCCCCTTCGCTTTTCCAGTTGTATCACGGGAGCTTCAGCGTCCAACCTGAACGGGCAGACAAAGTTTTGGGTTCATGTCTCATGCCAAAGTGGTACCTCCTGCATTGTCCTTGCTCCCCACCCTACCCTACTGGTGTGTCAGCCTACACTGTAAGGTGAAGTGCCCACATAGGTTTGAACCCACATTCCAAGGGAGGCAGAGGCAAGAACGCTACCAACTGAGTCAACTTGACCTGCTTGTTGGGATCCTTTGCTAGTGTGTCAGTAAATGTGAATGCAGTGTGTCTGTTTCCTGTTACAGTCCCCCAGTAATTTGGGGATATATTTGGGAGATCCAGTAAATGAGTCGTTCAGGCCATGACACGTGCAAGCGACTGCCAGGATGGTGGAAGGCGAACTGGTTTGTACCTCGTGTTCTTTTTTCGTCTAGCATTTCCTCCGTTCCTATTTCACAGGCTCGACCTCTTGTTTGTGCTGACTCACCTGTGGGATCACATCTGCTGCAATCAGCATCGAGATGATGAGGCTATATTAATCTCGAAGAAGAAACGTATAAAGACGAGGAGTGTCTGGTTAAAATTGAACTTTAGTATGTTCCCCAGTCCTGCACTGATTTGCCCCCAAGCATTTGAAATGCACCATCAGCTCGCTGTTGAACTCAGCTGCAGATTTAGGGCTGTGACAACCTATCTCTCTTGCTCCACCTCGTGGTCTAAGCATTGAGCTTCAGTCGTGTATTCGCAAAGAGATGGTACAGGAAAACTCTCAAAAGTCTGATCTGTATCAATCGTATAATCGCCCAAGTCGTACATCTACCCAAGTCCCATTTTCAGGAGTTTATATTCTTTGCAAGTTTGACATAACTCACACTTTGCATATGTTAATTAATGCATTAATTGTATGGTTCCCAACTGATACGACTTATTTAAGTGAGGTTTACTGTATTGAGTGGCTCCATCGTGACTCACACGTGTTCTAACACTGAGCAGCAACATCGCTGTGTTATTGATCAAGATAAGATAGGAGCCAAAGGCACAAGAGATGAGACTGAGGTCATCTTCAGCTACTTATATACAAATCATAGAATGTATAAAAGCGCTCTGGGACACTACCCTTCGCGAGGAGGGCTATACAAATGCAAGTTGTTATTGTTGTTATGTTTACAGCAAAGACCGGTGATCGCTCCCGCACTGGAGCGCTCTACACTAATCCCTGTCCCCTACTCCTGCACACTTCAATGTTATTTTTCGAACTTTTATACCATCACTTTCAGAAGTTGCAGGACTGGATGAGGAGCCAGAAAATTTCCTTTAAATAGGATGACACAATACTAACCCAGCTCTGACTGCACGCTTCACTGCAGAATAAAACTAACCAGGAACTGGAACCAAATTACTTCATTCCCAGAAGGACAGCTGTTGGGGGAATTGCAATATCCATGTGGTGCAATGCTGCTGCTCACTTGATTCTCCCAACCCCATGTCCTAGCACTCTTGCAGATGAATTATTAATTATTATTATTATTGACTTCTCTCTGTGCTTGATGTGCAGGTATCCAGACTGATTATCCCATCTCCTACTCACATTCTTTCCCAGGTCATCAAGACTATAAAACTCCTCATCTCGCTTCCACCTACAGTCGTTGTATCAACTCAGAACCACTTCCTGATTCACCTCATCTTCTCTCTTAGGATCTCAGCCCTTCAGCTTGATTTCTGAATAAAGATAATTAAAATGCTTAAAAGCTGAGTGTAATATTTATTGTAAAATGTAGAATGTTTCTACATTACAGAGGAATGGAACATAACTCAGTGGATGTACAGTGATCTCACTCTACATGGGAGAATCCCATTACGTATTTCCAAATACATTAAAAATATTGTTCCTTTTGTAACTAAATCTTTTATTAGTTTTCGTTTAGTTCTGGTTTATACCAATCTTCCATCATTCAGACACTAAATGTTATTTATTTTACATGTAGCTGAGAAGCTGTCATTGGGGAACTTATTGTCAGGTTTTGTCTGAAGGACATTATTTTATAGGATCAGAAATCAGCACTGTTCATAAAGTCGCAAGATTGGTCTGGATGAAGAAGGCCCTTTGGCCCATCTGATTTCATCCCTCCATAACACCCTACCATCTCCCCCATCACTGCATCAAGGTGCTTTTTAAATGAGTCTAGTGCCCTGACCTCTCTTTATCACCTTTCCTGGCAACCTGGTCCAACTATTGAACTCTCTCTTTAATCTCTGAATTTATTCGCTGCATAAAGAAAAACTTGTTGGTGTCTGTCCTGAAGTTGCTCTTGACAATTCTAAACCTATGTCCTCTTGTTCTACTGTCATGATACATGTTGAAGTATGATCTGAGTTTACGTTTTCAATCCCATTTAAAATCTTGTACATCTCTAATGCGTCGGCTTCTCTCAAGACTGAATGTGACTCATTGATACCCAGTGGACAAACCAGAACCCAACAGCAAAGCCTGTGCGGAGTAAGGGGTGAGTTTAGGACACACACAAATACTCCACAGCTAGGACGCTGGGATTCATTTCAGAAACTGCTCAATGCTATTTTGGGACAAAAGTACTGGAAGATTGAGATCAAAATTGGCCCAAAGGAGTCTTTTTCACCTAAACCTTCCTTACGATCTTGTTGTCGAAATAAAACGTATTTAAAAGTATTCATTTCTCTTTACAAACTCACAAAAGAAAACACAGGGATTCTCAGTCCACAAGGAGTTCTGTCCACGTTTGTTCCAGGTTAAGCTCTGAGATGCAGTGACGTTCTCTGGAACGTGTTCTTTCTGCTGTGGATTTCCGAGGAGCCGGGAAGCTGTTTGTGAGGTCTGCTGCTATTTTGCCGGTGGGAACGAGGAGCAGGTTTGGACGGCCTGTCACTGACCTACTTTCCACGCTCTCGCCCAGCGATGTTCTGAATGAAAACCATCCCCGCGGAGACTGTAGTCAGGGGCGACACGCCACACAGCCTGAGGCTGGCATATCTCACAGTGTTTGTTGTCCTGACGACAGAGAAGCTGGTCTGGGCTGGGGGGGGGGTCTGCACTGTTTGTTTGTCTCGGGGAGTGGGTGGGGTGGGGGGGGTTGAGAATGGGGTGGAGGTCTGTCAGCCTTGACAAGGGTCATCACAGAACCCAGCAGCCAGCCTTGTCTGTCATACTCCAATGAGGACCGACAAATTCAAGACAGTGTGATCTGGGACCTGTGATTAAGATTTTGAACACCCACCCAGCTTCCAGGCCTGAACGCTGGAATAAACCCCATCACAGGAACGAACTACTCCTGTACTTCCCAACTCATAACGGGATGGGAGGGATAGTGATGATGTGAGGGAGGAGATTGCCTGTCAGAGTGGAGGACCTTTTGCTCTGGGGCCTGGGTACATCCATCCAAACTCCCCCACCACAAGCTACAGTGATTGAGGAGTCTACAGTCCTTGATGGGCCAAATGGCCTTTTCTTGTTGAAAGGGTCATTGTTTAATTCGACATCTATATCTTGCTGACAAATTAAGACTTGCGAGTCTGCCCAGTTCTTCCAGTGTTATCCCTTATAGACCTTTCAGCTGCTGCGGAATGGGAATTGCATGGGATATTCCCTCTGTGGTGGCAGAACCTTGTGGGATCGATGGATCGTGTCCGACGAGTCATTGAGCCGACATGTAAGGCCAGTTGAAGGAGCCTCCTGACAGGAGCATGTCTCTGATCAGGGTCTCGATGGGAGTCTTGCCCACAAGTCTCATGAAGAAAAGCTGTCCGATGAGGGAGGCGGGCACGGCTCGGAGCGCCGGGAGCCTCAGGAGCAGCTTCCCGAAGCGCTGGGGCTGGGGTGGGTACTGGGAACGCACATATTCCGCCAATGACTCCTGAACCTTCTCCTGTAAACTCTCAATGTGGGCTGGCTCTGAGAGGCCGGATGCATCTAGTGGAGAGAGAGAGAGGACGGGGGGGGGGGGGGGGGGGAGGGAAAGCAGACAGAATTCAAGCATGTTCTTCCATGATTAAAGTAGCGAAGCGGTTAACAGTCTACAATACACAGTCACTACACACGTCCCTTTGGATGAGATGTTAAACTGAGGTCCTGTCTCCCTGTTCAGGTGGACTTTAAAGATCCCATGGCGCTATTCGAAAAGAGGAGGTAGTTTCTCTCTCCCCCCCGGAGTCCTGGTCAACAAATCCTCCAAATAAAATTGGTCACTCATTCCATGGTTGTTTGTGGGACACTGATGTGTGCGACTGGCTACCACATTTCCCCCACAAAATACACAGTCAATCCACCTTACGTATATCCTTGAGACGTGTTGACAACGTGATAAGGCGCTATACCAAATGCGAGGATTATTATTACAGTAAATCCTGTAAAGCACTTTGAGACATCTCAGGGGAGTGATAAGGCGCTATATCAAATGCAAGTATTATTTTTATTTATTGGAGAGGGGGGGAGGAAGGCTTAGCCTTTTCACTATCAATAAACAGGGTGGATGAACAACACAAAATAAAGATATCATTCAGGCTGACTGTATTGAAGTTTGCAGTCAATTTTGACAGCTATGATACGTTGAATTAAACATTATCTTAGCTGAAATGTTATTGCAATGAATACATTGCCCCCAGCTCTCGGTGTGTTTAGACTTTATATTTGCCAACTGTAATCTGAAGCACGTGACATCCATATTAATAATAATCATTGTATTTGATATGACTCCTCCAATGCCAAAATATCTCAAAGCGCTTCACAGGGAATTGTGCATTTGCGGGACATTGTGGTAGTTAATTTGCACGCAAAGTTTATGAGAAATTTATCTGGGGGATTGTTGGCCATGACACCAAGAGAAACTCTCTCTCTTCCAAATAGTCGGTAACGTTCTCAACAAACAAATTCGATCTCAGTTCAATTTCTCATTTCAAAGACTGACCAACTCCGAGTGTCAGCTCAGAGTAGGAGCTCAAAGTCCCTAATAATAATAATAATCCTTGCATTTGATATAGCGCTTTTCACGTCGGGAGGACGTCCCAAAGCGCTTTACAGAACACACTGTAAAGTGAATTGACTGTATATTTGTGGGCGAACGCGGCAGCCAATTGCGCACAGCAATGTCCCACAAACAGTCGTAGATTGAAAATGACCAATTTATTATTGTTTTTTTTTTTGGTTTTGAAGGGATTATTATTAGGCTCTGTGTGGAGTAAGGAAACTTGCCCAAGGTTTCGCCCTCTGCCTGGAATTGAACTCAGGTCTCTCGCTTGCAAAGCGAGTGCTCTAACCACTGAGCTACAGGACTCAAGGTGGGACTTGAACCCACAACCTTTTGACACAGAGGCAAGAGTGCTACGGCCTGAGCCAAGCTGACACCTAGGATGTCAGGTGAGGATAAACATCCAATGTTCCCTACACACACCGATAGTCAAATACCTTACCTCCTACGACCGGTCAGCTCCTCCATGTCCCGTTATTCAACAGTGCCTTGGGGCACTTCACAACTGTCCGGCTCAGGAGGTGGACCACCACAAAGGATCAATCGATTCCGATATCCCATTGCCTTGTCAAATGATTGCCACGTGGGATGCAGCTCAGCCTCAAAGAGACCCTACTAACCTCCTTCTCCATCTTCACCACCCCAAACTCAGCCCCAAAGTGATTAATAGGTCATTACCCCCAATGGATGTTCCTCTGACACTCTACCATGTTCTGAGACCCTGAGGCACTCACCTGGTGTGTACAGGGCGATGGCCTTTAGACAACTGTACTCAGCAGAATCCACCTGCAGATTCTTGAGCTTCTCCACTTGATCCTGAAAGATACGGATCTGGTCCATGAAGGCCACCACCCTCTCGGCGGACATCTGAGCAGAGTGGAGGCCGGCGGCGGCCAGGAGCGGGGCCATGTGGAGGGGAAGCGAGGACTGGGCTGCGTTGAGCACGAACAGCTCGCTCCAGCTCAGCCTGAGCAAGGCCACCTGGTCTGGGATCTGGAGCTCGTGAAAGAAGGGGATGTTTCTCGCCCACTCCACCACGCTGAAAAGCAGCCTAGCCGCCAACTCGCAGATGTTGTCTATGCTCATGAGGTTGCACTGGCTGTTGTAGCGGGAGCTCGGGTAAGGCTCGGCTCGTAGCAGGAGGGAGATGAGACTTGGGACGCTGCTTCCGTTCAGATGGTCTCCGCTCGTGAGCGAGATTTCTCCCGGGCTGGACTGGACTGGGGCTATTCTCCCTCGTTGAACCGCTGGGGGCAAAGGGGAAAGGGGGCAAAGTGGGAGGAGGGGGGGAGAAGAAAAAGGAAATTAGAATCAAGACTTACAACAATAACTTGCATTTATACAGCATCCCTCATGTAGGGTAACGTCCCAGAGTGCTTAGGAGAGACAAAACTGGATGTAATGGGAGTGACATGTTGCTCTTGATCACTCTTCCCAATAGTGTCCCAATGGATTCTAAGTTGGATAATTCTCTTCAACGCACGGCAGCTCCAACGCTCCAGCACCCCCTGAAGCACAGCACCCAGTGAAGGTGTGGACACAGCGGTGAGTATTAAATTCAAGCTTGGCTGCGATTTAACCCATTCCCCTTCTTTACTCTGTGTTAGCTGTGCTGTGACTGACTGACCGGGAAAAGAGTCCCAGAGCAAAACATAAACATATTTTCTCCATAAAATTGTTTCTAAGATTTTTACCCCATGTGTGCAATTACAAGACAGCAAAGGAAGTTTGAGCCGTTAATGAGTGAAGAGGACATTTAACCTTGCTCTGCGTTGTCTTTCTGTAAGGCAGCAGTCAACCGTGTCCAGTTAGATAACATTTTAAAAGGTTCTTTTAAGTGAAACAAATGCTGACCCCTTTTCACCTCTGAGTGAATTAATCATTAATTCTTGTTCACCAGAAGTGTTATTCCAAGTATTCCAACCCCTGAAGAATCTTCACTTTTTTAACTCAAATCACCACATCACACTCTCAATCGCTCCAACAAATGCGTGTTTGGCTATTTCTCCATTTGGTTGGTTTAACTGTACAGGAGTATGTGAGAACTAACTGACCATTATACTTAATTTATTAATATTATATAAAATTTATAAAACATGTACATAGAGAGAGAGAGAAAGAGAGGAAGAGAAAGAAAGAGAGGGAGAGAAAGAGCAAAGAGAAAGAGAAATTGCAGAATTAATTATTAGAAATTCATCTCTAACTTTTCATACTTCTTTTGTCCCTTTGGGATTGACCTCATTGGCACTTTTAAAGAACTCCCAAGTCCGCTCCACCACAGGAGAGACAGCATAAAGCTCCCTCTACACTGTCAATCCAACACTCCCAAGTCAGCTACAGCACAGGTTAGATATTATAATAATAATTCTTGCAATTAATATGGCACCTTATCATGTCTTTGAGACGTCTCAAAGCGCTTCACAGAATATACTGTAAAGTGAATTGACTGTATATTTTGTGGGCAAAACGCGACAGCCAATTGAGCAACAGCAGTGTCCCACAAACAGTCGTGGATTGAGTGACCAAATTATTATTATCTTTTTTAAAAAGAGATTCTTACCCCCGGAAAAGCAATTCGCCAATTGACTTAACAATTCGCTAATTGACAACCGGATTCCTACTTACTGCTAGGTATGTGGAGTAAGGAAACTTGCCTAAGTTTTCGCCCTGCCCGGAAACCGAACCCAGGTACCCCTCGGGTAGAGTGAAGCTCTAAGCGTGAAGTGAAGCTCTCTCTACACTGTCCCATTCACTTTAGCATTCACAAGTCAACAACAGCATGGGTTAGATACAGAGAAAAGCTTCCTCTAACACTCTCCAGCTGGCAAAGCTCTGAACAAAAAAATGAGCGTGTCCAAACCTCAGGGTTTTATTAATGAGACTGTTCAGGGCTGTCTGGCCCTGTAATCTGGTTCAGTAATTTCTGCTTTTACTAAGAACCTATCTCAGTGATTTGCAATGTTAACTCAAAACCTCTTGGGACTGAACTGGCGGCTTCTTAAACACTTTTGCCGTTTAAAAGAAAGGAACAATGTACTAAAATGTGTGGAACGTAACACTCTGTCAGTGATGCACGAGGTCCTGAGCTATTGTATTAGGATCACAAAGGCAATGCCGTGCTGTCATCTGTACCGGCCAGACTGACCTTTGATCTCTCCACATCCTGGAGAAGGAGGAGGACAGGGCCCTAAGAGAAGCAGGAATGAAAGTAAAAGGGGTTTTGTGTTTTGCCACGTTTGTTTATTGCGGAGAGAAAAGGAACGAGTGTAATATGGATAGAGCGATGGGAGGGCGAGAGAGAAAAAGAGAAAGGGAGGAGAGTGAAAGCGAGGGAAAGAGGGATGAGAGAGAGAGAGAGAGAGAGAGAGAGAGAGAGAGAGAGAAAAAGATAAGGGGAGAGAGGCAGAGAGATAGAGGGACAGACAAACAGCTAAGGTTCAGTGTTCCACAACTGCCTATATCTGAATCAATTACCCCCAGTACAACTCAAATGTTCAACAACAACAATTTGTATGTATGTATACAGCGCCCTTCACTCAGCGTTCTTAACAGTGGCAGAGCCTGACACCAAGTCAGGGGAGGTAATCGGAAGCACGGTCGAGGAGAAAGGTGCTCAGGCGTCATCTGAAAATGGGGAAGGAGAAGGCAAGGCGAGGGGATTGAGGAAGAGTGTTTCAAAGTTTCGGGGTGCAGTGGCTGCTGATGGTGTGCAGGATGAGAGCCAAGCAGGAGGCCAGAGCCAGGATCATACGTTGGTGCCTTTTATCGTCAAACCAGTTATTGGGGGCAGATATTCCACAGCTGGTTCACGGACAGTGGAGGCTTTATTGAGAAATCTATGGTAAAAGGATAAGACTATGCAGGTCCACACCAAAGCTGGAAAGAGTGGGAGAGATGAGGGAAGCGCTATATCAAATGCAAGGATTATTATTATTATTTATTATTAGTATGTGACACTAAGCTTGAAGTTATAATATAACAATCCTTGGATTTGATATAGTGCCTTATCACGTCTTCAAGACGTCTCAAAGCGCTTCACAGAATTATACTGTAAAGTGAATTGACTGTGTAATTTGTGGGCATGTGAGATTGTTATAGGAAAGGGGAAACTTAAGGGAGGGGGCTCCAGAATCTTGAGGTCCTGGGAAAGACTGAGTTGGAGGAGGAAATTGAGTGGGGTGATGAGCCTTGATGTCAGTGCTCGGAGCAAGAGCATGACAGACAAATAGCCCTTATGTGGATGAGAGAGAAGCAATGAGAAGAGTTGTCAGTGAAATACAGGAGAACGAGAAGAACAACGTGAGTGAGAAGAGAAGGAGCGAAAGAGAAAGAGGGAGAAAGAATGAAAGAGAGAGAAGACGATGAGCGAGAAAGAGAGAGAGAGAGAGAGAGAGAGAGAGAATATGCGAGAGAGAAAAGTTGGAAGCTGCAGGAGATCTCTTTCCAGACTCTTTTCCAGTGTTTGTTGTGTCCTGTCCAGGATGGCAAGATATTTTGTGTGGGGGGAGGGTTTTCGTGCAGAGAGTGACGATACTGCAGAGGTCAACAGCATCCTGTCCCACCAAAGAGGTTCAATGCTGACCTTTAGACAACTGGCTCTGTAGGCATTAATGCAATCTGTGTTATTACACACTGACTGTGGGGGAAGTTTGAGGGTTGTAAGTGTGAGAGAAACCGTTGCTCTCAGTTTTACAACAGAAGGATTTCAGTCGGGAGGTTTTTGGCATCACTAACTGTGCGTGATGCTCCTCCAGCTTGTTTAACACTTTCTTCTCTTCTCTCCCTCTCTCCCTTTGTCTCATTCTCACTTCTCTCTCTATACCAATCTCACTGCCCCATATGAGCTCGATCTCATTCACTCTCTTGCATTCACACTCACTCTCTCTCTCTGCGCTCTTACTCTCTCCTATTTTTATTTTGCTGTGCGCAATAGGCAGCAGTGTTTCACCCACAAATACACAGTCACTGCACTATATATATATATATATTCTGTGAAGTACTTTGAGATATTTCAATGAAGTGATAAGGCGCTATATCAAATGCAAGGATTATTATTCTTTCTTGGAAACTTCCTCTCTCGCACTGTTTCCCTCTTTCTTTCACACTTTCCCACGTTCTCTCACACTCTCCCTCAGATATTCTTTCTCTCTCTCTCTCTATCTCTCTCTCTCACACTCTGTCACCTTCTCTCTTGCACTCTATATCTCTCACATTCTCGCTTTCTCACTATTCTCTCTTGTACTTTCTCACACACTCCAAATTTGAGATCCTACACCGGAGAGTGAGTTGCTAAATGCATTGACTGTTACAGAGTTGACTCTTATAGATCAGAATGTATTGGGTTTGATCTCTGAGAGTGATTTCTGTGGTGTGTTGGATAAAGATTGTACAAACATTCTCCGCACTGTCCACTCCAACACTCCCAGGTCAGGTACAACACATTACAGGATTCGATGCAGAACACTCCCTCTATATTGTCTGGTCCAGCACACCCAGGTCAGGGAATCCTGTACACTACCTGTTACTGTGTAAACGCAACAACAACAACAAAATTACATTAATACAGTATAGCACCTTTCACATCAGAAGGACATCCCAAGGCGTTGGACAGTTAAGGCTTTGTACCTGATTATTCTTTCTGTTGTGGCTGATACAAACAGAATTAACTCTACCTCTTGCCCACTGTCTATCCAGCAAACCAGAGGATCAAATATACCATTTAAACAGGTGGATGGAGAAACAACAACAACAACAACAACAAACTCAAAGTGTACTCCAGGGCAGTTCAAACCTATACATACATGCACCTGATAACATGCAGCCTCTGCATCGACGTGGACTTTCTCCTTATGAAAGGGGCACTCCCCCTCCCCCTCCCCCCCCCCCCCCCCCCCTACCACACATACACACAATGTTTGGTTTACCTTCTCGTTTCATGCCCACTTTGAAGCACTTCCTCAGCCTACAATACTGGCACTGGTTTCTGTGGTGTTGGTCGATGTGACAGTCCCTGTTGGATCTGCAACAGTAAGACAAGTTTCGCCGTATGCTCCTCTTGAAGAAACTCTTGCACCCTTCGCAGGTGAATTGTCCGTAGTGCTTTCCGCTTGCCCGGTCCCCACACACCACACACTCGGCTTGGATGCCTTGTCCTCCCAGGTCAGGGTCGCTGGCCGCAGCGTGTGAGGATGGAGCTGGGCTCTTCAAGGCTTCCTCTGGGTTGCAAGAGCGAGGTTTGGAGTCAGTGTGAGAGTCCCTCCAGTCATCAGCCACTGTTGCCATTCTTTTCCTCCAAACGCCAAGCCAAGTTGTTAGCACTGGGCTAACAACAACAACCCCTTCATTCAATCAGACCAGCAAGACAGCAGCAAGGATTTTGAGAAAGTCTGTGTTTTGGATTGGGGTGAGGAGGCGGTGGGGGTGGGGGGAGAAAGAGAGACAGAGCGAGAGAGGAGGGAGAGAGAGAGAGAGAGAGAGAGAGAAATATTAGATTTAAAAGGATTAAACAGCATTTAAAGTTTTTGCAAAATGTTTGCGGAAAGCAAAAACAAAGTTTGCAAAAGAAATTTGAAAAAAAAACATTCGAAAGGTTTTATTGGGATTAATATTATCTTAAAACCTGAAGGTTTTATTAGGATTAAGATAATTTTAAAAACGTAAACTCGCGTTAACGATTCTTAAAAAAATGAACACGTTCAAGTGCTTAATACCGTCTTAAAACTTTAAGCTTTGGTTAAGATTACCTAAAAAACTTTTAAAGATTTGAATTTTCTCGTTCGAGAAGCAAACTTAAGTTTTCACAAATATTCTACTGGAGAGAGAAAGAGAGAGTGAGTGAGTGAGTGAGTGAGTGAGTGAGTGAAGAGAGGAAAGAAAATATTCATACCTAAGTGGTTTGGCATGCTCTCTCCTGGCATCCTCGCCTGGAATCTCCCAACAAAACGATACCATTCCCTGTTTTGAGGATATAAATGTATCTCTGCACTTGTTTTCCCTGTAGTTATAGTCAATTCGCTCTGTTCCTGACCTCAGTCCAGGCATCAGCAGCTTCTGAACAAGTCCATGGATGTAATGTGTATCTCTCTCTCTCTCTCTCTCTGTTCAGAGTTACTTTCAAAGACAACAAACAAACAAACAAAATAAAAGCATCCGTTTAAAAAGTCTCTCGCCTCTTCCGAAAAGTTTTTTTTGGGGGTGGTGGGGGTTTGTTTGGTTGGTAGTTTAAGGAAAAAAACTTCCTCTCCCCCATTCCCACCCCAGGAGAAAAGGGAGTGAATGGATAGGGGTGAGTTGGGGGAGGGAGAGAGAGAGAGGGAGAGAGGAGGGGAAGGAGAGAGAGAGAGAGAGAGAGAAGGAAGGAAGGAAGGAAGGAAAGGGGGGAAATAATCTCTTAGGAACTAGGGATCGTGGAAAAAAAGTTATGGGAGAGAAGCAAAGAGCAGAAATGTCTGCTGGTCTGGACAATCAGAGAGCGCACAGCCTGTATGGGTACATTGCCAGAGGAAGAGTACAAGGGCTGGAGAGGCTGATTTTTACTGAATGAAACAGGGGCAGGGAGTCAGTGACTGTCTGTGTGAGCAATGACACTCCTATTCAAGCCGGAACGTTGCTAAGGAGATGGCTGCCTTTTAAGGAAGTTTGGTGTCAGGGAACTAAGGGAAAGGGGGTGTTTGCTGCTCATAATAAGGGTCTGCCCCCAAGGTCTCCACTCAGGTGCTTTGGCTGGGTTTCACTTTTACTTGAGACAGTTTATTCAAACAGAGTATTGTGCACACACACGCACACATACACACACACACACAAGACAAGAATCCAGTAAGAGTGTGATTAGGTATAATAATAATCCCATACGATCCTTGCATTCGATACAGCGCCTCATCACATCGTTGAGCCGTCTCAAAAGCGCTTGGCAGAATATACCGCAAAGCGAGTTGACTGTATATTTTGTGGGCGCAACGCGGCAGCCGATTGCGCACAGCAGCGTCCCCACACACAGTCGTGGATTGAGCGACCAAATTATTATTATTATTATTATTATTTTTTTTTTTGAAGGGATTATGACACCCGGGAAAGCGATCCGCCAATCTTCGAACGAACAACCGGGTTCCGATAAACCTGCCCGGGACAATTTCTTTAAAAGGACAAGACGGGCAGACCCAAAAAGAGAGGGAGAGGAGGGTCCGAGGATATCTCAGTGTCGCGACATCGTCAAACTTCACTTTGAATTGAGAAGGGTGGTTGGATTTGTGTCCCACCAGCTGGGATTCAGAGTTCCACGATTTCACTGTATGTGTGGAATGTAAGCGAATTCCGCTCGCACAGGTATTTGCACAAGAACTCTTTACTTTTCTCCCAAATTCCCTTGGCCTCACGCCTTTCCTCCTTTGTCCTGGAAAACCTCCTAAAGAAAACCTCCTAAAAAAGCCTCCCAATCTCGTATCAATACCCTCACACACCCTTCACTTCCCACACTGGGTGATCCGTATCCCACGACACCCTTTGACATCTTATCCCTCTCTGACAGACAGCCTCTCCCACCCCTGCCCTCCTCCACCACTCCCGATCCCAACCGCTCTGCTTGGGTGCAAATCCTTGACTGTCCTTCGCTTTGGGATGTGCTCCGGGCGTGAATGGCGCTATACAAACGTAATTTGTTGTTATATAAGATTGCTCGCTCACTTCACGGCTGTTTGTGGGATCTCTCTGTGTTCAAATTGGCTGCTGCGTTCCCCTACGAAATACACAGTCACTACACTTTACAGTAAATCCTGTGAAATGCATTGAGAAGACCTCCCAACACGAAAGGTACAATATCAAGCATCACTACCAGGATTTTTATAAATAGTTTTTTTCTCATGGTGATTTTTTTTCCCTCCCCTTTGTCATATTAACACTGACTCATATAGAGTGGGGGCGCGGGGGTGGGGGGGGGGAAGAGGGGCAGAACTCATGTCTCAAAACACCCCCTCTGTTCTGTCAAGTGAAGCGACTGCCAAACACAAAGTTGAAGTAAGCGAATGATCAATTTGTCAGAGAGCACAACGACTTTCAAATCGTGCCTCGGGATCTTTAACATTCAGCTGAACGGGAAGACTGGACCTAGTTTAGCATCTTAGGCAAAAGACAACACCTGTAACTATGCAACGTTCTCTCCCCCCCCACCCCACCACCCCCCCCCACCCCCACATACACACACGCTCACACCCTCCCAGCACTGTACTGGAGCATCAGCCTGGATGTTGAGCTCAGCTCCCAATATGGGGCTTTGACCCACAACCTTCTGACCCAGCGACGGAAACGCAAGCGGCCGAACCAAGCTGATCCTGATGAGTTTTCCGAGCCCCTCATTGACATGACTATGGGATGTTAACGGATGATTAATAGGACAGGATCCTGAACAAAAAGGAGGTCACTGCAGTTCACTGCCACTTTACCACGACTCAAGCAAACAAAAAAAATGAGTCTTTCTAATCAGATCAGCTTTTACTCAGCCTGGAGAACGGTAGCACCATAGATACCGAGGGCAGAGAAGGGGGAGGGGGAGGGTGAATCTATGCAAGCATCAGATTGTGTTAAAAAGTAAATCTTGTCCTCTTCAAGATGGGTTTTAAAGTGAGAGTTTCCAGACAGACAGACAGACAGAACAGACAGACCTGCTTTTAAGATTGTGATCTGGGCCAGTGGATTTAGTAAAGCCACACAGACTGGTGGAAGACCCCAGGTTTCTGTTCATGGTGCTCATTGAGCAACCAATCTTCGATCTCAGCCAGACAGTGGTTGTCTCTATAACTGACCTTGGGCTAAAGAGGGAAAGATCAGCCAAGTGTCCAGTCTCTGATCGTTTGCAAGCGATTCCACCCCCACCCACCCCTCAGACGTACTGGTTGCCAAGGCTGGCTCGCACGCTAAGTGGGTTAGGGTTAGAGAAAGAAGCGAGGAGAGAACATACAGCGCTTTATCGCGCCTCAAAGCGCTTCACAGGATTTTACTGTAAAGTGTACCGTGTACTCTGTAATTTGTAGGTGAACGGGGCAGCCATTTGCATACAGCGATGTTCCACAATGTTTTGGGGGTGTGGAGTCAGCCGGGTGTCTGATACATATGGAAACCCACCACCATGCTCCCACTAACAGTCATGAAGTGAATGAGCAATTTTATCTGTGGGATTCTTTGGACAGGACACCGAGAGAGAGAGAGAGAGAGAGAGACAGAGAGAGAGAAATACTCCCTTCCATTTTTGAGTAGGGATCATTAACACCACGTGACCAGGCGCAGACGGGAGCTTGGTTTAATATCTCAGCCGAAGGATTGGAAGGTCTCATGCGAAAATCATCAGCGCTGTTGGAAAGCCAAATAATCCAGTTAGAATCACTCTTGCTCCAAAAACGTTCCCAGCACCAATGATTATTGAAGCTGCTTAATCCAATAATTGTACCATCACTGTCAAGCGAATCCTTATCCGTCACATCACAAGTTTACTAAGGTGGGGGGGTTTGGGGAGGTGGGGGAGGGGCTTGGGGGGTGGGGGAAGGGGAGTGCGATGGAGGATTGGGAGCAGGAGGGGATTGCAAGAGGCTGCCCTTTCACCTTCAGCTCCTGGCATTTGTGACCCTTGATCTGTGAGCTGTGTGATCCCGCCAGGCACCAGTGTAACATTTGACCTTGTTTAGTCTGGGAGCTCAGCTCACAGCGCAGAGGGGAACAAAGAAAAATGGATCGCTGATGGCAGACAGGAAGGCGAGCGACAGAAGGGATTCAGGAGGAGGCACCTGTTGGGATAGGCTTATCGAGCGCCGATCTCTTTAGTTTAGACAAAAATCTTAATGTGATCAGCGTCGAGATGTGTTAGCATTCCGTCGACTGTATATTTTGTGGGCGAAACACGGCAGCCAATTGCGCACAACAGTGTCCCACAAGCTGTTGTGGATTGAGAGACCAAATTATTTTTTTTAAGGGTTTATTACCCCCGGAAAGCGATCCGCCAATCGACTAACAACTGGGTTCCTACTTACTGCTAGATAAACAGAGACATGTGGAGTAAGGAAACTTGCCTAAGGTTTCGTCCTGCCCGGAAATTGAACCCGGGTCTCCTCGCTTGTGAGGCTAGTCTAACCACCACTACTTAATGGGAGAGGTGGGTGGGGGTGGGAAACAATCTTGAAATCCCGTTAGAATCAAACATGATATTGACCCCAACACTTGAGGGTGTAGATTGGGTGAGGAAGGGGGCTGTGCAACAATCTGCATCTTCAGTGTTAAATCTTCGAGCTCCGACCTCCCATCAGTTTATCATTCTGCTTCGTGTAGGCAGAGGCGGGCCGCTACCGGAGCCAAGAATATTTGTGCGTGGCTTGGAAATGTCACTTAGCACCAGAAATGGCACAAGGCACCGGTGCCAGCTTTGCCCCGCTGGGCCGTGGTGTGATCATTAACGGCCAGGACGCTGTTAGCTCACTCATGCAGGGAGCCCAGAAGGATTGTTCCGCATCAGCTAACACCGTGCCAATAATATCTGAGAGCAGGAGCTCTGCACATCTCAAAGCGCGCTTATCTCTCGTCAATAATACCACGACTAATGCTAATAATTCTTACGTTTGATACAGGTAGTTATGGGATATTGTACATAGGTAGTTCGGGACATCTGTGTCCATGCGACCGCCAGGAAGGTGGAAGGCGAACGAGATGGACCTTGGTCTTTATTCGTCTAGCATTTCTTATGTTCTTATGTAGCGCCTTATCATGTTGTTGAGACGTCTCAAAGTGCTTCACAGTAGATATTGTAAAGTGCGGTGTCTGTGTATTTTGTGGGTGAAACTCGTACAGTTGCCAATTGTGCACAGCCATGTCCCCACAAACAGTCGTGGATTGAGTGACCACATTTATTTGTTTGGTTGTTTGGTTTTGTTAATGGGAATATTATCCCTGGGAAAAACAGGTTCCTACTTACTGCTAGAGATGTATGAAGTAAGAAAATTTTCCTAAGGTCTCGTCCTGTCCTGAATCGAACCAGGTCTTCTCACTTATGAGGTGAGTGCTCCAACCACTGAGCTACGGGACTCCAAGTAAGCTACAGTGGAGAGGTCTTGGTGGTTTGACTTCATCCCGGTTTTACAAAGGAAAGGGGAGTGTAGGTCCCACAGTCTCTATCCCTCGCTCAAACATCCCTCTGATTTGTTTCGCACAAGCAGGCTCCATCTGCCAGAGACACTTCCCACCAACAACACCACCCAGTAACTCGAGTGATGATCAAAAATAAAGATTATAACCTTTGCATTTTATATAACGCCTCGAACACTGTATCTATCGTCTTGCGGGTAATTGCTAATAAGTGAAGTGACTGTATTTGTGGGCAAACTTTCCTCTTCAACCAAGCCTTCGGCCATCCTCCCTACCATCCCTGCCCTCCACTCCTCCCGATCCCGATCCTCAGGTCGGGTCCAAATCCATGACTGTCCAGCGCCTTGGGACGTCCTCTCGACGTGAAAGGCGCTGTACAAATGTAATTGTACTTTGCTGATGTAGACCTCTGGATTCGTGCTGTTTGGGGGTTTGGGGAAGGAGTTACAGGAGAGGAGGGCTTATTTCCCCACAATCTATTTGCGAACGCTCAGCAATAGTAGGAAGAACGGACACCAACGACTCCCAAGGCAGCTGAGCTTCGTAATGGAGATTTTTTAAAGGCTGCCGACCTTGGTCACCTGCTCTTTGACATTTGAACTCTGACACTTGACATCTCTGCGGCTCAAGAGCAACCATTTGTTTCCATCTAAATGAATAAAGCGGGGAGTCTAGCCGTCGGATATCTCTGGCGGATTGGTTTTAATCACCTCAGGGCACGTTGGGAATCACCTCTGCCCTCCCCGCTCGTCTCCCAGTGAGGGGGAAAAAAATGCGCTCCCACTTAATTTCCACCAAACACAGATGGCCGGCGCGTAGCGCTAACCAATCAGAGGGCAAACGTCTGACATGAATGATTCCCTGTTATTTATTTATCGGGGGTTTTAGCATTTTGCAGATTTCCCTGTTGGTCAAGTGTGAGTGAGCCATAGTGATTAATCTGCTCTCACAACACTTGCATCCCATTTAAAGTGATGCCGGGCCTTTATAGATTCCGTAAACCCTCTTGTTAAACATGGTGTCTGCCCCCTCGGGAGCAGAGAGCTGCCGAGGCTATTTTTTTATCCCTGTTTGTGGGACGCTGCTGCACGCAAAATTGGCTGCCGCTTTCGCCCACAAAACACAGTCACTACACTTTACAGCGTTTCCTGTGAAGCACTTTGGGATGTCCTCTTGACGTGAAACATGTTACACCAAATGCAAGGATTATTATTATTAAACTTGTGACAATATAAGTATTAGAGTTGATCCGGGAGTCCTGTCTGGACAGTATAGATGGAGCTTTACTCTGTATCCAACCAGTGCTGTCGCTGGTCTGGGAGCGATGGATGCACTAGAATTCCTTCATCTCTGAAAATCATCACGCACTAAAAAAAATAATTTTAGCTGTTTAAATACAAAATGCTAATTTTTCACAGGAATAATATTTCAACAGCTGTGCCCTTTAGCAACCAGACACGAGCCAGCCTGTCAAACAAGCCTCTCGAAAGTGTTGCAACTTTTAATGAAGATATTTTTAGGCTGCGATTTTATAATACATTGTGCTTTAGAAATTCCAGTGACTTTGGACAGTAATTCTCGTGTTTTTAAAAAAATAAGATATTAAATCATATTTATATCCTCATCTCCTCTGAAAGATATGGGCTGATGTTTCGTGTGTGACCTATTGTCGGAAAAACAACAGGACAAGCGAGGTCTTCAGGCTTAAAGAAACATCTCAGAGAGAACCTTATTGAAGTACAATGGGATTGAGACCCAGAACGACTTTCTTCAATAAGATTCACACCTCAGGTTCGAGGGTTTGAAGGGCAATTTCAGGAAAATTATAATAATAATAATAATAATAATAGTAACCCTTGGATTTGATATAGCGCCTTATCACATCATCGAGTCGTCTCAAAGCGCAATATCAAATGCAAGGATGATTATTATTATTATTACAATGGGGACAATGATCAAAAAAGCTGAAATTGATCCGAATCTCTCTTGTGAATTTGATTGGTCAAGATGGAGAGATTCCTATGGAATTCACAAAGATAAGTCGGGAAGCAGATAAAGCAGAGAAGCTTTAAAGTGGCTGTTGCAGTTCTTGTAATGCCCGCTTGATGTCAGTATTCATGTAGATTGGGGGACAAGGGTGACGATTGCAGTTGGGTGAAAAAGGTATGGTATCCAACAGCAACTTCGATTTATACAGTACCGTTCCTGCAAAGGAAAGCTCTTAGCGTATGTAGCGGTGTACACCCAGCAGGGAAATAACCAAGATGGTCCACCAAAGTCATAAGATCTAAGGGATTTATTTCTGGGAGGGTTGAAGGCGGGGATAGGTACAATGACAACAACAACTTGCATTTATATATAGCGCCCTTCGTGCAGGGTAGCGTGCTGAAGGGCTTCATGTTGGCGGAGTCTGACCCCAAGCCAGGGGGGAGAGGGAGGGAGGAAGGGTCTTTATGCAGGATTCGAAGGTGGGGAGGGAGGGAGGGAGGAAGGAAGGGGGCAAGGCAGAGCGATCGAGGGAGAGAGTTCCAGAAGTAGCCTACAGTCAATGCGAGGAGGACAATGGATAGATTCTCGTTGGCAGACTCCTTCCTTAAACACTAGTTTCTGATTCCAGAGGAAGATATGTCTCATCAATCAATAAGTTGCTGCAATCGCCCGTAATGTTGTCTCGCTGAGTGGGTTCTTCGTTCTCACACTCGATTCCGACCTCTATGAAGACTTTTGTGCCTCTGACCTGAAGGATGGAAGCCACCATCAGATTTAGGGAGATGAAACAAGGCAGGTGATACATACACAAGACCATGTGAGGAGGAATCTTCCTATACTTATAATAACAATAATAATAATAATTTGGTCACTCAATCCACGGCTGTTTGTGGGACGCTGCTGTGTGCAATTGGCTGCCACGTTTCACCCACAAAATATACTGTCAATTCACTTTACAGTATATTCTGAGAAGCGCTTTGAGATATCTCGCAGACGTGATAAGGTGCTATATCAAATGCAAGGATTATTATTATATTCACTCATTCTTCTAGCAAAAATGAAAGTACGTGGCGGTTAATTCTCTTTAGCAGATGCCCCCTTCCTGCTCCTGAATAAACACGTTCCATCTGGGGAAAAACTTGAAGGATTACCAGTGATAATTGACCATTTAATATGTGCCCTTACCCGTTTGTCTTTCAACTTGTCTGTTCTTAACCCCTCAACGTCCGGCTGCTGGGGAAATGATTGCCCCTTTGATAGATCCCACCACAACAGGCCAGGAGCAATGCTCTGCCTCTTGGTTGGACCTACAAACAATGAACACACATAGATGTTAAGGCCTCCTTGTTCATCCCTCACCTCCTCCACTCCACAATTGGTGGCCGTGCTTTCAGCCACTACCCTCCAAAACTCTGGAACTCTCTTCCTCAATCCTTCAGCCTTGCCCCTTCCCTCCCCACTTTCACATCCCACCTAAGGACCTTCCTTTTTTATCGTGTTTACTCCCACTCCCTCTCCCCCCAGCTCGGGGTGAGACTCTGCCACTGTCAAGCGCTCTGGGATACTACCCCTCGTGAAGAGCGCTGTGTAAATGCAAGTTGTTGTTGTTGTTGTTGTTGTGAGAAACCTTCAGAATGATGAGCCGCCATTTTGCAGCGAAGGGATAATTAGAATTTTAAAATTATGAGGCAAATTGCTAACTTTTTTTAAAAAGAAACCTTTCTCTTTCGTCCGCAGAACGCAACCGGAAATTTTAATCAACTCACCCGTTAAGTAGCTGACCACAACACCAACAATGATGGTCGTAAGAGAGCCCACGATTCCATAGTACAGGTAGGACAAGGCGTAGAACTCGTCTGCAATGGGAAACCTTCAGAGGGAAAGACGGCAGAACTATCAAAGGTTACCGATACAAGGTTAACAGTTTGAAACTGAAACTGGTTCTTCTTCCACGGTGCCTTAGGCCACTCTCCCACCCCCACCCAACCCTGCTCTCCACCCCTCCTGACCCCAACTCCCAGCTTGGGTCCAAAAATCCCTGACTGTCCAGCGCCCTGGGACGTCTTTCCGACGTGGAGGGCGCTACACAAGTGTAATTTGTTGTTGTTGAAACTTATTTTACTCGATCAGCGTCTCTTACCTGTTCGGATGCTCTGGTGCCATTGGTATCCGTCCAGCAAATAAGACCGTGCCATTGATCGTAGAATTGGTGTCCAAGATAGGGCAAGACATGGCGGAGGACGGCAAGACTCCCATAAGCTCAGGGGTGGGTGGGTACATTGCGCCTCCGATTGACAGCCAGAGAGAGATCGCGAAACCAGCAGCCAGGCCAGCGAGCACCCCCTAAATCCAGAGGCCAGAAGCCATTTTACATTATTTACTCTCGGGAACTGAAGGATGGGTGGAGGGATCAATTTGGAGACACATGTCACAAGGCATTTATATGTATGTAGTTCCCGCTTCTTTCTTGATAAATTGTCTCAGTGTTGAACATGAACTGACTGTATATTTCGCCCACAAAATACACAGTCACTCCACTTTACAGTATATTCTGTGAAGCGATTTGAGACGTCTCGAAGATATGATGAGGCGCTGTATCAAATGCAGGGATTATTATTGTTATTGTAACCGCAGCCAACAAGTGGAAGGCAAGGAGTGATCCATCTGTCTATCTCTCATTCTCTGCACAACTCGCTTGTGATGTATTTTACGTTGGAAGTATAGTAGTGGATAGGAGGTGTGAGCTTCCTGGTTCCGTATGTTATAGGTGAGGACCCTCATCCAATGGGTGGGATTCCCCAGGTGAGGAAACACCTTCTCTAGAATCAGTTAAAGGGAAATATAATGTTATTATTATTAAAATATGGTCTGGTGTGATAGGACATATGTCTCTGTGCAATCTCACAAAATATTGAGACGTTCTCTCAATGTGAAACGCATTATATCGACATAAAATGTATTGTATTATCAACCTGAGCCCATGCTTACCACAGCGTTTGAGGGAGGAATGAATATCCCGAGGATAAATGCTCCCAACAGTGGGTTACTGATGACTCCCATCACAGTGAAGGAACCCTAGGATAAAATAGCACCACTTAGCCCGGACTCTTACACAGCACTGAGTAATTTTGTTATTAATGATAGATTTTCTGGGTCCCCTCCTCCTTCCTTGCCTCTCCTCTTCCTCCCATGCCAACATTCACTGTAAAGACTCAGACATAATGGGATTCTGGCCTAAATCAGAGGTAATGACATTCTGAACATCTGTGATCAGGGCTCCCTCTGCCTCCTTATCCTCCTCGACCTCTCTGCCGCCTTCAACACTGTCGACCACTCAATCCTCATACACCGCCTCTCCTCCTTACTTAATCTTCGCAGACCTGCCCTTGCCTGGTTCGATTCTTCTCTCTCTCACCGTCTCCACTTTGTTGCCTCTATCGTGACAGTGCGGTTTCTCCTCCAGCCCCCGCACTGTCACGTCTGGTGAAAGGTGCTATACAAATGTAATCTTGTTGTTGTTGTTGTTGTTGTTGTTGGAAGGAGGAGAAATTGGCAGGAGATTAAAATCAAAACCCTCAGCTCCTATGTTTAGTAAATGTATGTCAACAGCATCTAACCTCTCCACGTGTATTAACAGACACTTGGTTTGATGCGATCATACCTGCAAAACCCCTCCACCAAGCAGGCTGGACAAAGCAGCAAACATAACGCAAGCCACACCGTACAGCAAGGCTGGAAAACAGAGAAAAGTAGAGAGGAGGTCATTGAGGATCAGATGAAGACACTTATAATAATCCTCGCGTTTGATCTAGTGCCTTATCACGTCATCGTGATTTCTCAAAGCGCTTTGCAAGATATACTTTAAATGGATTGACTGTGTATTTCTGTGTATTACTGTGGAGTCCTGTAGCTCAGTGGTTAGAGCACTCGCTTTACAAGCGAGAGACCTGAGTTCAATTCCAGGCAGAGGGCCAAACCTTGGGCAAGTTTTCTTACTCCACACAGAGCCTAATAATAATCCCTCCAAAAAACCCAAAACAATAATAAAATTGTTCATTTTCAATCTATGACTGTTTGTGGGACATTGCTGTGCGCAATTGGCTGCCGCGTTCGCCCACAAATATACAGTCAATTCACTTTGCAGTGTGTTCTGTGAAGCGCTTTGGGACGTCCTCCCGACGTGAAAAGCGCTATATCAAATGCAAGGATTATTATTATTATTATTTTGTGGGTGAAACGCAGCAGCCAGTTGAGCATAGCAGTGTCCCACAAACAGCCATGCATTTTGGGAGATTGTTGGCCAGGACACCGAGATAAACTCCCTTCTTTTTTCGAATAGTGCCGTGGGAATCTTTCCTCCCTCATTAACTAGCCTGATGAAGAAAGACAAAAAGACCGGCAGACAGATACTCACACAGCCCTTTAGATATCATAATCAACTTCTTTTGAGATAACTGCCTCATCCTGGGTTTGATTGCGTCCTCCAAAGTGACTACGGCCATAGCATTGATGCTGGTGGAAGCCGTGCTGTAAAGGAGGAGCACATATTTTATTCTGTGGCTCCTTCTCAACCGTCGAAGCCTTTTAGCGCTCTATAAATTGCGGTCTTTGTTACCTCAGTGTCCCGCTGTAGGCTGCGGCTAGGAACAGTCCTGGGGCTCCTGGGAATGTTGCAAAAATGTCCAGCACCATGTATGGAATCATCTATAAAAACACATAAAATCCAATGCCATCAACAACAACAAATTGCATTCATACAGCGCCTTTCCCGTTAGGAGGACGTCCGAAGGCGCTAGACCACCATGATAGTCTCTGGCCAAAGACCCACTGCCAAGAGCAAGCTGGGCACATGCCCACTGGCGTAGTCCATCAGATGCCACCTGGGAATGTTTCACACCTTGCTCGCCTAAGACTGCACTGGTATCGGGAGTATTTCCTTTGTGTTGCTTGACTCACCTGATCGCTTGCAGAGACGTAACCTGCAATCACGGGGTCACAATCCTCGTACAGGGCAAACATGATTATGCCACAGATCACTGCACTCGTAACGATCATCCATAGTCCAAGTTGGTTCACAAAGATGGCGCTGTGAACAAACCAAGAGTCAAATATTCGCCCACAAAACGCACAGTCGATTCACTTTACCGTAATATTCTGTGAAGCACTTTGATATATGTCAATGACGTGATAAGGCGCTATACCAAATGCAAAGGTTATTATTATTATCATTATTAAATCACAACCTGCACTTGCCCAGCAAACGAGGAGAGTGATGGTAAATGGCATACTTCTTCCTCCTTTACTCTCACTTTTATTCCGAATCTGAAACTAACTCGTAACTACTAGAGATCTGTGGGTCACTGCTCTCAGAACAGTGTGGTATCCATTGAAAGTTGCCTCCATAATACTCTTCCATTCATCCTACTGGAAGTGTGACACAATAGGATTTATATTTATATCGCGCCTTTCATGCCGGGAGGACGTCTCAAGGTGCTTGGCACTACATGATCCCATTAAGCACAGTTGCTTGTGATGAACTCCAGCAAGCAAGAACTGTATAGGCAGCAAACTGGGAATAGTGACAGTGGCTTACACACTGTTGAGAAATACTTCAGAGTTTCTGACAGGAGGAAACGGAGAGAGGGCGAGAGAGAGAGAGAGCTTGGCCTCTCTACCACAGTTAGTTTGCAACAGAAAATTGGAAGAAACAGATGATTTTGATCAAATACATGACCCTTATCGCTGCCTGATGCACAGAGCAAGACCTGGCTTGACCTGAGAAGACTTGTCAGAACCAAACCAATCTCTTCTCTGTCTCATTGCCTTTGGCAAATGAAAAGTGTGTGAATTTACAAGTTGAACCAACTACCTCTCAGCCACCCAGAGAATGAGCAATTAGATAGATGTCATCAGAAATTATGTTTTATCCCAAAGATTCATAATAACATGAAAATACACATCAGGAGCAACAACAAATTAATTTTGGAAATAATAATAATAATAATAATCCTTGCCTTAGCTTTGAGACATCTCAAAGCGCTTCACAGAATATACTATAAAGTGAACTGATTGCATACTTTTTATTATTATTTTTGAAGGGATTATCACCCCCGGAAAGCAATCCATCAATCGACTAACTGGGTTCTTACTTACTGCTAGGTAAACAGAGGCTTGTGGAGTAAGGAAACTTGCCTAACGATGAAATTAAATTTGTATTCAAACTGAAACCACAAAGAAACTGGTGACCTTTTCCCAACGCAACAGCCTTTATTAAAAATAGGAAGACTGACCTTTTGTCCCTGTTAATAGTCAGTTGTTCATTCCTTACTCGTTTTACAGGAGAACTCTCCCACCTCGTGCCTGGAAATGCCAGATCAAATCTAGGAGGACTGCAGATGGAACCTCTAATTCCAAGAACTCAGCACAGAATTATTAAACTTACCGGCAGACTGCAACCTTGTTCAAAGACCTTGTTAAAGCAGGCTGCTGATTACTGAACACAAGGAGCGGGTGGAGCAGTAAGTTAATAATAATAAATAATAATAATAATCCTTGCATTTGATATAGCGCCTCATCACGTCTTTGTTAACAAGCGGTTGTAGAGGTAGTTTAAACATTTTCTGCATCCTCTTAAATCTTTAAGATGAAATAGATTACAGGCTAAGACCAGGTGGAATTTTAGGCCTCTGGCTGAAAAATACAAGCATTTGATCCTCTCAAACATAGATCATAGAATTATACAGCACAGAAGGAGGCCATTCGGCCCATCCTGCCCTGCCGGCTCTTTGAAAGAGCTATCCAAATTAATCCCACTTCCCCGCGCTCTCCCCGCATTAGCCCTGTAAATTTGTCCTCCCCAAATATCTATCCACTTTTCTCTTGAAAGTAGTTATCGAATCTGCTTTCAACACACTTTCAGGCAGTGCATTCCAGATCCAAACAACTCCCAGTGTGAAACGTCACAGATATTCAAGGCAGTCACATTATAACTCAACAAACCATACCGTTAGCACTAAACATCACTCTGTAATCTCGCTCCCCGCACCCACTGTGCCCTTGGCAGCGGGAAGGGTTGTACCCACTGCCCGGGCACTCACTCTGTGACTTACACTCGGGCTTGTTGTTCTGTTCTGCAGGCTACATAGCGCTGCACCTGAGCTTGATTGACACCGTACATGGAAAGCCACAGCATTGTCCCACCAACAACAAATGTCCAAAATGTGTAGCGTCTTCGAGGATCTGGATCGAAACTGATGGGAATATTTCAATCAAAATCCGACACAGCACGAGGCATGTACAGTCAGACATAGGTACATAGACGTAGAAACACGAGTAGGCTATTCAGCCCCTTAAGCCTGTTCTGCCATTTTATAAGATCATGGCTAATGTGTACCTCAGGTCCATTTACCCGGGATTGAGGTAGTGAGAGGGCAAAATTGTTGAAAGCTCGCAGAAAGCTAGAGACAGAGAGAGCTAGAGTGAAGCAGTGCTAGGCTGGCCTGCAGAGTGAGCAGGCGGGACAATTAAATGGAAATAACTCATAGGCATCACTAGTGAAGAAGGTGAAGAGTTGACTTACTCTCCAAAGTTAATCCTGGACCCATTGTAAGCTGCCTCCAGGATCTTGTCTACACCGCCCACCAAATAGGTGCCTCGAATTATAATTGCGACGAATCCTCCTAACATGACAATGACTTGGAAGACATCAGTCCAGACGACAGCTACCATTCCACCCTGGAGATGTAGGACAGACAATGTTGTACTCGCACAGCGAGAGGCTGCTGGTCTACGAGTAATTATAGCAAGCTTTCAAGTTTTGTAAGACAGTACTCACCACTGTAGTGTAAAATGTGCAGATTAATCCAGTGGAGACCAGTGATACCCAGATATTCAAGTCAGTAACTAAAGTTCAACAAAGCATACCATCAGCACTGAAATACATCTCTCAGTTCCATAAATACATCTCAACTCCATCGCAGCATAGAATAGCAGAATGTGAGCTTTATTCAGCTTTGAGCTGAATAGAATTCAGGAGCCTTGACAAACAGAATAGAGACCCAGTTACTTTCATACAATCACAAAAATATGATTCTATGATTCTTTGAATCCCACAGCAAAGAAGGAGGCCATTCGACCCATCGTGCCTCTGACGGCTCTTTGAAAGAGCTATCCAATTAGTCACGCTCCCCTGCTCTTACGCCATAGCCATTACCTTGGTTTAATATCAATGCAGGTGCATAGATGACAATTCCAGTGAAGAGCATCTGAAACATTGGAAGCAGAACAAGTGGTGAAGGAGGATCCAAGAAAGTTTGGTTTCAAGTCAACCCAGTAATCTGCATTTGATATTCCTTTTAATAATAATACTTAATATGTGATTACAGCATCGTATTACATTGAAATGTCTCGAACCAGGTGGGCAGAGTGCTACCAACTGAGCCAGACTCACACGCAGTTAGATGTTGCTGGAAGCTGTGAATTGTGAGTGTTTCTACGGTTAGAAATTGTTGAAACATAATAAGAAGTTTGCAAGGGAAACAGTTCTCTATAATATTCGGGACCAAAGCCTGAGGATTTATTAGTCCTTTTTTATGCCAAGGGGAGGAGAGGGAGGTGGGAGAAGCAAAAGTTTTTGACTCCTACCGTAGCGATTATGTATTGCACGCTCCCGCAAAGTCGAACGCTTTTACTGAACCTCAATTCCAGGTACTGCAAAAGCAAAACATTGCATTTTCGGACTCACGTGCATCCATTTGTATCACTTTGCATGCCATTAGCCCCAAAAACGGCTTTTAAAATTGAACTGCGACATAACCTAAGCAATGTGTCTTATGACTGGCTCCGGTCTCCTGCATGTCCCGAGACTCTGGAGCATGCTTCCTCTATCCCTCCACCTTCCCTACGATCACCTCCCCACTCTCCTCCCGCGTTCGTGCTCCGCCAATGTCAAACGTTCTAGGACGCTACCCTGCATGAGGAGCGCTGTGTAAATGCAAGTTGTTGTTGTTTGTTGGTCTTCACTTAACTCGACTGCCCTCCTGCTCTAAAGACTTGGGCATCGAATCAAAGGGGCTCCTTGTCTGAAGAGCCATCAACCATCTTACCTGGTAGGTGCTGGTCAATCCCAATCGATAGAAGATTGGCAGGAAAAAATAGGCGGTCAGTACAGCGTTCAGGGTTTGTCCGATGCACATCTGCATAAACTTAGCCCCATATCTAAAGGCCTCTACGGGAACCCCGAGGACCTGCACGGCCGACATGAAGCTGGCACAGAGAGACATGCCCACCGGCAGCGCGGACATCCGTCTTCCCCCCGTAAAAAACTCCTCCGTGTCCTTTTTCTTGTTCCGGTTCAGGAATGCGTGGAAGATCCCAATTCCAGTGGAGATAAGGAGCATCACAGAGAAAACCACATAGTCAAAGAAGGAGAACGATTGACTCCTGGCATCCATTGCTCTTCTTCGATCCGTAATTCCAGACGGAAGTTTCAGCTTGTTACGTAAATTCCCACAGATCGACGTTAAAAGTTAGGGAAAGTTGTGCTTTTTTTTTTTACAAGCTCCCAAAAAATGCCAACGAGAGTTGTAGCAAAATGTTCTTCAAATGTTCAAAGGAATCAAACTTTGCGAAACTCACAGAAAGTTTGCGAAGGAGAGTTGTGCTCGGTGAATCTGCAAGAGCCACCCAACATTCCCAAGAATGTAAAGGTTCAAGAAAAAAAAATGTTTGGTTTGTTGTGGAGGTATTATTGCTCCGGAGAGTGATCTGCCGATCGACTAATGACCAGGTTCCTACTTGCTGCTTGAACAGTAAACAGGAATAAGCAAATTTATCAAGGAAATTTACCTAAAGTTTCACCCTGTTCAGGAATTTAATTCAAATCTTGTCACTTGCGAGGCGAGGGTTCTAACCACTAAGCTATGGGACGCCAACTAAACTGCACCAGAGAAATCACGGTGGATTGACTTAAAAAAATGAAATGGCGCAAACTCCTGGAATGTTCTTCAGTTGGAATGAAAGTGCCTTTGATGCTCTCGCTCGGCTTTTTGCACAAGTTTTGCTTTGCACGCAAGTACTACTGTCAATGATTCCTATTGCTAAGTGTACCTGTAATATGAGGAGATTGGATATGATTTATTCTGCATCAAGGTCAAGCAGTGCTTCTCTGAAGTTGTTTGTACCTGTTAACTCTTTGAAGGAACCTGAAGGACGTGCTTCATTGTTGACTGGACTGGAGAGTGCAACAAAGTGTGGCCTTCCATCGTGCCCACACTTGGTCTCGGATACAAATCCCAGGAGATTGGGGCTGAGCCATCCCCAGTCTCTCCCCAATCATTCTCAGGTGCACTTCATAGAATCATAGAGTTATACAGCACAGAAGGAGGCCATTCGGCTCATCGTGTCTGTGCCAGCTCTTTGAAAAGAGCTTCCAAATCGATCCCACTGCCCCGCGTTCTCCGAATAGCCCCGCAAACTTGTCCTCCCCTAATAATTATCTACTTCGCTCTAAAAAGTTGTTATCGGATCGGCTTCCACCACCCTTTCAGGCAACCCTTTCACCCTATCACTATGGGAGGTAAGTGAAGACTGACAGCTTCTCATGTAATGATTGTCATGAAGCCCAGCATCATACACCCTGATGCCTGTGCGTTGAGTAGATAAAAAGCAGGCGTTTTAAAAACGAACTTGGTTCTTTTTGAAGAGGACCCCAACACTGAAACCCACCTCCTGACCACATTCCTCAATCCCTTCTTTCTCCAAAAGAACATCTATTTGTCCCTTGAATCCCACAGTCATTATCTGTTTCACTGGCTGACTCATTCCAACCTTTCATACAAATAATCCGTCACCTTATTGTTCTTTCCTCTTCCTCCTAATATTTTGTTTTTTTATCAGTTTTACATCCGTGGTGTTCGCACATCGTGTCCTCATCTGCCTCAAGCACAAGTACTTTCCGTCAACGATCAATCACAAGGTAATGATGAGGAACAGTGGCTGGCTCTTCCACTTCCAATACATGGAAATGGGGGAGAAAAGGGGCTAAAGTATCCCTCGAAGCATTCCCCCCTTCGAATGTAATATGATGTTGCAAATGTTCACATCAGTCTCCTTTGCCAGAGTTGGCTTCTTATAAAAGATTTCAGCTGTAAAATGACAGGTCTGTGGCATTGATCCAGAGAATGAGTGCTCGCAGCCCATCCTATCTGCGTTAGGACGTGATGATAATTGAAATATTTTCAAATGATTTAGGCCAAGTTACTCCCAGATTACCTTCAAGGTGAAGTATGAAAGGGATTTAATGCCCAATCCTGCTGAAGTCCAGGGCCGTGGGACAAAAGGCTTTTCTCTCCTGCTCGCTCACTCCAAACCCAAATCTCGTTCATTTTTTCCTTCAGTCAGAATAATTTAATATCAATAATAATAATCCTTGCATTGGATATAGCGCCTTATTAACCCATCGAGAAGTCTCAAAGCTTTTCACAGAATATACAGTAAAGTGAATTGATTGTGCATTTTTTGGGCAAAATTTAAATGGCTTCCAAATTTGAGAATTCTGGACAATTCTGTCCATATTAATAAACTGTATGGCAAAATGGTCTTAGACAAAGACTAGGTGGAATTTCAGGTCTTAGTTTGGGTTGGCTATACAGTAAACTCCTCTTAACTCAACTCTGGCTTAAATTGTCACTACCACTTAAGTTAGGTAACTTATCAAGGGATATGGGGCAAAGGGGAATATTTGGAATTGAGGTGCTGATCAACCATGATCTAATCAAATGGTGGAACAGGCTTGAGGGGCTGAATGGTCTACTCCTATGTTCCTAGATAATCTTGCTGTCAATGTCCCGGCCATGTTTATTTATGTATTTATACATATGCCTAACTCGCCACTCCTGATAGCTCGTCACTGAGCCCTTTTTACCTTGGAGTGATGAGTTATCAGGAGTTTGCTGAACTTGGCTTGCTCATAAAAGAGTGTAGTCGGAGGCACTCGCACTTCTGTCAAAAAAGACGTGAAAGGCAGCGATAACAAGAAAGGTGATCGATTATCCCGGGTCACAAACCTACGAGTTGCAAATTGAAGCCAACCCTTATGTGTCTGCTTCAGACAGATTGTTAAAGGGAGGTTATTCCTTTAAAACAAGACTCTCTATCCTGCCATTGAACTATCCATGCTGTTGCCTGGCTAGTTTGGTCTGATTCTAACAGCACTTGGCAAGTACTCCCTAGATACCGAGAGAGCGAGAGGGAGAGAGAAAAAGGGCCAACCTCATGCATTGTCACATTTGATCAACTGGCACAGACTGATGATTTGCCAAGAGACCTCTTTTAGCAACATTCAATTGATTTCCCATCTCTGTTTTGCACAACAAACCATCCTTATGTGTTTCTAAGTCACAGTGCCAAGCTACACTCACCCCCGGCCAAATTCCAGTCATTTTTATCCTGAGGAGGTGTTCACAAAGAGAGTTTATGTTTCTATGAGAATGAATGAGAGATTTTTAGCACGTCAGTCTGGGTTTAATTTTTATTCAGTGAAGTTGACCCACTGCTCCTGCCAGTCACTAGGAAAGGAAATATTCTAAGAACAGGAGAAGCGTGGTGTCAGCATGGCTCAGTTGTTAGCACTCTCGCCTCTTGAGTCAGAAGTTTCAAGTCTTATATTGAGATCATAGTCTCTGAGACTTTTCTGATAAGACATTAAACGGAGATGCTGTCCATGCACTTTCAAGTGGACTTCAACGATCCCATGGCACCATTCAAACCCCGTGTGACAGTCTAGGCTGATATTCCAGGTTGGTGCTGGGGATGTGCTGCAATGTTGGAAGTGCCGTTCTTCGGATGAGATGTTAAACCAAGGTTCTGTCTACCTGTTTGATATAGCGCTTTTCACGTCGGGAGGACGTCCCAAAGCGCTTCACAGAACACACTGTAAAGTGAATTGACTGTATATTTGTGGGCGAACGCGGCAGCCAATTGCGCACAGCAATGTCCCACAAACAGTCGTAGATTGAAAATGACCAATTTATTATTGTTTTTGGTTTTATGAGGGATTATTATTAGGCTCTGTGTGGAGTAAGGAAACTTGCCCAAGGTTTCGCCCTCTGCCGGGAATTGAACTCAGGTCTCTCGCTTGCAAAGCGAGTGCTCTAACCACTGAGCTACAGGACTCTGATCTTTAAACTCTTCAAGATTATATGACACTACTTGAAAAACAAAAGGAAGTTTTGCCCTGTGTCCTGGCCAACAATCCTCCAGGTAAAACTGGTTATTCAATTCATAGCTGTTTGTGGGATATTGTTCATCTCAAGTTGGCTGCCAAACTGTGATGTACTTTGAGACATCCTTCTGACGTGAAAGGCACAATATCAAATGCAAGAATTATTATTTTAAGACTCTTAGCAAACCTAGCCTCTGGGAGGCTGAAACTGGCTTCAAAATTGCTTTGACAACAGACCTGGATGACCTTTGCTAGATGGTATAAGGAAAGAATTTCCACCCACACATCCCTTGATTTCAACTTGAAGTATCCAGAGCCAGATTAACCTTTTGTGGGCCTGGCGATAAAAATATTTGTGGGCCCCATTTTTCATGTGCTCTATTTATAATCAATGAGCCCAATGGTGGACTGGCTCCCCAAAAGGGCTCGGGAGTGTAAGGTAAAATTGAGGTGATGATTCATGGGGGGGTGCAGGGGGTGCACTCAGCAACCAACCATGGGAGTCTCAGCAACCAATCATAATAATAATAATCCTTTCATGTGATATAGTGTCTTGTCACGTCGTTAAGGTGTCTCAAAGGGCTTCACAGATTATACCATAAAGCAAATTGTTTTGTGGGCGAAACGCGGCAGCCAATTGCGCACAGCGACGTCCCACAAACGGTCTTGGATTAAGTGATCAAATTATTATTATTATTATTTTATTCGGGGACGGGGGGGGAGGGGGTGCTTGGCAGCCAATCAAGGGGGCCGGCAGAGGAATTTTCTGCCATTGAACGGGTCACTAGTGAGCGTGGACCTGGCTTCACGGCGCCACTGTTAATCCACCATTGAATAATAATCCTTGCCTTTGATATAGCGCCTTATCATGTGTTGGAGACATCTACGAATACATGGTCATCTCCAGCCTTGTGGACAAGCTCAGACATTCTGGTCATGTTACCATGGTGTATATACAGGATGACCAAAAAGTCGTGAGACCAGTACAATGTCTGATAAGTCTTAAAGAAATGATGATATATATATATTTTTTTAGATAATAGGGTATCCTAAAGGGAGGTTTCATCACCTACTTTTTGGCCTATATTTCGATTGCCGGAGTGAAAAACCCAGGCCCACTCATGCAAAAATATGCAATTCTACAGTGACACTGATCTAAAGATGAATTTCACAGTCCAAATTGCACGACTCATGATTACGAGGAACTTGGTCACTCCCAGCGGTTACCAGGGTAGTGTGTGATGAGTGAGCAATGCCACGAGGTGGCAGTGCGGCTCAATGCTCTGTTGGTTACTCGGGCAGAAGGAGAGTGGCCAACATTTTGGTAACAAATATATAATCCTTGCATTGGGAAATAAGGGCTGAGCACGTCAAAACGTCTCAAAGCGCTTCACAGAAGTGTAGTGACTGCAGGTGAACACGGTCTTTGTGTACAGTAAAATTCGAGAGGCAGCCATGAGACAAATGACTAATTTATCTGAATGCCTGTTGACCAGGGCACCAAGAGAAACTCCCTTTTCTTTTAACAGAAGCTGCACGGCATCTTTACGACGACGACAACAACAACTACTTGCCTTTATATAGCGCCTTTCACGCAGGATAGTGTCTCTGAGTGCTGCTCTGTTATAATGCAAGACAATGCGTCAGTTATTTGATGCTGAATACCTGCCAACCCTCGTGATGTAGTCTGGCACGTTAACAACAACCTCTTGGGAATTGTACCAGAAGTTGGGGACATGTACCTCCACCTCCTCCTCTACACCCCTTTTGCCCCTTTCCCCCCCATACTTCTTTCCCAACACCATCCCTCCTTCTCTCCGCACCCCCCCCCCACCCCGTCCTCTTTGTGGATTATTATTAATAAACATTTATATCAATTTTTAAAAACGTAACTATATATGCATTTGTTCAAAGACTACTTTTGTCACAAGATGGTTATGAGCAAATCTGTGTATTCCACCCACAAATTCTACAGTCAATTCACTTTACAGTATATTCTGTGAAGCGCTTTGAGATGTCCTGAAGACACGATAAGGTGCTATATCAAATGCAAGGATTATTATTACTATATGTATATACATGGTATAGATATATATATATAACAAAACTTGCACTTATATAACACCCTCCAAGCAAGGTGGCGTCTCAGAGCGCTTAAAATATATATATTTATTTATAACAATCTTGTGTGGGCGTATATATATATATATATCCTGCCATTAAATGTTGCCTTATTTGCATTCGCTGTGAATTATCTCATTGGTTCTTGAACCCATGAATAGCTCTTTGACTGGAAACTCCACTCAAAGGCCTCATTTCCTGGCAGCCAACGACTTACAAGAGTTGCTATGCAGCTGAGCTCTGAGGTTTTGACACAGAACGTCACATAAAAGTGTTGTCGTATTGGAGAGAGACCATGGCCGGAAACCCTATATCACATTGTGGTTTCCGTGTGTTTTTATTGGGTCAGGAGCAACAGTGCAAATCAAGAGCCTTTTGTGATTCCTGTTTAATGCAAATCATAATCGAAGTTGGGTCAGCTCAGGATTAATAATAATAATAAATAACAATAATCCTTGCATTTGATATAATAATAAATAATAATCCTTGCATTTGATATAGCGCTTTTCACATCTTCTAGACGTCTCAAAGCGCTTCATGAATAGACTGTAGAGTGAATTGACTCTATATTTGTGGGCGAAATGCAGCAGCCAATTGCGCACAGCAACGTCCAACAGACACTCGTGGATTGAAAATGACCAGTTTATTATTGTTTTTTTTGAGGGATTATTATCAGCGCCTTGTCGTCTCAAAGTGCTTCATAGAATGTACTGTAAATTGAATTGACTGTATATTTTTGTGGGCGAAACAATTTTTTTGCGGGCTAAAATCATGCATTAAAAAATGACTTTTTGCTTTTTTTGACAATCCTCCCGTTTTATATAGCACGGTTTGCTTCGGGGGAACGGTCTCAAAGCACAGTTTACCATCCTATCCAAAAGCCGTCACCTCCGACCATGTAGCAGCCCCACCCCCACCCCCCCGCCATCCACCCCTCCAGCCCACCCCCCCCGCCATCCACCCCTCCCCCACCCCACCCCACCCCACTCCACCCCCAGCCACTCCCAACACTCGATCTCCTCCAGGTTCAAATTCAAAATTGTGGTCAGTTCTAACATTCAATCTTAATTTGGCGGATCTTAATTTTTTTCTCAAAAAGAGGATCTTCACCGTTTTCGCTTAATTCTGCGCGACTGTAAATTTTTAATGCATTTCCTTAAAAGAAACTGCTGTGCGTAATTGGCTGCCGCGTTTCGCCCGCAAAGTAGGCAGTCAATCCACTTAGAATATAATCCACTTCGCAATGTATTCTGTGAAGCGCTTTGAGACGTCTCCAACAACGTGATATCGAATGCAAGGATTATTGTGATTGTAATTATTATTATTATTATTATTATTAAAACAACACTTGCCAGGCTAAGACTAAGTGCGGAATCTCAGACCTTTTGCGCCATGGATTTGCTTCATCTACTACTGCTCGGTACTGTCAAGTCTGTTGTGAAGCAGGAAACCGCTGTGCAACCTAGTTCTCTCAACAGGAAGTCTAGAGCTGAGAGCTTCACCCGGTTACAAGCAGATAAACTGCCGCTGATAAATGATGGAAGCGTATCTCTCGCCCGCACTCCTCAGTCTGCGAATTTAGAGGGTCTCGAAGCGTAGATTCCTTACAGTCCTGGGTAACAGATGTTCTGGTAACAGAGTCCCTGTCCTTACAGAGTAAGTTTAGAGCTGCATATTCACATGTGCTATCTTCCCCCGCCTCCCACCCCCCACCACCCTACCACCACCAAAATACCACCACCCTCATCACTGCTTGTGTGGCATGCTTATTATGTGCCTTTCTGACCGGGTTTTGGAGTCTGGATAAACTACAACTGAGAAGAAATTGTACTTAAAAGGAACGAACGAACAAACAAACGAACGAACGAACGAACGAACGAACAAACGTGTAAGTGGAGCAAATTACTTTTGGTGTGTGTGTGTGTTTGTGTGTTCTTTTGACACTGGGCTGTGAAGCCTTGGTACGTCCTCCCAAGGCGAAAGGCGCTGAACAAATCTAATTTGTTGTCGTGGTCGTGGTACTGTGTTTAAATCACTGGGAAAGTTGACTTGGAGAAACTTTAAGGTATTGTGTTATTGCTTGTGTGGTGTGTGTGCACGTGTGTCTGTGTGTGTGTGAGTAAGTGAGTGAGAGAGTGTTTCAATCATTGCTGTGATAAGACTGAGGTTTTCTTGGGAGCTTGGTTGCTCTTCTGGATGTGAAGCGAGGGAGAGAGAAGCTGTTTAACCAGGGAGACTGAGTGAGGGATACTTGCTGATCTCCATGAGCCAGGCAGGCTGGTCAACCTTGGGTGGTCAAGGCTGGCTCCATTGGATGTGTGTGTGTCTCCTCCTAGCTGGTTCACTAGGGGGTTGTTTCAGCTGATCGAGGTGGATTGAGACGTAAGCTTTCAAATTTCAACCCATTGGGATTCCAATTTACAACAACAACTTACATTCATACAGCGCCCTTCATACGGGGCAGCATCCTGGAGCGCTTGAAAGTGGCGGAGTCTGACCCCAAGCCAGGGGGAGGGTGGGAGGGGAGGTGGGGGGAGGTGACCATAAACAAAGATGATCAAAAAGGAAGGTCTTTAGGAGGGATTTGAAAGTGGGGAGGGAAGGGGCAAGGCAGGGGGATTGAGTGAGAGTTTTGGGGCATAGTGGCTGAAGGCACGGCCACCGATGGCCAACCTAGAACCTTCCACTGCTTTGGGACGTCTTCCCGACATGAAAGGTGCTATACGAATGGAATTTTGTTGTCGTTGTGCAGTCCTGCAGCTCAGTGGTTAGAGCGCTCACCTTGCAAGCGAGAGATCTGTGCTCGATTCCCGGCAGGGCAAAACGATGGGCAAGTTTCCTTCCTCCACACGCCTCTGTTTACCTAGTAGTAAGTAGGTGGTTAGTTGATTGGCGGATCGCTTTTCCGGGGATAATAATTCCTTCAAAAACAAAATTATAATAAATTGGTCACTGAATCCACGATTGTTTGTGAGACGCCCAAGCAGAGACCATGGGGGATGTTAGCTCTCTGAGTACTACGCTCCCCCCCTTCCCTCCCCTCACCCTGACCATTTCCCCCCTGCTCGGGTCCTGACCCAACTGTCCAACGCCTTGGGACGTCCTCCCGACGTGAAAGGCGCTCTATAAATGAAATCTTGTTGTTGTTGTTGTTGTCAGCGCGCCCGGGTTTGTGCTGTTCTTATCTGTGGTGCACCGAGAGTGATGGGAATATGACAATCCTGTGCTCAATCTCTAGTCAACCGTAGATGCGAAAAAACGTGTCATGGCTTTGCATTGCAGCACAACAACTGACATGACCACAAACATTGGAAGAAACAGCAACACACAACAACAACAAGTTATAATTGTACAGCACTTTTCACGTCGGGAGGACGTCCTGAGACGCTGGACAGTTGGTTGGGATCAGCAGGGGTGGAGGGCAGGGAGGGTGTAGAATATTTTTGGGCGAGGGCGAAAAAAGTTTATATGACAAGGATCTAAATCTACTTTGTAAACAATCCTTAACTTTGGCTCAAATTGATCAAGTAATTTTAATTTTTAATGTATAGATAACAACAAGAACTTGAATTTATATAGCTCCCCGAGGGTAGTATCCCAAAGCGCATTCCACGTCGGGAAGATGTTACTGAGAGCCACACTTTGGGACTTGGGAAGTCCTTTCCATTGGTGTCATCTCCCAAGACATTGATGGCAATTGCAGGAGTGGGGAGGAGGCAGTCAAGGAGAAGGAGAGGCTGTGTCTTTCTTCTGGACAGCTGAGGGGTTTGGGAAGCTGTTCACTACGATGAAATTGTACAGATTCAGGCAATGCCGCAGGAAGTCATTGAAAGGTAATGTGTCGTTTTGAAGATGTTATCTGAGAGGAAACCAGGGAGGTTGAGTACGGAGTTAAACAAAAACAGACAGCTTTATTCTTTTCGCACCTCAACACACGTTGATCGTGCCTCAAAGCATTGTACACAGAGAGCTGAGTGTTGTTCTTATTGTCGGGCAGGCTGACTGAATTTACAGCTCATCAAAGGATGCCCAAACAGCACAGCCATGAGCTGAACAAATCTGGACTGTGCTCTTTTCAACAGGGTTTTCATCACCATGAAAAAATGGCACAAGGGGCTTTAGTTTTAATGTCTCATTGGAAGGATGCATGCACCTCTGGCAATGTACGACAACAACAACAACAACAACAACAACAACAACTATAGCGCCCTTCACGCTGGGTAAAGTCTCGGAGCGCCTGAAAGCGGTGGAGTCTGACCACTGTAGGCACTAGAGTTCATGGAGAGTTTAGGTACCATTGGGGAGAACATGATCTCATCAGTGTGATAGGCAGCTTCTTAACGCCACCATGTCTATCTCAGATTCCATCTTCACAAGCTTCTTATCTCTCTAAACCAATGGCCGTTATTGGCGTAAGAAAATGTCACGGATTGCATTTTGGGTAACAGAGAAAGGTTCTCGTATTTGGGCTGTTTCTCGCCAATTGTAGTTAAAGGGCATTTGAGCTTCGAATAATAAAATTAAAAATAGTCCTTACATTTGATATAGTGCCTTTCACATCAGGAGGATATCCCAAACCACTTTTTTACAGAATTAATAATAATAATTCTTGCATTTGATATAGCGCCTTATCACGTCTTTGAGACGTCTCAAAGCGCTTCACAGAATATATTGTAAAGTGAATTGACTGTGTATTTCGTAGGCAAAACTAATTAAAAGTAAAGCGTGGTGACTCTGTCTTTCTCGGCGATGTCCCGCAAACAGCCATAAATGAATAATGTTTTCTTGGGGGAAATAATGGACAGGCCAGTCACCTCAAGAAATTGCCTTCTCTCTTGGAATAGCGCCATTGGATCTTTAACGTCCACAAGTGCAAGCGCAGAGGGGGAGAACGATTTCACATCTCATCTCTCGCTTGCTCACCCACACCTTCCTTTCCATCCTCTGGCCTCTTGCCTCAGAGCAGTTAATGAGTCATCCCAGCTTCACAACTCTCCCCGGCTTGTTGGGATGCTCTTTTCGAGTCATAATGTTTCTCTGTCATGGACTCTGTAACTTCCCTGTAATGATGTCACACAAGACCGCCCAACACAAAGATCACGCACTCACTCATATTACCGATAATTCGCTTCATATGATGCTCAATGAGCCAATGATTGGCAACAGTAGATTGGATCATCTCAACACACAGGGTTTTTTTCTTGGTCTGCATTCATTTTCCTTAACCCTTCAACCCCTATGTGTACATGTTGTAAAGTAACAATCCTTACCATTGTTAGAACCCCTTTCAGGTCAGGAAGAGCATCTGAAAGAGCTTCACAGGATTTTCTAGAAAGTGCAATGATTGTGTATTTGTAGGCAAACCCGGCAGCCAACGTGCCCATAGCGATGTCCCACGAGCAGGCTTGAAACAAATGACTAAATGCGTTGTTAAGACTCTTAGCAATCCATCCAGGGGATAGGAGAGGAGGACAGCCCAAGCCGCACTCAAAGAGAAAAGTCGCTGGATAGGTTTTGAAAGATCAGAGAGAGAAGGGGACAGATTTAAAGATTTCGGAAGGGAATCCCAAAAGGTAAAGTCACTGGAAATTGTCTGACGATGGTGGGGTGGGGTATGAAGTAGAGAGAGTTGACAGTGGAGGGAGTCACCGGTTGAGTAGGGTCATCGGAGATGCAAGGCTGTGGAGTCATTGGAAGATAAGGGCAACCCGCTGGGGAATGGGGAGACAGTGGGCAACCAGGTGAAAGCACTCTGGGACGCTACCCCGCTTGAGAGGGCCCTATATAAATGCAAGTTGTTGTTGTTGTTGTAGTTGTTGTCTTGATCCTTTTGGTGATGGTGATGGCATTGAGGTGCCAGGGGAAGACAGAAGGGGGAGAAAAATAATGAGTGATCTCTCTTGCAGCTGGTGGAGAGCAGTGCCGGTGCTGATGCCACCATTACGGTCCTTCAACAACATGGAAGCTGTCGATGGTCCAGCCAGTGGCCCTCAGACCTCTGAAGGCTCGAAGCTCGAGCTTCGTTTGTACCACTCTCTCAGCGAGCCCAATGGAGACACGATGGTCTTCTATTCTGGAGAATACACCGCCGAGGAGCTGTGTGTCATGGCTGCCAAAGCCAGTGGTAAGGACCTTGGTTTATATAGAACTAAGTTCGGGAAAGCTTTCCACACTGCTGGGACACCTTGTGGGTTAATATTCTGCTGTGCAATTGTGTGTGCCATGCAGTGGTGAATACCATTGCCATCCTGGTGGTCATTCAATACCTGTTGCCATGTGTTGGTGGCACCGTGCCATGCTGGGCATCGGGCATGAGTGGGTGTACTCAGCTTTAGCAGAGTCAATAGAATGGAAGTGATGACAATAATAGTAATTCTTGCATTTCATATAGCGCCTTATCACATCGTTGAGACATCTCAAAGCGCTTCATAGAATATATTGTAAAGTGTAATGACTATATTTCGTGGGCGAAACACAGCAGCCAATTTAACAATATAATATAATAATTCAATAGAATATAATAAGTTAACAATGGTTAAACTGCAGGGCTCATTGCAGAGTTGGCCCCAGTCAATACGGACTTCCTGTTTAACTCTCCAATGTGGTAACAATGGTCTCTTCAATTTTCAATGTTGAGCCCAGTGGCCTTATTTGTTATTTTGTCTCCATCTCCGCAGGGATCCTGCCTGTCTACAGCAGTCTCTTTGCTCTGGCCAGCGAGGATATCAAGGTCTGGTTCCCTCCAAACCACATCTTCCGAATCGATGCGTCAACACAGCCTGTTCTCCTCTACCGAATCAGGCAAGTGGTGGAAGTCTATTTGGCAGTGTGTGTGTATACATTGCTAACACACTATCTGGAGGAGCTCACTGTCCATATCAGACTATACAATCCATATCAAGCCACGACTGTTAGTGGGATACTGCGGTGCGCAATTCCCTGCTGTGTTACACCCACAAAATACACATTCACTCCACTTTACCGTATATTCTGTGAAGCGCTTTGAGACGTCTCGAAGACGTGATAAGGCGCTGTATCAAATGCAAGGATTAATATTGTTATTATTATTCGCATCCCTCTCTTTCCAGGTTCTTCTTCCCTAATTGGTTTGGACAAGGTGACCAGATGTCCCATCGCTGTGGACTGACGAGAGAGAGCGTTAACACCATATTGGATTACTCTGTGATAGACTATCTCTTCGCTCAGGTAAGCACTACCGAACGCATACAAACAAGCAAAGGGATTTCGCTTAGCTTTGTAATAAAGTTTTAATGCTTAAAAGAAAAAAGAGGCACCAAATGCAATTGGAACTTCTCAATGAGATTTATTGCTGTCCAACGTTGAGAACCAGTGCCACGGATCTCCCTTACTCCCTTTCCAAATAGTAGTCCGTAACGGAATCTGTAACATCTACTTGAAAAAGGCATATGAGATCTTGGTTTTAATGTCTTTAAGACCTTGTAACTTTTCTCTCTGTTTTTAGTCACGTCATGATTTTGTCAGTGGACGCATTCCAATTCCTCTGAACCTGCAGATGCAGGAGGAGTGTCTGGCGATGGCGGTGCTGGACATAATGCGCATATCAAAGGAGAGAAAATGGAGCCTGCGACAGATCAACGAACACGTGAGGTGAGAGCGCGTGACATCAGTCCGGTTTCCTCGTCTTATTCTCCCAACTTTGTCCTTGAACCTGTCCATCGGCTTTGTTTATTCTGTGAGCCATTGACGGGATGTATCTATCTGGACAGTCAAATTTTGACAAAACGTATTTGATTTCTTCCAAAACACTGGGGGAGGGAGGTTGACTTTGATCTTGTGATATTTCTTAATGGAGATGCCCAGGCAATATCTCTCCAATTCAATCCAGAGTTTTTAGGACGACCTCTTGACGTGAAAGGCGCTTTACAAATGTAATTTATTGCTGCTGTTATTGTTATTGTGGAGTCCTGTAGCTCAGTGGTTAGAGCACTCGCTTTGCAAGTGAGAGACCTGAGTTCAATTCCAGGCAGAGGGCGAAACCTTGGGCAAGTTTCCTTACTCCACACAGAGCCTAATAATAATCCCTCCAAAACCAAAAACAATAACAAATTGGTCATTTTCAATCTACGACTGTTTGTGGGACATTGCTGTGCGCAATTGGCTGCCGCGTTCGCCCACAAGTATACAGTCAATTCACTTTACAGTGTGTTCTGTGAAGCGCTTTGGGACGTCCTCCCGACGTGAAAAGCGCTATATCAAATGCAAGGATTATTATTATTATTATTATAGAGCAGGGTTGGAGTGGCTCAATTGACTTCCAGTACCAGAAGGTCCAAGTGAACAAAAGGGTGACTCCTGTTCACCCTCTATTTCTGGTTTCATCCACAAAATATACAGTCAATTCACTCTACACTATATTCTGTGAAGCACTTTGAGACGTCGCAAAAACGGGATAAGGCGCTATATCAAATGCAAAGATGATTATTATTATTACATTCTCTCCGCAGTTACAAGTCCTGCATCCCAATCCCTTTCCGCTGTCAGATCCAACAGCACAACTTTGTGACCCGGAAACGAATCCGGAGAAAGTTCTACAAGTTCCTGAGGAAGATCAGCCTCTGCGAGACCGACCAGCGTTTCCTCAAACTGAAGTACCTGATGGACATGAGGAACATGGAGGGCGTTTCGGGCAAAGAGACATTCCGCGTCAGAGATCCCATGGGTAGAAGCGAAGGACGAAACAGTTACAAGTTCATCTCCGTCTCTGGAGACGCTGGTATTCAGTGGAGTTTGAAAGACAATGAGGTGCGTCTGTAGTTTTTGTAGCAAGTATATTCTGATGTAGTCTTAGTGTGAGAATCCTACCATAATCCTTGCATTTGATAATAGCCAGTGCTTTTCAAGTCAACTGGATGTGTCGAAGCGCCTCACAGGATTTCCTAAGTGTAGTGACTGTTCATTATGTAGGTGAATGTGGCCAGTCAATCTGTGCAAAGTAATGTTCAGTGAATGACCAATTTTTTTAAACCAGGAGCAATGTTTGTCAGCATCCTTCTCTTTTCAGTTTCCCCCACAAAATGTACAGTCAGTTCACTTTACAGTGTATTCTGTGAAACGTCTTGAAAGCGTGATAAAGCTCTATAGCAAATACAAGGTTGATTATTACTATAATGGTATGTTTAACATGCACTTGAGCAGGCAGATCAGATGGGAAATATTTCATCTGAAGGATAGCACCTTTGATAATCCAGCTCTGCCCCCAGGCACTAGGCTGGAGGGTCAGGCTAGCCTGTGAGCTCAAGAGTTTTATGCGGCGTAAAGTGAGTTAGGGGCTGATGACATATGGCACGGCATTGAGCCTTTCTCATCCTTGTATCTTTCTAGCAATGGCAGCCGTTCTGTGACTTCCCAGAAATTGTTGACATCACCTTGAAGCAAGCGAGTCGAGGCTACATCTTAGAAGAAAGTCGAATTGTCACGGTGACCAAACAAGACAGCAAAGTTCTGGTAAGTGTTGATGAAAAGCTGAGTTTATGTATTTTGGAGCCTAAATCCAGCCCAGTAATAATCATCTGGTGCCCAAGACTTGTGATGGAGGGAGCAATTTGTCCTTCTATCAAGATGCTCAATTCAATCCCTGATTATTTTAGTTTCTGGTTGTTTCGATCTTCACACAGAAACCCGGAGATAAATAGGAAGTTTGTTCTAACTACAGGATGTGTGGCAGTCAGGACCACAACATAAATAGCTATAGTTGTGACCAGAGGCCTGAATTCACAACGGTTTCAGTCTTAAAAAAAAATGCCGGCTCCAATAATGTAGTGCTCCCCTTGGCACTGCACTGGAGTGTCAGCCTATGTGAGCTATATAGTGTGAACATGGAACTTGAACCCACAACCTTCTCACTCAAAGGCAAGAGTGCTGTCGACTGAACCAGGTCTGTTAAGACCACTTTGAGTTAAAACTGTAAGATCAACCCAGAATTGTGGACGCTTCTTGAATTCAGTTTCTTGTTTAGCGGCCAGAGTTAGAATTGCTGTGCTACAGTCCTGTGCTGTGTGAATATAATAATAATAATAATAATCTTTGCATTGATATAGCGCCTTATCGTGTCTTCGAGATGTCTCAAAGCGCTTCACAGGATATACATTAGCTGCGTGCCCTATAATACGCAGCAACCAATTGCACATAGCAGTGTCCCACAAACAATCTTGGATTGAGTCACCAAAATATTTTACATTTTCTTATTGTTCGTTGGATTGATCAGCGCAGGACTTTTATTAAGGTTCTCGTTTTTTTCTGGGCTTCGGGTTCGGTAGTGGTTGACTGTCTCCCTTCTCTCCTACAGGAGGCAGAGTTTCCCAGCCTGAAGGAGGCTCTTTCCTTCGTGACTCTTATCGACGGTTATTACAGACTCGCTGCTGATGCACATCATTATTTCTGCAAAGAAGTGGCTCCTCCGACACTGCTGTCCAACATCGAGAACCAGTGCCACGGACCCATCACGTATGTTCCTAGTTCAAACCCTCACAGTTTGGGAGCGAGTCACTTGGCTCCTCCAGTCAGTTCCTCTTGCTGTTTAGACCCATCTAGCTCCCCTTCTCTAATCCCAATTCTCCACTCTTTTCCCATTTCCTATAACAAACACTCCCGATGACACATTGTCCAGAAATGATTATTATTATTATTTATTATTATTATTTAATAATAATCCTTGCATTGATATCACATCTTATCGCGTTGTCAAAACATCTCACAGCGCTTCACAGAATTTACCGTAAAGTGCAGCGACTGTGTTTTTGTCGATGAACGGAGCAGGCAATGTCCCACAAACAGCTGTGAAGTGAATGATTTATATTGTCCTCAAAGTAGTTGACTAAGCCTCAGGGTTCATTGGGTTGAATTCTCTCCACCCTGTCACACCCTCTCCCCTGTTAGGCTGAAAACATGGAATGGGTCTGCCACAGACAAAGGGATGGATGTGCTTATTTGATGTTGTTTAAGGTAAACTCTTACATTAGCTGCGTGCCCTATAATATGCAGGATCACCTTTTCATTGTAAATGGTGTCACCGTCAACAGGTCAGAATTTGCCATTCATAAACTGAAGAAGTCGGGGAATGTTGCTGGCCTGTACATCCTCCGATGCAGCCCGAAGGAATTCAACAAGTATTTCCTGACCGTCTGCGTCGATGTAAGTTTCTGTCACCTACACCAGGCCGGACGGTGTTTGGTTTGTAGATCGGATGGTGATCACTGTGTGTTGATCCCAACTCCCAGCTCGGGTCCAAATCCCTGACTGTCCAGCGCCTTGAGATGTCCTCGGGTGAAAGGCACTGTGTAAATGTAATTTTTTGTTGTGGTTGTTGTTGCACCCACAATCCCACATGTACATTCCCCCTTACCTGCAATCTCACCCTAACTTAGAAACATAGAAATGGTGGAGCAGGCTGTTCAGCCCCTTGAGCCTGTTCTGCCATTCTATAAGATCATGGCTGACCTGTACCTCAAGTCTAGTTAGCCGTGCCCCCTTTCCCCGTATCGCTTAATCCCCTGGCCTAACAAATATAACAAATTTACAACAACAACTTGCATTTATATAAAACACCACTCACTGAGGGGAGTGTCCCAGAGCGCTTACCTGAGCCAGGGCTCCAGGTCTAATGCTCTTTATTCCTGCGCCACAGACCGCTTTCGGCAAAGATTACAAGGATTGCCTCATTGTGCGAGACAAGAACTATTCCCTTGCTGGAGTGCAGAGACAGTTTGAGAGCCTGAAGGACCTGCTCAGTTATTATCACGAAAACAGCCTCCAGTCGGAGGGGATCAGTATAGAGCTGCATGCTTGCTGTCCTCCAAAACCCAAAGGTAAAGGTCCTATTTCATTCTTCCACCTTGCTCGTCCTCCAACTTAAGACGAGGATTCACCACTCTTTGTTTTCTCTCTCCCCCGCCCCCTTGCCCCCACCTCCCGCCTCCCTCCTCCACCTCCCTGACTCTCTCACCCACAGAGAAATCCAATTTAATTATCATCCGGAGTCACGGATCTTCGGCTCTCCTCACGTCCCCATGTATGCAGCGGAGAAATGTCAGTCAGATGATGTTCCACAAGATAAAGAAGGAAGAGTTAACTTGGGTGAGTCCTTGAAAGTAGACGCACAAATGTACCAATGGTCAACAAGTTGGATTGACAGAAATCAACTCAAAAGCTCAACGTGTCTTTTGGGCATCACAATGGGGTAGGTTTTGTGGTATTTGTCCAGTTGGGAATCTCCCAATCTGCAAGGACTGATTTCACAGGACTGAAAAGATGACACCTCCCAACAATGTCATTGATGAGACATTCAGGCTGGTCACCCTTCAATAATCAATGATCAATAATACCTCAGATGTACTGAAAATTTGACTTCCCACCTTGCCATGGGTGTCTATTCACAGCCAGTTTGGGGGGAGACACACAATCCCCTTCCAACCCCCATAACAGATCTAGTTCCAGGGAGATCCTGTCATCCCATCCCAACCCCATTTCTTTCAAAGAGTGAAAAGTGAATTGTAAAGTGAGCTGACCGTATATTTTGCCCACAAATTACACAGTCAATTTACTCTACAGTATATTCTGTGAAGTGCTTTGAAACGTCTCGAAGACGTGATAAGGCGCTATATCAAATGCAAGGATTATTATTATAAAGCCAGTACCACTGGATCAATGTTTCTGGCTATGGAAGAGTGGTTGATTACACAAACTGATTGTACTTTTCTGTTCAATGGTGACAGGGCGAAAGTCTTGGACAAGGCTCCTTCACTAAGATCTTCAAAGGAAAAAGGGAGGAATACATTGACTGCGATTCTCACCAAATGGACGTTTTGCTTAAAGTTCTGGATCACACACACAGGAACTACTCGGAGGTGATTCTGAAGCATTGCATTTTATTCCACGGGAGTCACACAGAGTTCACTCTGGTCATGTCCCTCCCAATGGATCAACTGGTAATACTGCTCCTCGATACACAGCTGAACCCCATTTGGAAGGACATTTACCCGACCGACCGACTGTCTGGCTTTGGCTCTGACTCTGAATACTAAATTGGTCACTCAATCTATGACTGTTTGTGGTGCTGTGCACCATTGGCTGCCACGTTTTCGTCCCCAAAGTACAGTCACTCCACTTTGCAGTATATCCTGTGAAGCGCTTTGAGACGTCTTGAAGACGTGAAAAGGCGCTATGTCAAATGCAACGATTATTATTATTAGTGGTATTATTATTAATGCAGTCGTCATCATAACCCTGAATTCTTTCTCGTCTAAACCCTGCAGTCCCTCTTTGAGGCAGCCAGTATAATGAGCCAAATATCTCACAAGCACCTCATCCTGGTCTACGGAATCTGTGCAGTCAACAAGGACAGTAAGTCTCTTTTTTTTCTCTCTCTCACCCACCCTCCTCCCACAACCCTTGGTTTCTTGGCCCTGGCCCTTCTTCACTCTTCTCTCTCTCTCTCTCTGTTTCCTCTCTCTCTCTCTCTCTCTCTCACCTTCTCTCACTCTCTGCCCCTTGCCCCCCACCCCCCACCTCTTGTTCTCACTCTCTCCTGACCCTCTGTCCCTCACAGACATCATGGTGCAGGAGTATGTGAAACACGGAGCGTTGGACATTTACCTAAAGAAAAATAAAAACAAATCGCGAGTGAACATCAGCTGGAAGCTGGAGGTGGCCAAGCAACTGGGCTACGCAATGAACTTTCTGGTAAGTCTCTCATTGTCTCCTCCACCGCAGTACAGGTACCAGTGAGATAGGAAATTGTAGGAGCAAAGACTAGATATTACTTGGGTAATATCTACCAGGGGGAATTGTCTGTGGTGTAGGAGGAAGGTGGGGAGATCCACACTCCCGAGATTGAAGGAGAAAGTCAATAAAATGTATAAGAATGCAGGGTGCTATCTCTCTTTCTCTCTCAAACATCCAGCCCCTTTGCCAGAAAGGACAAAGAAACAGTTGTTTGGCTTTAACCTCCTTAGACATTCGCTACCCATGAGAGATAAGGTTGCAACACATAAGCCTAGAGCAGTGCACCTCTCCAGCCTTGCAATGTTTGGTCCTTAACCTGAGTTTTGCCCCACAGGAGGACAAACGCATTGTTCACGGAAACATCTGCGCCAAGAATATTCTCCTCACGAGAGAGGGCGATGCCATGACGGGGTTGCCCCCGTTTATTAAGCTCAGCGATCCTGGTATAAGCATCACCATCCTGCCGATAGAAGGTAAGTGTCACTCAATCCACGACTGTTTGTGGGACGCTGCTGTGCGCAATTGGCTGCCACATTTCGCCCATAAAATATACGGTCAATTCACTTCACAGTACATTCAATTAAGTGCTTTGAGACGTCTCGAAGACCTGATGAGGCTCCATATCAAATGCAAGGATTATTATTATATATATATGAGAAAAACTTATGAAAATACTTCACTTCTGGACTTGAGCAACACAGTCTAGGCTGACAGTTCAGCAATATCAGAGGTGCTGCCTGTCAGCTGAGAAGTTAAACCAAGGTCCTGTCCGTCTACCTGTTCAGGGTGGACGTTAAAGGCGTTTTGAATCATGTTCCGCAAGACAATTCGAGAAGTGAAGGCAGTTTCTCCCCATGTCTTGGCCAAGAAGAAAAAATCAATCGTTCATTCACTTTTGTTTGTCAGACCTTGCTGTGCGCAAATTAGCTATTGTTTATCTACAAATCCAGTCAATTGATACTGGACAGCAATTCTCTGTGAAACGTTTTGAATTGTTTCAATGTTATAGACACTACTTGCAATGATTATTCTTATTTCTGCTTCCGGGAATAGGTGGTTAGGTGTTTAGGAGGTTAGGTGGGATGGGGGGGGGGTGGGGTTAGATGGGGGCATTTAATGATTTCTTATTGTTTTATGATCTCTACAACTTTCTCTCCCTACAACAGTGAGAATCGACAGGATCCCCTGGGTGGCCCCAGAGTGCATTGGAAACCCCAGGAACCTGTCTCTGGAATCAGACAAGTGGAGTTTTGGCACAACACTCTGGGAGATCTTCAGCCCTGGGGATCTGCCACTCAATAGCCTGGAGCCGTCCCAGGTATGTTTCCAATCCTTTCCTTCATACGCGTCCTAATCGATTCCTCTTCTTGTTTATTGTGGAGAACAGCAACCATGTGTATAATAATCTTTTTATTTGATATAGCACCTTATCACGTCATCGAGACATTTCAAAGTGCTTCCCAGGACACGCTGTAAAGTAAATTAACTGTGTGTTTTATGGGCGAAACAATATAAGAGAATAGGAGCCCCTGTGTGTGTATTATTAGAGAACAGCAGCCCCTTTGTACATTATAGAATCTAGCAACATCTGTGTATATTATTAGAGAATAATGTGTGCAACTTAAAATGGCTGAAATATATATTTTCCAGTATGTTTCCCTTCCTGTCACCTATCTCCTTTTGCCTCCCTCTTGTACAGAAGTTGCAGTTCTACCAGGATTACCTGCGACTTCCTGCTCCCAAGTGGTCAGAGCTGGCTCACCTCATCAATCAGTGCATGGCTTACCAGTATTCACTCCGACCCTGTTTCAGGGCCATCATCAGGGATCTGAACAGATTGATCACCTCAGGTATCTCACCACCCAAACTCCCAATGATGTTTTGCTGGATAGTACATCCCTTGCATTCCCCAGTAAAGCATCTCTTCATAATATTGATCATAATCCTTTTTAATATAGCCAATTTGCTCACAGCAATGTTCCCACAAACAGCTGCAAAGTCAGTGATCTATTTTTTATCTGGTGGGTTGTTAGCCAGGACACCGGGAGAAATTCCCTTCTCTTTTCGAATAGCTCCATGGGAATATTAATGTCTACCTGAACAGACAGATGGAACCTTTGTTTAACTTCTCATCAGAAAGGCGGCATCTCCAACAAGGCTATCAGATTGTCAGCCTAGACTATGTGAGTTCAAAGTCCCAACGTGGGAGTTAGGGACAAGAGTGCCACCATTCACTGCCTCCTAATTCATTTATCTCACCTGTATTTGCTGCAGACAGGGAAGCGAATGGATGAATGAGACTGGCAACGTGCTTGTGTTGAGATTTTGTCCTGATGCCTATTTCTCTTCGCAGACTATGAGCTTTTGTCCGATTTGCCTCCCAGTGAGATACCGAGCAAAGATGGTTTCTGGAGCTTTGTGGACATGAGGAAGGCGGATGACCCCACATTCTTTGAAGAGAGGCATCTCAAGTTCATCTCTGTGCTTGGCAAGGTGGCAAATTAGTTTTTGCAATAAGTTATATTTAAGATATTCTTATATACTGTATATATATTTATATAGTGCCTTTGACATAGGATAGGTGTCACAAAGCACGTTTCGGAGATATTGAGGCACCAAGCAGGGAGAAAAGGAAGAAGGGATTATAATAATAAAAATAATAATAATAATCCTTGCATTTGATATAGCGCCTTATCACGTCTTCAAGACGCCTCAAAGCACTTCACAGAATATACTGTAAAGTGGAGTGACTGTGTATTTTGTGGGCGAAACGCGGGAGCCAATTGTGCATAGTTGACCAAATAGGATGTTTAAAGAGTTAGGTTTTTAGATGGGTTTTGAAGGCAGAGGGAGAACAGGTGAAGGGATGTGGGGGAGAGACATGGTAAGGAGAATGAATGGTCATGTTTCAAAATTCTGCTGACCTCAAATCCCTCACACACACATACATACACCTCCTCCAACTCCACCACCAAATGAACCCTGGATGGTTCATGTCCCTACCCTAACCCCACTTTCTTTACAAAAACAGGAAAGTTTGAATCTTTGACTAATGTTTTACTAAGAAGCCAAGACAAGGTGAAAGGGCAAGTGTAGGATATCTGTGAGGAGAAGAGAGAACGAGGCAGCAAATCACAAAGTGGAAATTAGATGATGTGGAAATTAAATGCCTGGGGAGAATGGGAGACAGGAGATGGATGAAATTTCCATGATGAGGAAAGACTGAGGAAGGGAAGGAACGTGAAATACTCCACATGTAACTCAGGGTGGGCTGCTTACATTCACCTGCACTTGGAGTAATGTCTTTCTTGGAGGATGAAACCTCAAGTTGCCTTCCAGATAAAAGAGAGGACCTAGTATGAAAAGAACGGTGATTTAAGACGTCTTTAAGAGAGTCTTGAAGGTAGATCTACGTCTCTCCTCATTGTATTGACCAAGATCGTGCCCCCACTCCTTACCCCCCTGCTCCCCTCTCGCAATCTCATTGACAGGGTAACTTTGGCAGCGTGGAGCTATGTCGCTACGATCCGCTCGGTGACAACACGGGAGACATGATCGCGGTGAAGAAATTGCAGCAGAGTACCACAGAGCACCTCCGGGACTTCGAGCGGGAGATTAAGATCGTCAAGTCACTCCACAACGACCACATTGTGAAGTACAAAGGCGTGTGCTACAGTCTCGGTGAGTGGCCAGCAAAATAACAACAACAACAAGTTGATGATGGGTTAGCAGTTCCACAGAAGTAGGGAGGAGAGGGGCCGTGGAGGGCTTTGAAGACGAGGATGAGGATTTTGAACTCTATCCTCTGGGGGATGGGGAGCCAGTGGAGCCGGGTGAGGGTGGGAGTGATAGGATCACGGAGCCTGGAGCGGGAGAGGGCACGAGCTGCAGAGCTCTGCAGCTTGTGGTAGGAAGAGTTAGGAAGGCCGACAAGCAGGGAGGTAGCGTGAGCTTAACTGTGTTAAGAAGCACTGTGTTTGTGTTGGCAGGGAGAAAGAATCTGAGGCTTATCATGGAGTATCTGCCGTATGGAAGTTTGCGGGATTATCTTCAGAAGAACAAGGAAAGAGTTGACCACAGAAAACTCCTGCTCTTTGCTTCCCAAATCTGTAAGGTAAGCAGCATTGGCAAGTCCTAATCCCAACATCCTGACTTTAGGAGCAGTTCAGACCTGGCTCTCTCCCAGAGGAGACTCTGAGGTGACCTCATTGACCACTTTAGTCTCTCTATCTCCCTTTTTCTTTTTCCCCTTCTCTCATCTTTCTCTTTCTTTCTCTTCTCTATCGCACTGACCCACAATCTCCCTCACGAAGATTGATTGCAGTCATTTAAATATCCACGCAGTTCAACCCCACAGACCACCTAACTTCAACGACAAAGCACAGTCTCAAAATTCCCATTGAGATCATTTTGAGGTACAGATCAGCCGTGATCTTTTAGCATGGCGGAACAGGCTCGAGGGGCTGAATGGCCTACTCCTGTCTGAATGTTCCTATATAACATGCAGTTATTGATCAAGGTCTGAACTAGAAAACCCATTAAATGAAATCTCCTCTAGTTGGCGATGTTTAAATCATTCAGTTGATCCCTTACCTAAATCACCTGAGCCAGACAGACACTTAGAAAAGAATCGTATCACTAACTACACAGAAAGCCACCTGTCTGTTTGTCTCCAAAGGGAATGGAATATCTCGGATCGAAGCGTTACGTTCACCGAGACTTAGCGACGCGGAATGTTCTAGTGGAAAGCGATACTTGTGTAAAGATCGGTGACTTCGGCCTGACCAAGATTCTCCCTCAAGACAAGGAATATTACAAGGTTCTGGATCCTGGAGAGAGCCCAATCTTTTGGTACGAGCAGGAGGTGACCTCAAGTGGTTAGAGCACTCAGCCTCGCAAACGATAGGACCTGGGTTCGATTCCCGGGCAGGGTAAAACGTTGGGCAAGTTTCCTTACTCCACGCGCATCTTGTTTACCTAGCAGTAAGTAGGAACCCGGTTGCTAATCGATTGGCGGATCGCTTTTTCAGGGGTAATAATCCCTATAAAAATAATTTACAAACTAGAAAAATGCGGTCACTCAATCCACGACTGTTTGTGGGACGCAGCCGTACATAATTGGCTGCAGGGCTTCACCCACAAAAATAATGTACTGTATGTTCTGTGAAGCGCTTTGAGACGTCTGGAAAACGTGATAAGTTGCTATCAAATGCAAGGATTATTATTATTATTATTGTGTTCAGGTATGCTCCAGAATCCCTGTCAGAGAGCAAGTTTTCCAGAGAGTCAGATGTGTGGAGCTTTGGAGTTGTGCTCTATGAGCTATTCACTTACAGCGACAGAAGCAGGAGTCCGCCAATGGTAAGTGGACCAGCCTTTACTGTGGAGCTCTGTGTTCAAGTCGACTGTGGACTCAGGTCAGGATAGTCTAGTGTGACACAACTGGCCACTCACTCCATGGCTATTTGTGGGACACAAATAGCACATTACAAAACACATACTGACTACACTTTACAGCTGTAAAGCCCTTTGAGACGTATGATATCACAATAATAAATGATACAGCTATAGCACGTTTCCTGACATGAAAGGTGCTATATCTAGGGTGACCATAAGTCCCCAATTTCCATGGTAAATCGTTATTGTGTGTCCCTGGGGCACATTTGCTCTGGCTTGAGTTCAGCAACAAACTGAGCAAGAACAATACAATTCTGAAGCAGATACACTCATCGGAGAAACACAAGCATTAATCCAGCACTCTTCTCCGTTAACTGCCTGAATCTGGAACCGTGGTGAGTTGAATTTTTTAAAATATATATGTGTCCCCGGATTTGGTTTACAAAATATGGCCACCCTAGCCATATCAAATGCAAGGATTATTATCATTAAGAACAATAATAATAAATACACCGTCACTACACTTGGCAACAGTTCTTTGGACCACATTTTGACGTTCGAGGCGTTATATACAAATGTAGCGGTTGTCATTTTAACTGGGAGATGCACTCGCGAAGGTTTAATTCTTTCTCATTTTATTTGCTGTAGGAATATCTAAGGATGATTGGATATGACAAGCAGGGGCAGATACCCTTCCACATGACTGAAATCCTCAAAGGCAATCGACTACCACTGCCCCAGAACTGCCCCAGAGAGGTCAGCACTGTGGAGCGCACTAACAGCAGTTGATCAGCCAATATAAAATGGAGTGGAGCGGGTGTGAGGGATGGGCTGTGTTGGTGGGAGTCATATTGCCTGGTTTGGGAAAGCTAATAAACCACAGGATGTCCATAGATTCCGCTTCATTCAGCCACAACAAATTACACATGAATTAGCGCCCTTCGCGTCGGAAAGACGCCAGGGGTGTTATGGAGGGGAATTTTTTCACCCAAAGGGTAATGGAAATCTGGAACTCTCTCCCCCCAAAAGGCTGTGGATTCTGGCTGAATCCATTCAAATTTTCAAGACTGAGGTGGATAGATTTTTGTTAGGTCGGGGTATCAAGGATCAAAGGTCAAGCAATGGGATGAGTGAGGGGGGTGCGGTCACAGGTCAAGTCACTTTTCGCTCAAAGACTTGGTCGACAGACCTGGTGCCCTTCACTTTCCAGAGCATATGGGACCACGTGTTGTGCATTAAGGAGATAACGACTGCTGGGAAAGGAGGGCTGAGGGTATTGGACAAGTGGAACACATGAAGGAAACCAACTAATCAGGACCCTTTGCTAGGGTCAGAGGTCAAGTGTGGCCATCTTGAAGAGGCAATGAGGTGGCGCCCAGGACAAGCTTATGGTACAAGTTGAGTCGAAATACAACACAGTTGTCTGATGCAATTATTCAAACTGCTAACAAGGGGAGAATCTGTAACTATATTGGAGGCTGGATGGTCAACCCTGCTGCTGATAGGGACAGGTGTGAAACTCACAGTGATATTGGGGAGTGTTACTTGTTCTGTGACCCATTGGCTGACTGGAATTCCTGTGTTCTCTGCGTTGCCAGATTTATGATATGATGCTGAACTGCTGGAACTGCCACCCCGAGCAAAGGCCCACTTTCACCTATTTGCAGCAAGAAATCAACAAGTTTCGGGACCTCATCCGGAGATGAGCCTCAATTGCCAGGCTGGTGCTGGTGGAATGACTTGTCAGGTTCTTGAAGCTGAAAGGAAGTCACCAGCCCTCCGAAAGTAGCCCGTGGACAAGCACAAGGCTGAATGACCTTGATCACACCTATGAAGACTTGTGGACCTTCCTTCATTGGCTCAATGAGTGTATGTATTCCGGTTCATGTTTTATTTTGCGGAAGAGATTGGTAGAGAGTGATGGAAGATTAGTTTTGTTAAACTGTAGAGTCTTTATCGTGTGTGGAAAGGAGAGAAAGAGGGTGGCGGTGGGTGGATGGAGATGGAGACTTAGCTGTATTGATCACTTGAGTTACAGTGAACCTCTTCCAATTTATTTTAAAAATGGAAGCTTCCTTTATGGAGTGGGAGAAGGTGATGGAGTACGGAAGGACTCTGGGAAGGAAGGAGTTGATCACTTTAAACATAACTTTGCTTTAAATGGCTGAAGAAATCGTGTTGTTTGATAGTGCTAATGATAAATATCTCAAGCAAATCCTGTCCCTGAATTGCTCTTTATCGAATACCAATGTGCTATTTGTGTGCCATGAAAGCTACTTTGTCTTCTGCCGAAGAAGTGCAACAAGTTCAATAACTTTCTGTTAGATACTGATGCTTATGGAGTTCAACATTCTCTTTCATAGTGCACTGGCTTATCACACAATGTAACAAACATAGAAATTCTTAATGATAATAAAGTATATATCTTTTCTCAATCAGTCCACAGTAATGCAACTGGTTAAAATGTTTTCATACAGTTAGTATTTTGCAACGATGATAAAAGAGGTTGGGAGTTGCGGGCAATTAGTGCACTGGCATTTGATCTTCTGGTAACTGACGACTGAGCAGATGGACTAAAAGCTTCTTTCATCATTGCTGGGGTACATGAAATACAGTCTTATCCCAGGCCTCAGTGATTATAGGTCAAATGGAAAGCTAACTCCAACATAGTGCTCAATAACCAGACAAGGAAATGGAAGATATCTCACTGGTACAGTAAGAGTTGTTCTTCTGTAATAATAATAATCCTGGCGTTGGATACTGCGCCTTATCACGTCGTTGAGACGTCTCAAAGCGCTTCACAGAATATACTATAAAATGAATTGACTATATTTTGTGGGCAAAATGCGGCAGCCAATTGCGCACAGAAGTGTGTCCCACAAACAGTCGTGGATTGAGTGACCACTTTTTTTAAAAAAAAGGTATTATGGCTCCCAGAAAACGATCTGTATATTTTGAAATGAGGAAATAATTATTCCAAACTAGTGAATTAAACAATAGTGCACTCTGCCAGCTCTGCACTGAAGTGTTAGCTATAGACTCATACAACCCAACCACACAAACGCTCAATGGCGTAGGAATCGAGTAATGTGGGATGATGAATTGGAGTGTGGGGGTGCAAGAGGGAGAGGTAGGCAGTCGTGTTACTTTGAGAATGTTGCAGTCACCCAACAAACAATGAACAGCCAGAACATTCGTCTTTTACAAGCAATGGAAATCCACTTTTCTCTGAGCTCTTTCCTATGTATCCTGAGATTAGACATTGGAGTTATTCATCCCAATGATCTTGTCTGATAACGACTTTGTTGATGAGGCTGATGTGCACCTAAGAGGTTTTATAAGGACAGCAGCTGAAAACACATTCTCCCAGCATCACCTGTCGCAAGGAAATAATAAATATAATAAAAAATCTTTACATTTTAATGTAGCGCCTATAACCCTTCAAAGCTTTGACAGTGAACTGTTAAGTGCAGTGACTGTGTATTTGTAGACGAACTGCGCTAGGGGAAAGTGCTGGAATGCCAGAGGTGCTGTGTTTTGGATGAGACATTAAACTGAGCTCCCATCTAGTTGTTCAGGTAAGCATTAAAGATCCCATGACGCATGGTTAAAGTAATTTAACCAGAAATCAATCCCACACTCAGTCATAGAGTCCTGCAGTGTATCGGTTAGAGCACTCGCAAGCGCAAGGACCTGGATTGAATTCCTCGTTCCTCATTCTCTCTATCCCACCATCAGTTCAGTGGCCGAATCTTAAACCACTGCACCTCCACCCTTCAGTAAAGGACTCCCGAAATGCATTTGCTTTGCTCCTGGTTTCAAAACCCTCATTAAAAGACAATCTGTTTGACCGACCATTTGCTTGATGATGGTAATACTAATAATCTCCACAAAGTACTTCAGGTGCACAGGTGTGAAAGGCACTGCGTGTTGCTTAACGCACTGAGCAGACCTGGAACCAATGTATCCTCACTCCAGAGCGCTGTCGTCCACTGCTTTCAGTTCCTCGCGGTCAAACGTGGGCAAATTGATGCGTTGCTATCAAAAGACAAAGAAAATAACAGAAGGAATAGAAACTACCCATGACGAGATACGTTTAACTTTCATTGCCATTTGCCAGACCGATAGCAACGAAAGCATTTATAGAATTTAAAGGGTTATCTCGCTGTGATATGACAAGGTCACCGTTGCTGAACGCTGGCTGATTATCGACTGTTATCCGCTCGCTCCAACATAACCTTAGGGGAACCCTCCGACCATTGGCTTTCTGAGGCAATTTAATGAGCTAGCGTTAGTCACAGTCAGGATCTATTTGGGGTTTACAGGGCTAGGGCTGGGTTCGGATGTTACCAAATGGGTCTAGCGATAATAACTTGGTCACTCAATCCATGACTGTTTGTGAGGACGCTGCTGTGCGCAATTGGCTTCCGCGTTTCGCCCACAAAATATACAGTCAATCTACTTTACAGTGTATTCTGTGAAGTGCTTTAAGATGTCTCGAAGACATGATAATGTGCTAAATCAAATGCAAGAATTATATACACATATTATATATATTATTACTGCTTCCTCCCGGGGATTGGGAGCAAATGTTTATGATGGAAATTACATCAAAGTTAAATAGTGAAAATGTTGAATCAAATTAATAGTTTTCCATTACATGTTATAACTTCTGGGGATCAATGAATAGCCGATCTTAAACCTCCCTTAAGATAGACTGGGGTGGATTGCGTAATAGGGTTGGCTTAACCTAACAGATAGATATTGCTTCCCAGGTGTGGCGATACATAGGGCAAGTTTCCTTATTCCGCACACCTCTGTTTACTCAGCAGTAAGTAGGAACCCGATTGTTAGTCGATTGGCAGATTGCCTTTCCAGTGGTAATAATCCCTTCAAAAAATAATAATGATGATTTGGTCACTCAATCCACGACTGTTTGTGGACACTGCTGTGCGCAATTGGCTGCCGTGTTTCACCCACAAAACACGTAGTTAATATATTCCGTGAAGGGCTTCGAGACGTCTCGAAGATGCTATTTCACATGCAAGGATTATTATTATTATTATTTAATGAATTGACCTGAACATGATACTCGGTCTCTCAAACCTCCCTGTTTTGAATGCGAGTTAATGAAGAAAGCGAGTGAGACGAAGTTAAGAATATGACGGCGTCTTTGAAGTGATTCATTTAGCTGGTGAATCTGCTTCTGTGGCTGCACATATGGGCTCTCAACAGGACCAAGGATCTCAGAGTCAAAGTCGAGGAAGTTGCCTGTGAAGTTTGGCTGAAATCTGACAAGAAGTAACAAGTTCCCAGATGGAAACTCCCGAGGAATGGTGCTTCTCCCGGTTGATACGGAGAGGCATAAGGTCAATACAAAGGATCAGCTCCAGTTTTTCTGGTGTTCCACTGAACTCTGTGTTCCTTGTGTAAGCTGATAGCACTCCAGCTGTGGATTTGAGCTTTCTTTCTCTCCTTGACTAGGAACAAGAACTAATCAGCTCCAGCAGTTTTTTAAAAAAAATATATACTGCATATTCTCCTCCCAAACCTTGTGCGCTTTCTATCGAAGCAAAGCAGGCTGGAAGACAGTCGTTACAACAACAACAACTTGCATTCATATAGCACCCCTCACACAGGGTAACGTACCACAGCACTTTACCTAAGTCCTCATTTGTGCAACACACACACTTGTATATCCAGGGCTTGGTATCTAAGCAGTTTCTCCACGCTTTCATTACATCGAGGCTTGACTATGCAAACTCACTGCTTGTTGGCCTCCCCAACTCCTCCCTCCATAGGCTGCAGATCATCCAGAACTCTGCAGCCTGTGTCCTCTCCCGCACTAGGCTCCGCGACCCTATCAATCCCTTCCTTGCCCAACTCCACTGGCTTCCCATCACACAGAGAATTCAGTTCAAGATCCTGGTCCTCACCTTCAAAGCCCTCCATGGTCTTGCTCCTCCCTACCTCTGCAACCTCCTAACTCCCTACTATCCTGCCCGCTCCCTTCGCTCAGCGAGCTCCGGCCTGCTTCACGTACCCTGCCTCGCTCGCCCCACTATCGGCGGGCGGGCCTTCTGCCACTCTGCCCCCACCTTCTGGAACTCCATCCCGCAGTCCCTTTCCTTTGCCACCTTCAAGACCCATCTCAAGACCCTCCTCTACGACCGTGCTTTCGATCTTCCTGCTTCCCCGCCCTCCACCCCCCCTGATCCCGACCCCCAGCTCGGGAACGAAACTCTGTCCAGCTCCTTGGGACGTCCTCCAGACATGAAAGGCGTTTTACAAATGTAATTTTTTTGTGCTGAGCTGGCACCAACAAAAGGCTTTCAAAGGAACACGCCTCTGTTTACCTAGCAGTAAGTAACCTTGAGACGTCTCAAAGCACTTCACAGAATATATTGTAGAGTAAATCGACTGTATTTTGTGGGTGAAACACGGCAGCCAATTGCGCACAGCAGTGGGAGGGAAGGCAGGTAAATGGGACTAAATGGACTGCTCTTGCAAAGAGAAACATGATGGCCCGAATAGGCTTCTTCTGTGCTACAAAGTTCTGTTTCTATTGCCCCTTAACCTGGGCCTGTGACCATTTTAGAACCTATCTAACAAACAGTGAAGCAGGCAGGTACCAGGTGGTATGGAGCAAAGGTGGGAAATGGGATTCAAAGATCTGTCATGATCTAAGAAGCTGGTGGAGCAGGCTCGAAGGACTGACTAGCCTTCCTACAGCTTCTATGTCCCTGTGAATGAATAAGCCCAGAACATCACCCGAAATAAAACATGAGGCTCTGTAATAAAGGCTATTTTTGTATTGATTTTATTGGAAAAGTAACCAAACCAACAATCCGTACAGTCAATAACAATAATCTCATTCGGGTTTCCATTGGAGAGACTTGTGTTCATCACAGGTTTTATCAAATGTGCATTTGAAATCTGCACAGAAGAAAACAGCACTACTGAACAGGGCTATATAAATGCAAGTTGTTGTTCCAACCCAACAAATCAGGAGACACTGTTATTCCTAGACCAGTTTTGTGTTATAAAACCCCTTTAAAGTTTACTTGTGGGTAATAGCCCTCTGACGCACGTGAGCCTCAATGATGGAGTCAGTCGATGAGAGAACCATGTTGTAAAGGAAGGTTCTTAAAGCAAATTGACTTTTTAAAAATCATAAGCGCAGTTCTTCTCGATCAAAAGCTGCGTCATTTCTGAGCAACAGCCTGTGTGTGTATGTGACTTCACTCCTTCTTCTCCCTCCCACCCTCTGGTTAAAAAAAATTGGGTGCATTTCAATAGTGCACAGGTGCTGTGTAAAAATAAAGCTCCAATGCACAACAGCAATGGAGCTTTTTCTTCCCCCACACACCGCGGGGTAAGATGGGGGCTCAATCACTCACACTCTCAGTAGAGGTGAAAAGTGCTGGGCTTTGTAGGAAAGGGGGAAAGGGGAAGGGGTTTGTGGATGTTTAAAGGGGATAAAGAGGTCTTATTTTAACTATCCAAAATCCAACCACAAAAACACTGGAGCGCGAGATTAGGGAAGGGATTAAATGTCAGGAAAGTAACAGATTTGAGGAATTCATACGAGAAACATTCAGTGAATTCACGGACTCTTTTCTCTCTTTCCCCCACTCCCCTTTTCCCATGCTCAAGAGAATTTATGAGGATCTCTCACAAAATTACGCACACACACAAAAAAAACCACAGTCTATAAATATGATGAAGCTTTAACCCATACACCAAAGGCACTTTTCAAAACATGCACCAATTAGCTCTATTTTAGTATGCGGTGAAATAAATTAATATAACATATTTAAATATATCTGGGTTGCTAATGAATCCAGTAAAGGTTGTTTATAATTTAATTTCATGTTCCTTTGGCGTCCAAAACATTTGCTTCTAAGCTTACATTTGCAGTCACTGCATTTCACAGTCAAATCCTGTGAAGCGCTTTGAGACGGTTTAACAACATAAGACGCTATGTCAAAGGCAAGGATTATTATTATTATTAATTATTATTTTCCTCTTCAGTTATCACACAAAATGTTTAGGGACAGGCTGTAAAATTGCGAATATCCCTACAAAACCCTAGCGCAGTAATTGGAAGCAGACAAATGATATATTTCATGGAATAAAGTGAAGAATTCTTTGTCTACCAAAAGTCAAATTTCGCCATCTGACTTTGCCTCCAGTTTCTGAATCGCTAAACATTCAATTGCAGCGTTTCTTCCCCCTCCCCCCCACTACCACCCCATTCATTGCTCCTTGTGAAATGGTACACAGGATGTTTTTTGTTAGAGAAAGAATCGGGTTGGGGTTGATGGTTGGGAGCAGGTGAGGCAACAATTGGCTTCAGAACCAGAGAGGAGTGTGGCAAACAAGTCACCCACACCTGATAGTTAACTAGTGACCCTACTGGAAAGGCTATGGCTCTGCCTCTACATTTTTTCTATAAATAGCAGTGATGGTAATTATATCATTGCTTCCAAGAATTTGGATGGACGGGGAGGGCAGGGGTGAAGGGGGAAAGGAAGGTGGCTCGCGGAACGATGTTCAAATTGTCTTTGATTTGAGCAACGCCTCGGCCTCCCAAAAATAAATTGTCTGGTTATATTGCAGTGGATTCTAAGAGCAGCTGCCCACAAATCCCTCATCCCCATCCTATCCATTAACAAAGTCGTGTGAGATCTCTTCTGGAACACCCCCACTTGCAGCAAACCCTGGCCAGTCCAACACCCCTCCTGAGACGCGAGGCCCTTCCGGGAGAAGGTACGGCGACCCCTCCCTCCTGCGGCTCATCACCCATCCCCGCGGGACTGACAGATTCCCGGAAACCGGCTGCCGAGAGCTGCCAGGTGTCTGCTTCTCCCGCTGCGTCCGACTCGCTCTGAGAGGAGTCCGTGCTGTCGATCTCTGAGCTCTCAGGCTCCTCGTTGCTACCCCAGAGACTGCTATCCAGAGGATCCAACAGCTTGCCTGCAACGCAACACAATTTATTTCATTTAATTGAACCCAAAGCACTTAGTTTTGTCCAAATGAAAAGATCTTTTTAAAAAAAACATACACACAAGTGCTTCACGGGTGTTTGTGGGAATATCGCTGCGTACAAATTAGCTGTTGCATTGCCTACAATTTGGACACTTGCCCTTATCAAGACACTTGACAAAAAAAACTTTGTAAAGTGCTTTGAGAAAGTTGGAGGTGATAATTAATAATAACCCCTGCAGTTGATATAGCGCCTTGTCACATCTTCGAGACGTCTCAAAGCGCTTCACAAAACATACTGTCAAGTGAATTGACTGTGCATTTTGTGGGCGAAACGCGGCAGCCAATCGCGTATAGCGACGTCCCACAAACCGTCGTGGATTGAAAGGCGATCTGTTAAATGCGAGGATTATTATCGTCGTCATGATTTCAACATGGCACGAGATGGAAATATCAGACCCATGCGCTCCTCTTAACATTGGATTGGAGCAAGAGCTCTCGATCTGACCAAGAACAACAACAAATTACAGTTGTATAGTGCCCTTCATGTCGGAAAGATGTCCCAGGGCTCTGGCCCACGCTAAACATGACTTGGGAGTTGTTGATGATGAGACTAAGTATCTTAAAAAAAAATCCAGTTAAAATTACACAGAAAGTAATTGCAGAACTTGCTGCATTCACCAATAGTCGACTTGAATGTTCCCCATCACTTTCTCTGGGAGGGTAACCTGCTGTCTTTGTACACAGTGACTCTCTGCCCACTTCAGAGGCATTCGCAAAGAGTCGGGAGTTTCTTTCTCCCAATGTCCTGGCCAACAATCCCCCCCCCCCCAAGTAAAATTGGTCACTCGCTCCATGGCTGTTTGTGCTGTGCGCAACTGGCTGCTTTGAGACATCTCGACGACGTGATAAGGCGATATATCAAATGCCAGGATTTGATTATTACAACCTGGTCCCTTCCCCATTTGTACTCTTAACCACCTCTATCCCTCAAACACCACCCCTCCTCCACATCCACTTACCCCCTCACCCACACAATCCTGGCCAGAACAATCAAGAAACCGAATGCATGACTAAAATATAAATATAAATAAAAATTTCATCAGCATATCAAATGCAAGGATCATTATGATGATCGATATTATTGGTTAGATGGTCGAATATCCAGGTTACCTTAAAAGTCCTGAGCGGGTGTTTTATGTTGTTTCTAGTAAACATAAAACTCGCAGCTCTGAACCACATGAGATGCCCAACACTGGTTCTCACAGCCTTTACATTCACTTCCCTCCAGCAGTTATACAATATCCCTTTTCAACGCTTACACAATTCGACCGCAAGTTTGTCTGTGGTGAGTCATTCCATGTCCTAAATGGCTCTCTAGGAACATTGGAATCGAGGATCAGGAGTAGGCCATTCAGTGACTCGAGCTTGTTCCTCCATTCTATTAGATCATGGCTTACCTGTACCTCAGTGCCATTTCCTTGCCTTTGCTCCATATCCCTTGCTACCCTCACCTAACAAAGCTCTATCCACCTCAGCCTGGAAAATCTCCATTGATCCAGCCAGAATCCACAGCCTTTTGAGGGGGAAAGAGTTCCAGATTTCCATGACTGCCTTTTGTGTGGAAAAACAAGTGTAAATCTCTGCCTGAAAACTTTTCTTCTTAACCCCTCTTCCTCCCCACCTGAATAAAGCTCCATTAATGTTCAGATAAGAGGCGTCAATAGGCACAGGTGCCATCACTTACCGTGAAGGCTGTGCCTCCTCTGGGCTCTCTCAGAGGAATGCCTCCTCAACCTGGAGCTTCCACAGGAGTCAATGACCATGCGGACAAACTCCCGGCCGCAGACCTTGATTCCGTATTCAGTCACCTGCGCTCTCGCACTCGGCATGGAAGCCAAGAGGCAACAGCTCAGGGCCCAGAGAACCAGCTTCATTCTGCTTGTGGAGGAGTGGCTGGTGTCTCAGTCAAGGAAGAACGGCCTCTGGTCGGAGGAGATGAAGTAAAAACAAAGCTCGGTCGGAGGAAGCAGATAACCACACGGCTTGGAGTGGGACTCACTGCACAGACGCGGGCTCTGAGCTCCTGGTGGATCGATGGCTACTTTTATACCATCAGCTATCAGCTGCTGGCTCAACTGGCCATGTGTTACTTGGAGGGGAGCTGGCTTCTGACCCTCACGGCCTTGGTGGTTGATAGAATGTGCTGGATTGTCGTTCGGCTTGGCCTTGAAAGTTACACTGATATGAAAATGTTGTTCGACATGTATTTTTTTTCCTTTTTAAATTATAAGGACAAGATATGTTTGTCTACCCGGCTTCTCTTCCTTCCCCCATCGCTTGGAGTTTGATACAACGCCTTTGCTCCAGGAGGAAGGCATCTCAAAGCTCTTCGCAGGGTTTACTGTAACGTGTAGTGACTATGGGTTTTGTAGGTGAACGCGGCAGCCAAATTGCGCGCAGTAAACAGCCGTGCAAGTGAATGGCCATTTTTATCTCGAGGATTGTTGAGTCAGGAAAACTGGGAGAAATTCCCTTCTCTTTTCAAATAGCGCTGCAGGATCTTCAACATTAACCTGAATACCTGGGAAGGTATGAGCAGATGGGAATTCAGTTTAACGTCTCATCCAGAACATGGTGAATCTCCCACACCCCCAGCACTGCCCCGGAATGTCACCCCAGTCTATGTGAGTTTCCAGTCTCGATGTGGGGCTTGAAACCACACAGCGTCCTGGCTCAGAGGTGAGAGTGCTACCAACTGAGCCAAGCTGACCTAATACAAGTGACTGAGATGCAACTGTGATAAATTGTTTCCTTTTCCTTCAGACAAAGGGATATTTTTGCTGAAAATGCAGCTTTTTCACATTTTCAGGCTCACAGCGTCACTTCTCACAACTCCCGGGTCAGCTACAGGATGGGTTATATACAAAGTAAAGCTCCCGCTACACTGTCCACCTGAAGAAGATAACAAGTAAAGCTCCTAGTTAATAATAATAATAATAATAATTATAATCCTTGCATTTGATATTTTTGAATTATATCTAGCTTATTGCAACTAGCAATTAGTTAGCTAGTTATCTGGCTGGTTAATAAGGACCAGCTCATTAACATCACATTCCCTGCTTTGTGATTGGGCACATTTCACAACAACAGAGTTCGATCCAGACTCTGTATTATGCAACTTGTGTAAACGATATGAGGATGCTCGAATCTACGAACAGACTTGCTATTTCTTGGTTTGGCCACAGGCTGGCGCGCTTTTGCTGTGATTCCCAAGGCATTGCTCCAATCTCTACAATTTGGTTCAATTCATTCCACTTTGTATCATAACTTTTTTGAGCGTAACCTGAGATCGGTGTTTATCTGCCGCATAACCTGCCGGGCTTACGGTACCATTTATTTTGTGAGCGTGTTCCTTGTGTTTGGCGAATATACTCACTTTGAGCTCACAGTCCAGGCTGGCGGTCAGTAATACTACTACTAATAATAATCCTTGCATTTGAGACAGAGCCTTGCCCCCCCGTCTTCGAGACGTCTCAAAGCGCTTCAGGGGATACAACGTAAAGCGGAGTGACTGTGCACTTTGTGGGCAAAACGCGGCAGCCAATTGCGCACAGCAGTGTCCCGCAAACAGCCGTGGATTGAGTGATTAAATTATTATTATTTTGGAGGGATTATTACCCCCAGAGAGCGATCCGACAATCGACTGACAACCGGGTTCCCATTTAATACTAGGTAAACAGAGGCGTGTGTGTGTGTGGAGTAAGGAAACTTGCCGAAGGTTTCGCCCCAGTACAGAGCTGGGGGAGCAATGTTGGAGATCTTGTCCTTCGATTGAGATGTTTAACCGACGCTGTCCAACCCAGTGGCTACTGGTCACGTGTATACCAGCCTTTGAGGTGTTTTGATGCGATAAGGTGACAAGGGATCCATTTCAATCCCTCAGGTTGAATTGGATGTTGGTTCACCAATGTGGAAGTGCCTCCACATCTGACAAGCAAAATGGCCACTGTTTGGACACATTTTGTTGAAGCTCTGCGACAGCTGTGGGCCTACAATTATTTTTAATTAAGCAATAATTATACTTTTCAAGACGTAATGGTAACAAACACAACCCCACTTACTAAAATCTTCTCCCGACGCCTCTCCACTTCCTTCCCCACTCCATCTCTTTCACCCCCCTCTCCCCCACCCGTCATCCCCCTCACACACCGCATCCCCCCACACCACCACCCCATCTGCTGTGCTCCCCTCTCTCCATCTCGCCTTGCCCTTTGAGTCCAGGCTATTTGTTTGTCACTCAAGCACTACTCAATCCAGTCCCAATGTCAAGTATTTTTGTGCTAATTATCAGAGCTGCGGTTCCAAGGGTCAGGGGTAGCTGTGTGATAGCGCAATGCCTTGACTCATTATCTTTTCTTTTCAAAGTACAGAGTTTAACATCAAGGCAACTTTTATTATCTTAGGAGCGCAGTCACATCGAAAGGCAGAACTAAATCTCCAACACCCTCTCCGCCCTATGATGCAGTCCGGAGATGAAGTTACCTCATTGCTGACGTCTCTTCCCAGAAAAGGCCACGTTACCCCATTACATAATAAACCTTTCAATAAACTAAATAAATAGATAAATAGATACATAGATTTGGTCACTCCATCCACGACTGTTTGTGTGGGGACGCTGCTGTGCGCAATTGGCTGCCGTGTTTCATCCACAGAATGTACAGCCAACTCACTTTACAGTATATTCTGTGAAGCGCTTTCAGACGTCTGAAAGACATGATAAGGAGCTATGTAAAGTTCAAGGATTATTATCAATATTATTATTAACAGGAGCAGACCATCTCGGTACAGATTGCTGGTATCCACACCCGTGTCACACTTTCCATTCCATAATGAGCTCATGAGAGAAATCGCCTTCTATTATTAATCACCTCAAAACCCCCACAAAGTGCTTCACTTCAATTACTGTCATGCAGTGATGGGTTTTTTTCCCCCCCCACCAGGCAAACATGGCAGTCATTTCACATGTAGCAACATCAGGCCAACATTCTGTTTTAATTGATTTTTTTTGTAAAGTGTCAAATGAAATTGACTGTATATATTTTACCCGCAGATAGGACCTCAGTTTAAACATCTCATGATTCCTCCGACTCCTCCAGCACCACATTGGTGTGCTGTGTGTATCAGTCTAGACCAACTGAATCCCAATGCGGTGCTTGAACCACAACCTTCTGACTCCAGAGGCGAGAGTGCTACCGGCTGAGCCAGGCTGGTATTTTAAACCCCAACCCAGTGCACATCCCTGACTGTCCAGCGCTATGGGACTTCCTGCCGACGTGACAGGTGCTATACAAACGCAAGTTGTTGTTGTTTGTTTCTTTCCCCCGGGAGAAAAACCCCTGAGAGAGACCGAGAGCAACAGAGAAAAAATGGGATTCATCCTCAGGTCCTACAAGGTGAGGACGTGACGCAGGTCAGGATTCAGGATTGAGTGACTAGAACTCGTGGTTAAGTAACATGGGGGGGGATCGCATCCCGGAGCGCTTGACAGTGGCGGAGTCTGACCCCGAGCCAGGGGGAGGGGTGAGGTGACCGTAAGCACTACCCCCCACCTCCTCTCCTTAAATTGATGTGATCACACAGTGTACCGGGTAGAGGTGTGTTGCCCTGATGGAGTGGAGGCAAACAGCAGAAGCTACACGGTGTTGTGATAGACACTGCACATGACTACCACTCTGCCACCCTCCATTTCTGTCTCTGTCTCTCTCTCTCTCCCTCTCTCTCACTCACTTTCTCCCAGCGAGGCATGGAGAGGAGTGAGGCAAGAGGGTCTCCTGGCTCCGAGGTGATGTGTCGGAATCGATCCCACCCTCTGCAGCGGTCTCCAGTCTGGTTCCTGAGGCAGGCGGGTCCACAGTATTCCAGGGCGACTCTAGCGCAATCCAGCTCATGACTCATCAATCAACAGATACGATGCTCTCACTGACAAACTATGTTGTTTTACCTACTTAGATTCCAGTTAGCTCAGTTTGCCCAAGCCTTTGTACGAGAAATAATCAATTACATTTTCTAACAATCCTTCCCTTTTGTCTTCCTCCCTTCTTTCTTCTCTCCTTCTGCGCCTCTCCCCTCTCTTTACTCTCTGCTTATTTTCTCTTTCCCCAATTCCTAACATTACCCACTCTCTCTCTCTCTCGTTCTCTCGCTGACCCGCGCCCCTCCCCCCCAAAAAAAGGTTTAATGGTCTGGATAAGATCCCCCTCTATCTCTTCAGTGACTGTGTGCCTGTGGGTCTGTACATAGTGTATCGCAGTCAACACAATGTCCTGGCTGCTCATTTCAATCTGAGTTTCTAGTCAGGACTCTACAAACCCAAACCAGTTGCGTCATTTTCAATTTACAAAAACAAGGGTCCTTGAATAAGTGCAATAGATGATGGTCAATGCTTTATTTTAAGGATGGAACCAGCAGCAGGACAGGGCTCAAGAAACACTTGTGCTCTTAACATTAAGTCACCGCATCGCCTGCTAATTTCACAACTCGTCCCTCCCGGCTCAGACGATCCCTTTGCTCCTCTGGAACTTTCCCCTCCTCTATCACCGCTCCAATCTTTCCCTCAAACTTCTCCTTATCTACTGCTCCCCCTCTCTCTCTCGCCTGCCTCGGAGTTATCTGAACTCCTTCCCCTCTGGGCGTCCTCCTGCAATGATCTATCCTCCTCAGTCAAACTTCTCCACAGCTCCCTCCTCCACTCTCAATTCCCTCGCTCCCCTCTCTTCCTGAACTGTCTCCTACTCACGCAAATCACCCTGGTACACCAGCCACCTCCGCTCCCTTAAAGCCCAGGCACGTGTCAAATCCTACCACTCTGCCCTCGCCTCCCCTAAATCATTGTTCTACTCCAAGGACAACCCCAGGCTCCTCTTCTCCATCACAAACCGACTCCTCCGGCCAATCTCTCACGCCTCACCCATCCTCACCTCAAATGCCAACTGCGAGGCGAAGCTGGACTTACTCGAATCCAAAGTCAAGGGAATCTGCTCAGCTGCCTCTGCCAATGCAACTGCTACCCCCTCCCCA